TTTCTCATAGGTAATGCCACACCAGTTATCAGAAAATAATCTTTTTTCATTCCTGTTGTTACAAATATTTACTTTTTGCCAATTTTTTTTCTCTTACGTCATCCCGAATAGTGCTTTATGTAACCTATGATCCTAAACCCTGTGCCGATCACTCCAACTTGTAGTATGTCATTTTATACCGTACCAAGTTTTCAAAATTAATTTTTCGCACTAGTTCAACTGATCGTCCTGAAAAAAAAATGTATCACTCCAGTTTGGCAAGCAGCTTTAAAAATTTGCGCATTTAATAAGGATTCTAACGTGGTATAATACTTACTTCATTGTTTCTTAGATCGGCCATAAAAAAATTTTTTGTTAAACAAAGTCTGTTTTTTAAAAATTTCTCTGGAATTACAAAAAAACTATTCTAGTGTACCCAAAGCGTTCCTAATAACCACAGCGTGGTTTAAATTAGATGGCGTAAAGTGTGAGCGAGACAGATAGTGACGCTACTTATTGCTATTGACACACGCACACGTCAGTACGCAACGCTCCTTCGTTTACTACGCATCTTTTCGTATTCGCTGGTGTTATTTTGTGTTCTAACTACTTTGGCTTCGTTTACGGACTTGTTTGCTTGTGATTTGGATTTTACATTTGTGATCTACGACGACCTTTACTTTTCCCTGGACTTACGTGTTATTGTGTATTTGTACCATACCATGGCTGCGTACACTACACAGGAATATGCTAACATGCACCTCATTTATGGGGAATGTTTATGTAATGCCAGTGAAGCCGCTAGACGGTATTGCGAGAGATACCCTAATGCAGATCGCTATCCGGATCACAGTGTTTTTACCAATGTGCACCGTGTACTGTTCTCTGAGGGCCGACTGCCAAACCAAGTGCACGGTGAAGGTAGAATTTCACTACCCTACGAGGCAGTTGTCCTTCAAACAGTTGATGAGGACCCAAGTTGTTTGGTGCGTGGAATTGAGGCCAGCACAGGTGTGCCCAAAAGTACAGCTCACCGAATACTACAAAAAAATGAGTTCCATCCATTTCATGTACAGTGAGTACAATCCTTATTACCTCGAGATTATGAACCTCGGGTTGCTTTTTGCCAAACAATAATTCAAAAACACCGAGAAGACCCACAATTCTTAGAAAAAATTGTATGGTCGGATGAATCAACTTTTAAAAAAGACGGCTTCATGAACCTACACAATCTGCACGAGTGGCACATCGAAAATCCACGATTGATGAGACCAGACAAATCACAGTACCGTTTCAAAGTTAACATGTGGACTGGAATTTTGAACGGAAAAGTCATAGGGCCTTTTGAGTTACCAGAAGTTTTAAATGCTGAAATTTATTTAGATTTCTTACAAAATCATTTGCTCAATTTGCTGGAGGACGTGCCGCTTACTATTTTACGAGATATGTGGTTCCAGCAAGATGGTTGTCCAGCGCATTACAGCCGCTTAGTTCGAAACCACCTTAATCCAGACAGATGGATAGGGCGGGGTGGTACAATCTCGTGGCCCGCCCGCTCACCCGATTTAAATCCTCTTGATTTTTTTTACTGGGGAGCAGTAAAGGAAAAAGTCTATAGTATTGTCTTTGATTAACATAACTTTTATTCATTTAATAAAACACTATTTTGACCGGATTGAAGTTATGTATTGTACCTGATACAACAAGTTCCTCATAATATTAATAGTAATTATTATAATATATAATTAATATATTATGTATAATAATAGATCTCATAACAAGGGCACATGTAATGTCTCCTTAATGTTAGTGCTTTAGTGATAGTACCTGAGTATATACTATTGCATGGGTAGTAAGAATATTTGGTATGTGATTTTTTTTCTACCTGTTAATAATTATAATCTTTGACTGACTGATTATAAATATTTTGAAGATGTTTTTTAAGTTATATTATATATTATATTATTCATAAAAATATTGAGAACATATTTTTTCTTATTATCTGGCTAATTATAATGTTTGTTATAAATGTTAGAATTGTCGATTAAGTACCTATAAACGAAATGTTACTTATGTTGTTTTATTTTCAAAATTATTTTGTAAATGTTAGTAATGTCTAACGTATTAAAGATGTTATATAATAAAAAAAATATGATTGATAACAAAATATGTTTTTTTCTAAATGTCATCCAAACTCAACTTTGATATGATGCGATAAGATCATTTTTTCCTTTCTAAATTATCACTTTAATTAATATATGTAACCATGCCACTTAAACATTATAATAACAATTAGAAATTGTCCTTATATAAGACTATATCGAGTATTGGTAGGACTCTTGCGAAGGCCAGTCTGAGGAAAGGCCAGACCTTTGTCAGTTAATCAACGGCCAAGCGGTAGCTAAACACCGCTACGGTGTCTTACGGAATTATATTTAAGTTCCCAAATCTTACACATTGTGATGCATATCTACTTAAAATGAATAAAGACATTTTTATTAATTCGCCCTTTTGAATTTAGCCTTTTTTAAGTGGTCAGGTTTTGGTACATCTGATGGTCAGTTGTTGGGGTGATGTGGTCAGCTCATGGTGTATTTTGAAATTTTAACTTTAAGCCGGTGTAAAAAAAGTGTGTGCGTGTAACCTTTACGCGCGATTGAAGTAAAACTTCTTTGGCGTTGATGGCATATATCACTGAAATGATTAAATATCAACTTAAATAATAAATATCATATTATAATGTAATTATATTTATTATTCATGTGCTTTACAAAGATTATTCAAATACGAAGGTTAGATCAGCACATGTCAATATAACCTTGTTATTGAATATTATAGAATGTCGCAATCGTCAGAAAATTTATTATTAATTTACTTATTTTAAAAGTAATAAATCAATAAGTATTAAAGAGATTTTTAAACAACTATGCAATTTAAAACATATTTAAAAAACTGTTGATTTTTTTTTATTCACTTTTCTATTCTCTCATACAACTTGGTTATTTTTATATAAAATAGACCCGATTTTTAAGATAATAGTTTGGTATTAATTTACTTCTTCCAAAATGGTAAAATACGAAATTAAGCGAAAAAACTGGCCTATTACTATGTATAACAAAAGAAAAGCAAGCTAGGATCTTTAGTGGAATTTTAATTGGGTTACATGTTACTCGTATGGATTTTCATTTTAAATATAAATATACTAATAATAACATAATTACAAGAATCAGTATCAAATAAAAAGAATAAATGCTATCCTAAACCAAGAAACTGACTTTAATCAGTTCAAATAATGCACCACTAGATGGCGCTGACGGACTTATAAAACGCGCTATCGTATTATTTCAAATAGCGGAAACTACGTTTAAGCGTTACTTCCGAGTTCCGTCAGAAAAAAAATCTGAGCTACTCCTTAGTCGCGCCTAAAGAAGTTTTACTTCAAAAAATTATTTATATGTATATAGATATATCTTTGCCTAGTTCGTTTAATTGCGTAATAAAGAATAATCATCCCAAAATTGTTATAGCTAAAATAATAAAACTTTATTTATGGAACATATTAGCAACGAATCCGCTTTACTGGTCAACCATTGGGTTAGTGACCCTATAATGTAAAAATGCGGCACGTGTTAATCGGATTACGGATATGTAATTTACTTTTGTCAATTATTATCATTTTCAAATCTACTTACATTTTGAAATGATTACTTCTATCAATATTTACTAATGTAAACCTTTGGTGCAACTAGTTCTGATACAGACTTATCATTGACACAAGATATTATTTGTTTTTTTCTGTGATTTTATTTCTTAGGCTAAAATACTCTGTATAAATGGTTTAATAAAGTGTAGGAATGTCAGCTTTTAAATGAAATATTGCTAAAAGTGCATTAGTTGTAAAGTGTAATTTGCTTTACGTGAACAAATAAAATTAGACAATTCCAGGAGCATAGTTGAAATATTTCTTATTTTTTCAGATGTTGTCTTTTGTACACTATATGCGTATAATTGTCGCCACTTCAGGAGTAAATAAGAAATGAGCACATCAGATTAGTTCAAACCTTTCTTCAACAAACATAAGCCTTTTTAAACATACAATAATGATACCATTTTATGCTATTACTTCCACGACCAATTTTGTACTTTCTTAAGAGTAGGGACCTAGTATCTGAAGTAGCATCGAAATTTATCGACAGACTATTATTTTCTTCTGCGTTTGTTTTTCTTAATAATATCTTATACAATATAGCCCATATCATTAGGTAACTAATCTTTAACTTCCTTTACTTTTCCCTACAACTATTTTACAGGATTTGCTTGGATAAGCAGCAGAGGTTTTATAACAAATATTTCATAATAATTATAACAGGCAAAATAGGGGGAAGAGCGGCTGATGCATTGATTGATCTCCGTTTTAGAATAAGGTGTCGAGAGTGTTTTATTGTTTAAATTACGTTTCACCACTTCTTTATATAAAGAAACTAAACTCTGTTTTAAACAAAATTTTAATTGTTCACATTACAATTATTCTACTTACAATTTAAAATTATTGTCGTCCTTGGAACTTTTGCCCGTTCACAAATTATCTTTTAAAGCAATGTCAACAAATTATCACACAGAAATCAACTAAGTAAATTGTTATTCCTTATTACAATTGTTAGGCAAAGAGAATAAGAAATTTGCTGCCATTGAGGTATAGTTTATAAGTAAAGTAGATGTCTGAACCGGTAGGGCGGATATAATAAATCAAACTAACAATTTCTAATCCTATTATTATCTGATCACAATAACAAAATATATCACAACCTAACACGTTGAGCTAAAATTAATATAACGCAAAAATATTAAAAAATCTTTAAATCATTGTGTAGAATGTAAAAATTAAATTAAATAAAATTTTTTTTTTTTGGAATGACGTCTTTGAAGTTTGTTTTTGTAATAAATACAACCGCGAAAACGTTTATGTCTAACCACGAAACGGGCTTCTCTCGGATGGACCGATGGGCAACGGTGAGTGGAGTTTACAGGCCCTTATTGAAGAAGACGTGCTTGACGTTGGGGTAATTCTTTTTTACGGTATCCTGAAAATAAACGTTTATCAATGGCATGTTTCCTCATATCTTTATATAAAAATATGCAAAGAACTTTTAAAGTGTAAATTGTGCATCTATCACTGAAGTCTCACCCTAAGCTCTGTATCGAGGCTGTCGACGGCGAGGGAAGCGCGTTGGTCAAAGATCGCACAGCAGAGCGGAGTCGCGAAGGTCACGCACAAACCCACCAGGAACAACTGGAACGGAATCACCGCCTTGGGGTAATGGCAGAAGAGGCCCCTCTGCGTCGCTATGTTTGTTATCATGGGGGTCACCGCTGGAAGAAGAATTTCCGAATTACACCACCGCCCCTATCGGATCGGATTAGGTCGGCCGAAGAAATTAACACTCACTCATTCCGGGCAGAGCCATGAAGATCCTGGAAACGATGACCAGACTTATGCCGTATCGCGCCGCGGCCTTCGATTCCCCGACTCTCTTACCGTCCGGCGTGAACACAGGGGTGCCGTTCATTAACTCCCTGGTGGCATAATCACAAATTAACCACGAACACCTCCCTTACACATCTTAATATAGTGAGAGATTATCCGAAAGGTGATAATAATTTATTTAAAATTTTCTTACCCGCTCCTCATCATAGGAATGTTGATGAAGTTGGCGCCGCAAACAGCAGCGAACGGCACGAGGCGAGAGTAGATCGGGCTCATGTTCTAGGGTTATTGATATTATTCTGTTACTACTTTGTTACAACTGAACCAAATCCCGGACAGTCAGCGGTTTGGGGTGCATCATTTTCATTTTATATTTGGAATTCGTTTTACACATATTAGATTGCGAACAAGCAATAGAGTGAAAAAGGGAGGAAAGTGGCATGTCTTAGACACAAAAATCAAAGATGTGTCGATTGCACAGATAGCCGACGATGAGATAAATAGATGAGGTTTTTAATGTGTTATTACCAATATATTAGGTAAAGCTATTGTGTGTTTTGAGCTGCTCTATGTCTTTAAGGCCTTCTGAGCCTAAAGCGCACTAGGCAAGGCAGGCAAATAATTAAATCAGACTACAGTTGCGCATTAGGCTTGCGATCCTACGTTACATATCTGGAAAACACGTTGTCTTTATGCTATTTTCAGAATGTTTCATATCGGAACTATTTATTTACTTCATTAGAAACGCAAAGTGTGCACTCGCAAACGACAATACACCTCTAATGCTGTTATCACGTTTCAGGGCTTACCATTCTTTATTATCTTTTTCGTTGACAACACCCACATTGATACTATCCATAATCGTTCAAAAAGGTCTGATTAATCATAGTTAATTAAACAAGTAATCAATCATTATCTGGCCGGAAGGCACTTAATTATCGGCTCATGTTTACATTTCTAACTCACATCACAATAGAAAGGAAATTAACTTATCAATTATTTTATTGGTACTACAAGTTATAGTATTCTAAAGTATAAGTTGGAATTATATTGAGACTGGTAATATGACGACAGCCGAGGCGATTATTTTGTTTATTAACACACCTCTCGTGACGTTCACGAGATATTGTGTGATAAGATAACATGTTCTTTGCGTCAATTTCAAGGTATAATTTCATTGGCGTGTTCTTCACAATCAGCATATCAATTCGTTCTATAGTCTATGGCGGGGATTACGAAGAATGTAGAATTATTCAAGACAAATAAATAAATGTATGTCTATTCACCCCCCGTGCCTTAACATCGTACCTTAACTTTGCTGTTGAGGTAGAGAGCCGTGCCGAGGGCTCCTCCGCACGCTGCGCAGTAAGAGCCCAGCAGGTGCCTGCAAAGTCAACTCCGATAACATTTCGTTTCATGTTCAACGGGTGAACGTTAACAAATATAGACTCACGTCATGCTCATAGGCGCATCTCCTCCTCGATTCGTGTAATTGACGAGCGCATTAAAGGTTTGATTTACCCATTGCCAGAACGCGATCGCCGCAGTCGTCTTGTAAAACGTAATCATACCTGCAACAATCACATCTTATTTTTTATCATCGGCTATCCTTCTACGATGGAATTGTTATACGTACACCCGGTGATGATAGTGTTCATCGGCGCCTGAGCGGCCATTCTGCCGAGGACGAACATTTTCTCGCCGGTGTCGGGGTGATACGCGCTGTCGTACAGGTACTTGGCCGCCCACAACTTGTCCAAGTCATAACCGGCTGGCATTCGTCGACTTCGCCTTATAAAAACGACCAATAGCTCATTAATATTGAACATTTATTTAATTTTAAGAGGGGGACGCAGCCCGACACGATGGAGCGACCGCGTATCACAAAACCTGGGCGCTAAGGTCTCTGACGCTATTCATCTAGCCGGAGTGAGCTAGCGATCGGAGGAGGTGGAAGTTGAGCACTGTTAGCCTGGTCGGGGCTAGAGAACGCGTTTCCGAACCCAAATTGTGTTCAAGAGGTTTTTCTTTACACACAACAACTATATTTGAAATAGAAAGCAAATCACTCGTTTAAAACTTTTAATTCTTTGCTGCATTAAAATATGAGAGGTGCATAACAATATACTCACTTAAATTCTGTAACCACCTTTTTCGCCTCATCGAGCTGCTCCGTGGAGGCGAAAGCGTTCAGGGGGTTGGTGAGAAGCAGGAAATGTTTGGCTCGTCCCGCGTACGAGCTTTGGTCGTAGCGGGGCTGGCTTAAGTCGATGCTCATTTCTGTACACATTATTTAAAGTTTAAAAAAACTTCTCTGTGAAAGGGATGTCAACTATCAGCAGGATATGTGAAACTAAAATAACCATGGTACAAATAGGTATTCCCAATCTATTTCGTCAGTTTAATCGTCAACTATTTTCTATCAATACAAGACGGATGGAGCATGGACGTGTATAATGTTCCCCCAACCTAGAGGAACCTCGTCCGATTAAAAAGCTGACGGGGCTGCTCGAAAGCCCTCGTGCCCGATATCGGGATCTCGTATTTGTAAACGGCACTATTCTTCTATATTGACGTACCTAGGTACTTATTCGAGATGTCACTACAGATACTAATCATAAGCTGCAATGTAATATGTATTTGATGCAACTTTATAGTAACACTTTGTGGGCGCGAAAAGATTGATTTCTGATTTGATATCATTATTGTTATCATAGAAATATATAGCTTAATTAAAATAACCTAAAAAACCAAACAAAATACGAGAGATAATATTTTGTATGATATAATTCATTGATATTGACGATTCTAATTAGCAATTATTGATGCTTTCACCAGTTCTAATCAGGTATTCCCTTTTCTTAACGCTTTTCGTGTGTAGTCTTCACGTTTATAAAAAGCAATTGGTCACTTTGTCAAGAACCAATAATCTATAAGATAATTTATGACAAAAAACGTCAATTAAACGTTTAATGCTTCCGTCAGGATGAACAATACTTTATATAGAACATCGCGTTTGTTAAGACGCGTAAATGACCCTCTGGCCGTTTAAGTAATCGATAAACACTCATTCAAGATTGCGGCGCGTTTCGCGTGCTTTACAGCGTGCGTGGTCACGGTGAATACAACGTCGGTTAAATTTAAAATTATTATGAAAAATAATTGTAAATACATAACTTCAATCCGGTAAAAAATTGTTTTATTATCAAGGTAACTTATTACCAGAATGCTAGTTTAAATAACAATAGTAACATTATGTATCGGCTTCAAGGTTTTAAAAAATTTACATTCATTATATTTATATTTTATTAATATATTTATATGTTTCTCTTTACATATACCGAATTTAGTCATAAACGACATATTTTAAGTGGTTGTAGATCGATAATTAAAATGTAAAAGCGTATATTATGAATGCGTACGAAGAGAATAATTACCTTCCATCCTAATCAATTTGCTAATTATTTTGCGTACGTCATTGTTATTTATGAATAAATTAACGAAATCAATCAATGCTCTTAAAATGAAATATCATTAGTGGAATTTTCAACGATAACAAAATAAAGTTAATCATTACCGTGTACCTACGATGAATTGAACCGTCTGTCCATGGGACACTTGCCACAACCCTTTTGCACTATAAGCTTTCACCCTAATATCACCCATTTACTATTTAACTTGCATACAGTATTCAACTTAATAATATTTCTCTCATTACCTTATGTTTTGTTTGCACAACGGATGTCACCACTTTATTATAGCTATAATACAATGCCTAAAATGCATAATCTGCATCAAATTATGCCTGAGTAACATTGACTACTTATACTTAATTCCAAAATAAATATACCAAAAAAAATAATGTATGCGAGCGGAGCCGGGACAGGCATTAGCTTAAGAAAAAGCTCTACCTGCTGCTAAAGATATCCGGATATAAGATTTACAAGTTTGAAAAAATATAACCAATAGTAATAATAGGTATAAGACAAATATTATACGTATGATGTATCATGATTCATAAGAGTAACGAAAAGAGCGGGGATTGTTTACATAAATCAATATTTATTTTTACTGGCCTTGCTTAAAAACGATTACGATTAATTATATTTCTGTCTCTAAACTATCAGTAGAGAAATGACTAAATTTTAAGTTTTCTTCATACTCGCAGAGTGGCCCAAAAGCCATATCGTAATAGTTAATAATATATTATATCCTAGAATCGTAACATCTATAGCTGTTATCAAATGAGGTGTGACCTGGCGTGCCCTCTTATCGAGACGGCTCAAGTATTATAAACTAGATTTTTTCATTCATCAATTAAATCAATAAAAACTACAACAATAAACTTTTATAAATACCTCAATAATGAACCGAACGAACATTAATAAATAATTGATTTCATATTTTCTGATAAAAAAAGGGTTGTAAAAAAATGTTTCTCTAATAAATTCCGTAAATTAATATATAATAAAAAAATACTTACTTTTATATTATTAGATACTTAGAATTTAAAATTTTCTAAATATTATATAATTTATTTGTAAATAAAAATTATGTTAAAGCTGTTATAAACATTTTTATCTTTTCACTATACTCCGTAAAATTTATCACAAACTTGAAGTTTAAATGTTGCGCCGTCACAAGACCTCCAAAAATGACATAAAATCAATATGCTTTTCATAGAGATTAAAGGTATCATACTAATAGGGGGTTGCCAAAGAAAAAAATAAAACAAGTATAAAATTTGACATTTATAGGTATCGCATATTTGCAGTTGTATTCAACTATATCAAATTAAAAATAAAATTTTATTAAGATTTAAATTTTATATGATATACTTTTATCTGTATCAATGATCAGATTATATACTCTATCAAACTTTAACTGTGGATTATTACTTGTAATTATTGTTATTACCTCTTACTTCTTAGTATTCTGTGCTCAATTTCAAAATCGAACAAGTCGAAGCCAATGATTACTCAGTTTCTTACAGTATTCTCGAAAATGGCCGCCGCTGGTGGATCAATAGAATGGTCTACCAATGTGAAACCTATTTTAACAGCACTTTATGGACCCTTTTTCGACAAAAACGATGCAGTGGAAATAATACAAGCTATTATAAAAAGGTTTACTTTTTTATATATTATGTAGAATGTTAATGCCGATGTTTCTCAGCACTACAAAAATCTATATTTTATCTACTTGTACCTCGGTTGTTATTTGATTTTATTGCAAAATATATGTAATATAATATTTAAAAAAATCTTGTAGTTGAGTATTACGTTTTAAAACTCCTCTTTTGTTTCCCTTAATTATACCGACCGACATCCTTTAAATATTATTACTCTTTGCAGTGAAAATGAATTTCAGAAGCATGAAGAAGCGTACGACTTGTTTTACACATGTTTTGCTTGCCTCTCAGCTCATTTTATCAGCATTAATGCTAATAACAGTAAGTATATATTATGTATGTTCTTAATTTATTTCAATGCGTTGAATGAAGGATTCGTTTTCTAGATTTTTCTAACAGTGCATGTATAAAAATAATTTATTACGACCATTTCGAATTCTTAATTGCAATATTGTAATTGCAGTACCTCCAGATCAGTTAAGCACAGCTCAAGATGCTTTTCGCATTATCCTTCAACAAATCCTCAAGAAATTGTCTGAAGCTGGGCAGAGCCAGGAGGACACTTCTAATACGCTGAGCCCCAATGTGTCTGTCAAGCAGGTATTATGTTATTATTAATATTGAAATATGGCTGTGTGTAAAAATAGTTTAGTTTTTAGTTTTATCAGAAATTTTCTTAGCCCTGTTAATGTTGAAATAGCCTTTTCAATCATTTTATGTATCAAAGTGTAATTTTTAGTTTTTTCCTTAAGCCATGCCCAAGATGTGATATATAGTGAGGATTCAGTATTCAGATACAGTTCCATTACAGTGTCATATTGCATAGAGTTCATAATACAAACTGTAATTTTGTATATTACTTTGGCTTTTTCAGCTGCTATTGCCAATTGTGGCCTTATGTGGTATTGACAGCAACGGTTATCTCCCTTCGGATCTTGTTATTTTGCTGGCACTTCTGAAGACTGCTAAGCTACCACCTCATGGAAACGCAAATGGTATTATTTTTTAATAATATTGTAACTATTTTTATTACCATTACTATATAATTAATAATGGTCTTATATTATGTTTAGATTTTATTATTTAAAAGATACTTTATTTTATTCCATCTCCAAATATTTCAAATGTGTGTCTAAGGTGGTATTTAAAGTAAGTTATTGCTTTAAACAGAAAATCAAACAACAAAGACTTCAATATCGAGTCCCATAACATCTCTCACATCAAACACGTCTACATCAGAGAAGCAACCGCCAACGAATGCCCAAAGACGATCTGATGCACTGCTAGAACGGCTGACCATGCCACTTCGCAGTCAAGTATCTAATGTATTGCCTCCGGTTCCGTCTGCCATTGGAGTCACATCACCGTCGAGCAAAGACAGTATCGAGAGTGCTAAGGATGGAAATGCTCAACTGTCTTCCATTGATATAAAGGTAAATTTTACTTCGATGTAACCGGTTCATGCGAATTTGACTGACGTTAGTGGTAGTGGCACCCTAACTTTATATTTTCTTACGTGGCAGAAGTGGGTGGCATCCACGTGCGCTTCGCTTCTGATGGAGCTGCGAGCGGGATCCACAATATTGGCCATCTGTTCGTCCCTGCCGTGCCTGCAGCGATACTTGAACCGCTGGCAAACCGCCAAGGAATCCGATTCGGCACCGACATTTCATTCGGACGCCGCGCTGCTGTACTTCTTGGTGAACGAGGTGGAGGTGTGTCGCCTAGCGCTGTCCCTGCCTTGCCTGGAGCCCTTCAGTCCGGAGCGGATCGTCACCCTCAGCGACGTCAGCGCCGCTTGGCTGCTCTGCGCTACCGCCCAGGTAAATTTAGAAGTTTTCTTTTTGAGTTAAATTACGAATGGTCCAAGTCGGGTTTTGTTTTATTATATAAGGCTGATTTTGCTTCCAATCGATTGAAACGTTCGACGGAACGGTTACAGGCCACCCTCCACCAAAAGGACGAAGAGAGCGAAGCGCAGACGGCGACGATCGTGGAGACCGCGCTCAACCTCTACAATACCGTGGGAGACATCTTCAAGCAGTCCACGCGTGCCGGAGGATACGTAAGAGCTTCTCTGGTCTCTCACTCGCTCGTCGGTGAACCTCACCTCGTTTCGGCTCACTCTCACGTGGCACGACTTGCAGGTGTACCAGAACCACTCGATGATCGGGGCGTGGGTGCTCGTCTGCGGCCTGCATCACGCGCTGGGAGGCGCGCCGGGTCCCGTCCCGCCTGGCAAGAGTCCCGCCAAAGCGCCCCTCAGACCCTACAATTTGACCAAAATGTACGTAACGTCTTCGTATTTCGTGTCCTCCGAGTGATTCTCCGCAACGACGACGTCTTCTTCTCCGCAGGCAGCAGAACCTGGGCGTGGTGTGGGTGGCGCTGGGCGGACGCTGCCTGTCGTGGCTCGGCGCCCTGCTGGCCGACGCCCGCCTCGAGGCGCTGAGCTCGGGCTCGGACGGCTCCGCGAGCACCCCGGCCTCGCTCCACATCTCGACTCACCACTCGGCGCACCAGAGGGAGCTGAGGCTGGCCCTCGCCGCTCCTCTGCACCAGGTGAGCTCCGCCTCGGCCTCCCCGTCGCCCCGTCACCCCGTCGCGCGCTCCGGAGCCTCGTGCGACGCTCGGGCCCGCCAGGATTCCACGTTTGATTGCAATAATTCTCACATGGAATCCTGGCAAGCTCGACGTCGCACCCTCTCATCGTTGGATTCCCACCGCATCTATCGGTTCGAACCCACACGCTGCGTTTCCTCGAGAAGACTGTCACCGATTGTCCCCTATTGTCACGCGGTTTCGACTCTTCCCATAATATAGCGTAACGCGGGAACGGCTTGATTCAGTTGCTGGTGACCCTCGGCGTAGTGTGTTACCGCAAGGCGACGAACCTCAAGCGCGCCGTGGTGCCGAAGGACCGGGACGCCGAAGCCGATCGCTCCGAGGGCGCCGCCTTCTTCCGGGACATGCGGCTGTGCTCGGAGGACTCCGAGACCGACGACGGTGCGTGAGGCGAAGGATTGGAACGTTTCTTATTCATCCCCGAGAAAACGAATTTTATCCGACGAATGCGTTTCAGAAGACAGCGAACCTCTGTTCGGGCTCTGGTTCGAGTCGACGCTGGTGGCGCCCGACGCCGAAGACGACGGGCTGACCCGCCTCGGCGCCGCCGAAGTCGCCGACGCGGCGCCCGACGCGACCGAGCGGGGCATCGTGCCCGACAAGGCCGAACCTTACTCGGTACGTGCCTCCCTCGCTTCCCTCTCTTCCCTCGCGTCCTCGAGACCCTCGCGGCCGTCTGACCGTGGTCCTCTTGCAGTACATATCGCTCGCGACCGACGTGTTCACCCTCCTGACCGACGAGATAATCGGCGGCGGCTTCGAGCGCCTCGGCGGCTTCGCTCTCCGGCTGCACGAGGCCCACCACGCCCTGTTGGCCGCGCTGGCCCGAGACCTGGACAGGGAGAGCGCCAGGACCGACACGGGTTATTATTCTGCGGCACGTCGGCGATCTCCGCGCCCTTCGATCGAGGGAGTGCTAAAAGTCAATTCTCTCTAGGAACGATCTCGCCGTGTTTCGGCGCCCGTCTGGGCGCTCTCTACTCGGCGTTCAGTTCGGCGCTGGTGCGATATCTCCACACGCTGAGCGGCTCCCCGGCCTTCGCCGCCTCGAGGCCTTCGCTGCAGCAGCAACTCGCCTCCGCGGAGCGACCCAACACCGTCCCTTTACAGGTACGCGCGCTTCCCTATCTCGCTCGTTCCCGAGCGACCGCGAGCGTCGCACTGACGGACCGGGTCTCTCGCAGGTGGGGCCGCGCGTGGTGAAGCTGCTCGGCGGCATGGTGCTGAGCAAGCCGGCTTCGGAGAGAGAGAACAGTATCCTTGTGATGTGGCACAACCTCGTCAATACCCTGCAAGAGTACGCCTTGCAGCCGCCGCCCCCGCAGGACCACGATTACGAAGGTCTGTCTCCGATCGGCGACTGCGCGGACGCTACTTCTGTCGAGGGCGTGACCTGACAGGTTTTCTCTTTCTCCTCGACAGATCTCAACGTCGAACACGCTCAGCTCATGGTGTACCTGTTTCATTCGTTGACGCTGATGCAGAAGAAGTCCGTCCTGCTCTCCACCGCCAACGCCATCATCAAGGTAACTCAGCGCCAACGTCGGATCGAGACGAGGCCCGGCGGTCACGTGACACGCGTCGCTCAAATCTGTTTCGGCGCAGGTGGTGGAAACGCTGGGCATAAACGACAGACAGCGCGCGAAGATGCTGGCTCCGCACCGGCTGACGCTCGCGACCAGGCTGATGCTGCTTCTGGAGTACCTCATGAAACATTTATACGACGCCCCGCAGACGCTGCTGCAGCAGGTCGGTCGACCACTCGTCTTCGCCTCTCGGAGAGCGAGGCGAGCGTCGGTTCTAAAAATAAACTTTTACAGATCGAATGGAACCTCGTGGTGGCCACGGGCCTGGCCCGGCCCTCGGCGGAGACGTCTCTCGGCGAAGTCGGAACCGGCTCCGACGCCGGCCAGAAGACGCGCATTTACTGCGAAGTGCCCTTCGTCGAGCAGACCTACCGGAGGCTGACGCAGGACGAGACCTCGATGCGACCCAAGTTCTACGCGCTGACCGACACCAAAGTCAACAACCAGGTGACTCCCGTCGCTCGTCGCGCCTCCTCGCGCTCCGGCCGAGGAGGCGTCGTGACGACGTCGCGTGATTCGCAGGAGAATCCGAAGTTCGACGGGCTGGCCTGCAACTTCGTGCTCGGCACTCCGCACAAGTTGAAGTATCCGGTGCTGGTGGACGCCCTCCTGGCCCTGCTCAACTGCGCCTGCGTCTGCGACTGTCGGAGCAATCGCACCGCGGTGGCGGCTCGCGCCGCGGCGCACTACTGCTTCCAGACCGCTTGGAGGTGGGAGATCCTCGGCCGTCCTTCTCTCCGACTCCCGTGGGCGGTTCTCGATCTCAACGAGCGGACTTTTCAGGCTCGTGACGAGCATGCCCCCGGCCACTCCGCACATGGACAAGCTGCAGGCCGGGACGGCGGCCGACCTGCCTTCGCCTCTGCCGCTCTACGCCCTCGTGTGGGCTCCCCGCGCCGACGCCAAGAAGGCGTTCAACCCCTGGCTCAAGGACGCGCTCGTCAAACAGGGCATGTACACGCAGGTGAGGACTCGCGCGAAGCCCTGCAGCCCTCGGGCTCCCGGCCGAGACCTTAACGACGTCCCTGTTTCAGTACGCCGAAAATCTTCTGGCCGGAGTGAGCTCGTCGTGCGATAACATCAAATACTCGGCCTGGCTGGCCTCGGAGACCATCGAGCACCTGAAGGAGAACCTCCAAGGTGATCCCTTTGCTACTTTCCGTATCTGTCCCTCTATTATATTTATTAGAAGCCGCTTCTTCTTCTTCTAGAATAAAATGAGACACAAAATCACATTGTTAAGTTTTGAACCGACCGGCAGACGGACTTCCGGCTCTCCTCGACGTGATCTCTTGCGACGCGGCGTTGATGCGCCTCAGGGTGTGCCTGGTGGACGCGTCCTCCGCGGCGGAGGCGCACCCCTTCGTGCCGCATCTGCTGCGGCTGCTCGAGACCGTCCTCGCGTGTTGCAGGTGACCCTCGTTCCGCTTCCCGCCGACGCCGGGCGGGGACCCGGCTCTATTCGTGCTCTTTTCAGGTCGAGCGCGAGCCTGGAGGCGGGGCCGGCGACGGAGGTGGCGCTGAGCGTGTGCGGCGTCGGGTGCGGCGCGGGCGCCGGGTCTCCGCCCCGACTGGGACCGGCGCTGAAGGCGCTGCTGCCGAGCGACGTGACCGCGCTGCTCGACTCCCGCTCGGCGGACCCGGTGAGCTCTCGTTCTTCTCGCGAGGCGATCGTCTCCTCCGTCCTCGCAAGCGCTTCACCGCCGCCGTCTCTCCGCAGGCTTCGACGGTCGCGCCGTCCGAGGGCGCCGTGCTCGAGCTGGTGTCCGCGCACTGCGAGCTGATGAGCGACAGGCCCGCCTACGGCGTCGGGCCCTCTCTGGCGATGCTGGCTCGCTCGGCCGCCAGACTCCTGGAGATCGGCGCGGCCGAGATCGCCGACAGCCTCGAGCTGACGAGGAAGACGTTGGCGCTCATCGTCCCCGCTCTGGTGAGTGTCCGAAGCGCGCGGTTCCGCGAGGTTCGAGCTTCTCTGTGACCGTCGTCCTTTGCGCAGACCGACGGACGCCTCGAGTTCCTGGTCGAGCCGCTGACGGCCACTCTGAACTCGATCGTGCCCCAGGCCGTCAAGGCGGAGGAGATCGTACACGAGCACATCCTGCGGACCACGTACCCCGCGCTCTGCGCCTACGCCCCCTCCGCGGAGGGGACGCTCGTGCACATCGTGAGGTATTGGGAGGAGATACTGGATCGTCAGGCCGGTCGCGCCGCCTACGAGGCCGTGTTCGTCGAAGGTGACCGCGAGTTCGTGCTCGGGAGGATCCTTCTGTCGGCGCCCGACACCAGCAACCCTTTCACCGATCGCATCGTCAAGTGAGAACACTTCATTCTTACCCCTATTAATCAATAATTATCACCCGCTTAGCGTCGATAGAATAGAAGCGCTCAATGTGAGCGGTGTCATCGAAGTAAATTTGAATCACTAGAATCACTTTGGCTGTGTCAAATTTTCGGCTAAGATAATGAAGGAGAGAGTTGTTCTCTCTTAACTGTGTTTAAACATATTTTCTTATGTTTTCGACAAAGTTAGTCTTATTGAAAATATTGGATTACTTCTAGATAATTTTTTATTCTACATTATTGATAAATACAATAGCAAAAAACCCATAGGAAATTAGATATTTACAGAATATCAAAAAACCGATTTTTGTGACCTTTGACCTGAAAATGACATAGTCGCGTACACCCTACCAAAGCCGTAGGTTTTGAGACAACTTTTAGGGTGTCAATATACAAGTATTTCCAGACTTACAGCTGGCTATCTCGAATTCCAAGATTGTTACCTAATTTAAGCGTCAATGACTGGACTAGACGTATTATGAACATTACTTTCAACCTCGATCTCTAACGGCGCGTGGCTCCGAAAGACATACAGCCGTATATCACTCCGAGGTCGGGGTTCCGATCCAACCAAGTCCTAATATTATAATATTCCTAATTAAAATAATAATAACAATAAGAGCTCAAGAAGACAAACAAAATGGTAAATAATATTAAGGAATTTTTAAATCAGATTAGAGAAGAAATGGCAACACAAACCAAAGATATTAAAATAGCAGTAACCATAAATATCACCGAAATGCTGGAAGAAAAATTGGAGATACTTGCATACGAAACCAGTTTGCTGAAAACTCAAGTAGAGAAGTTAGAATACAAAGTTAAATATCTAGAAGAAAACGGAAACGGAGTTACTATAGAAAACAACGAAATTAACTTCGCTTTCAGACTTGGAAAAGAACAACGTAATGGACCCAGAGCAAGACCTATCCTTGTCTCATTTGTTACAAGCTGGAAAAAAAGCAACTTTTATCGGAATTAATAGAAGAAAGAAGGAATGGGAAGATTGCATTTCTTAGGGGAGATAATCTTATCGTAAAGGACTTCGGCGGAGGGAAAAAGAAAAGAAATTACACTGAGTCGCCTCCTAAAGATTAAGACTATATATATTTACTTGGGTAAACAAATTGGATTCAGCAGCGACAGAAATGATCAAGAAATAGAGAGAGAGAGTTTAAAGTACGTGGAATAAAGATTGGAGTTGCAAAAAAATATTTAAAAGTGATATGCTTATTTAGTGTTTGAGGTACACCAAATGAAAACCGTAATAGAATTCACTATCTTTATTGTCCTCTGACTTACATGGCGGTTATAAGGCGACTGATTGATCCACGTGCAAGTGGAATTACGAAATAATGATGCGTAGACAATATTACAAATACAATTGCGAAATTTCTATATAAACAATAATTACACCACTACATACACCCCCTTCTTAAAAAAAAAAAAAAATGAGTAGATACATATAAACACAAAAAACTAAAATTTGACTACTGCAACTTTTAAATAAAACTATGACAAAGTGTAAATGTAATAACTATATACGTAGTATAAATGAATTCCATATTTTTCTTTTTAATCTAAATACAAATTGGTTTTGCAATTAGCTGAACAATCGCTAAATTTGCAATTACCTACTTACTAAGTATGTTGCTTACAAATCAAAACATAAACCTGACGGGTTGCTTAACACTTCTACCACTACGCGTTTTTAAAGGTTCATTAACCTGCTTATGCTGATCTAAGTTTCCGCTAACCTGGTTGCTACTAAACTCATCTAGTATATACGCTGGCTTTACACGGTCTATTGAAACGTAAGAAATTTTATCATTTATTGCGATCTTAAAATTCTTTTTATTCCTTTCCAATACCTTGTAGGGTCCGCAATAAGGTGGTACTAAAGGTTTCCGTACTGCGTCTATTCTCAAGAAAACATGTGAACAGGAACCTAAATCAGCATGTACAAACATATTTTTATTACTAAAATCTCTAGATTTAGGTTTAATACTATTTAAAATATCTCTTAATCTAATAGGTAACAGTTTTGAATACCATCGCACTTTTTTGACGATACTAATTATTTAGGAGTCTCGGAGGACCTTCATTGGAACACCTCCAAGTGAGTTTTGCTCCGGAAACGCGTCAAAAATTTTATAAAGATTTATAAAGTAAACTTTGCACTGTAAAACTAATTACCGCTAGTCTAGCATAAACCACATTCAAAATGGCCGATTAAGTTTATAAAATTAATAGGGATGTGAAAAATAATCGATTTTTTTAAAAGTGAAAATCGATTTTTGTATTCGATTTTAATATTAAAAATAATTGAAAATTCGGCGACCAAATATTCATATACTAACTCTAACCTAACCAATCTAAATAATATTTGTTTTTGTGGACAGCTCCGATCTAAATAGTAATTGTTTATTCAAGCCTCGGCTTCTCGGCGTCCTGGTCGCCTTCGGCGACCAAATATTCATATACTAACTCTAACCTAACCAATCTAAATAATATTTTTTTTTTTGTGGACAGCTCCGATCTAAATAGTAATTGTTTATTCAAGCCTCGGCTTCTCGGCGTCCTGGTCGCCTTCGGCGACCAAATATTCATATACTAACTCTAACCTAACCAATCTAAATAATATTTTTTTTTGTGGACAGCTCCGATCTAAATAGTAATTGTTTATTCAAGCCTCGGCTTCTCGGCGTCCTGGTCGCCTTCGGCGACCAAATATTCATATACTAACTCTAACCTAACCAATCTAAATAATATTTTTTTTGTGGACAGCTCCGATCTAAATAGTAATTGTTTATTCAAGCCTCGGCTTCTCGGCGTCCTGGTCGCCTTCGGCGACCAAATATTCATATACTAACTCTAACCTAACCAATCTAAATAATATTTGTTTTTGTGGACAGCTCCGATCTAAATAGTAATTGTTTATTCAAGCCTCGGCTTCTCGGCGTCCTGGTCGCCTTCGGCGACCAAATATTCATATACTAACTCTAACCTAACCAATCTAAATAATATTTGTTTTTGTGGACAGCTCCGATCTAAATAGTAATTGTTTATTCAAGCCTCGGCTTCTCGGCGTCCTGGTCGCCTTCGGCGACCAAATATTCATATACTAACTCTAACCTAACCAATCTAAATAATATTTGTTTTTGTGGACAGCTCCGGCGCTACGGGAAATGCAGCCCCTCCACCCTTGCGTACCAAAGCACAGGCATTTTATTCAAGCCTCCGCAACCTCGGCTTTTTGGTCGCCTTCGGCGACCAGCCTCAGCCGCTACAGCTTTCATAATGCCTGTGCTTTGTTACAGCGGGTGGGGGCTGCTCTTCCTCCGCGCCTCCGATTATTTATATACACTCTAGGGGTAAGACAGACAAGACCACGTGGATAGTGGGGTGCTCTGATTCGGTTTTGGGTACTTTTTGGATATTAAAGTAAACACTTTATTCTAGTAAAAATTAAATAATATAGAAAGTTGCAAACAATGAAATACAAGTACTAATTAGAAAATACAGACGAGTAGGTATCGATAATTTCAAAAAATTTCGGAACCCTATAATCTATCAACACGAAATTAGGTTAATTTCAATGTTGATTATTCTATAACTTTAAATTTCAAAAATGAGGAAATAATCGATAAATAAATAAAACGATTATTAACAATCGATAAATTAAAAACACGATTTTTTTAAGTGAACGTCACATCACTTATAACCAATAGAAAAGTAGAAAATGGCGGATTGTTTACAAATTTTAATACATTACACAAAACTTTAAATTTTTTATAAAAATATTTAGACGCGTTTCCGGAGCAAAACTCACTTGGAGGTGTTCCAATGAAGGTCCCCCGGACACTCCTAGATAATTAGTATCGTCAAAAAAGTGCGGTGGTATTTAACACCCAACCCATCTAATAATGTACGCTTGCGGATTCTCTATTTTAGTAATACTATCGCTACAAAATTCACCAGGTAAACGTAAACAATGACCTAGAGTGAATTCCGCTGCGCTTATGTAATCGCTGTCCGCCTGACACGCTGCTCGCAGTCCTAGCATCACCGTAGGTAATTCTGCGAACCAAGCTGCGTTATTATTTAACCTCGCCATCAATGCCGCTTTTAAAGACCTATGCCATCTTTCTATTTTACCATTTGCCTGCGGATGATAAGGACTAGTGCGTGTTTTACGAATGCCTAATATTTTCATTAAATCTATGAATAATTCGCTCTCAAACTGCCGGCCTTGGTCTGACGTCAGAAAAATTGGACAACCGTACCTACAGATCCAGTTATCATAAACTGCTTTTGCAACAGTCTCAGCCGTCATATCTGTAACTGGACAAATCTCAGGCCATCGTGTACGCCGATCTATCATCGTCACGCAGTACCGATAGCCATGTTCCGTCACGGGTAGTGGTCCTATTAAATCGATATGCAAATGTGCAAAACGGTCGCCTTCCTCGAAAGTACCTAACTTAGACACCGTGTGTCGCACTATTTTACTTTTTTGACATTGAATACATGTCTTTGCCCAAATCCCTATATCCTTGTTCATATTTGGCCAAAATGCTTTTTTACATATAAGTGTTCGCGATCCCTTTATCCCTGGATGCGCTAACCCATGGAAATAATCAAATATAGACTTTCTAAACTCTTTCGGAATGTATGGACGAATATTTTTAGTAGACGTTTCGCAATAAATCAAATCATCGGAATTATTTAAGTTCATTTGTTTCAATTGTATGCTACTAGCGGTACTTGTACTCAATAAATTTGCTAACTCAGCGTCATCGGCCTGCGCATGGGCGATGTCTACGTATTGTATCGGGTTCGGACATGTTATCTCTTCTATCCTCGACAATGCGTCCGCAACGGCGTTCTCACTACCTATTACATGTTGAATGTTATTTGTAAATTCGCTAATAAATAACAGCTGTCGCGCCCTTCTAGGTTATTCTTTATTTGAGCTTAACTTACTAAATGCGAATGTTAACGGTTTATGATCTGTATATACTGTAAAATTCCTACCTTCTATTAAGTCTCTAAAATAAACGATGCCTGAGTAAATCGCCAAAAGTTCCTTGTCATATGTGCAGTACTTCTTTTGGGATTCCGTAAGCCTTTTTGAAAAGTATCCTAGGGGTCTCCAAGTATTGTTTTCCTTTTGTTGTAACACCGAGCCGATACTGAAATCGGATGCGTCGGTCATTAAAGCTAATTCTGCGTTTGCAATCGGATGCGATAGAGTGGCGGCGTTTAAATTCTCCTTACACAAATCAAATGCCCTACTAGCCTCGTCTGTCCACTGTATCTTACGCTTATCGTTCTTTTTTGCTCCGTGTAAATACCTATCTAACGTTCCCTGTACTTTCGCGGCGTTCGGTATGTGATTCCTATAAAAGTTTATCATGCCGAGAAACCTGCGAAGGTCAACAATAGTTTCTGGCTTCGGGTACATTTCGATAGCCTGAACTTTGTCGTGTAACGGACTAATACCTTTTTCTGAGACCTCGTATCCTAAAAAATCTATTTTTGCTTGACCAAAAACACATTTTCCTAAGTTAATTGACATACTATATTTACTGAAACGCTCGAACAACAGTCGCAAATGTTTTTGATGTATTAGCTCGTTATCTGATCCAATGATGACGTCATCAAGGTACCCGAATACATATGATTCCCCGGTTATATTCTTATCATCTAAACTATTCAAATGTTCTATGCCTGCTAATATCGTACTATTTATAAACCTTTGGAATGTTTGTGCCGCGTTACGCAGTCCAAACGTCATCCTTGGGAACTCAAAAAGTCCGAATGGGGTAATAATCGCTGTCTTTTCAATATCTTCCGGCCTAATTTTTATAACATGATACGCTCGACAAATATCAATTTTTGAAAAAACTTTTTTGTTATGTAAACCATAAGTAAAGTCCTGAACTCTAGGTATCGGATAACGGTCCGGTTTTGTAATCGCATTAAGCATTCTATAGTCCCCGCAAGGTCGAATTTCACCGTTCTTTTTAGGCACTACATGTAGTGGGCTGGCCCACGGACTACTCGATGGTCTGCATATCCCTAACTCCTGCATCAGCTGGAATTCTTTTTTAACTAAATCATACCTGTGAGGTGGCAACTTTCTTGCACGCGTATATACTGGCGGGCCTGTTGTCTCAATATGGTGATAGACGGAATGCTCTGGCACTTCCTTAAAAATAGGTGGGCGCGTGATTTCCTTGAATTGCTCAAGTAATTCCGCGTACGGCTGGCTACTACTAATAGACTTCACCGCTCCTATCGAGTTTACACTCTTTGTTCCCCAAACGTACAAATTAGTAACTAGGTCAACTAATCTATTATTATATAAATCTACTGACAATCTAAAATTTCTTAAAAAATCTGCCCCAATTATTGGTTGCTTAACATCGCACACTATGAACGGCCATTTTAAATCTCTCCTAAGGCCAAAAGTTATTGTTAAATAACATATGCCGTATGTTTTTATCTCGCTATCATTAGCCGCGTATAACTTAAAATCGCAATGAATTAGTGTGCGTTGTTTAACACACCATTTCGGGATTACAGAAATATTAGCTCCTGTGTCTATCAGGAAAGTAAACTTAGATAAACTATCCCTAACTAACAAACGGTGATTACTAGATACCTGTCCCTCAGTACATCCGTCCACCGCCTGCGGATATACTGGTTCTAGTTTCCCGCGCCGCTGTCTGTCTTTACGCCAGGCACAAGGTTCCTCGCACCTTCTCGCGTTCTTCCTCCACCGGAAATGAAACCTGCAGAGCCACTCTGGATCCCCTGGAGTCCTTCTTTTGTGCGACGAGGACCTGCTCCTGTAGCTTTGGTGGCCGCGACTCCTGGGACGTCCTTGATCTTGTTCCTCGCTGCGGAGTGCCGCAACTTCCAGCATGAGCTTGTTTATTTGCTGCATGAGCCCCGTAATTGTGTCTGCTACAGCAGGCATATGTGGTGATGATGCTCCGGCCATGGCTGCGATTTCGCCGTTGTTGTGCGCTCTCTTCGTATACTTGCACGACAAATTTTTACATATTTTTGTGAGTCGCCCCGCCCTATTTAGATTTTCCTTTTAGTTCCCATTGAATCACGTCGGGCCGCCCGCGAATCACGTCGGGGTCACCAGTTTAGTGTTTGAGGTACACCAAATGAAAACCGTAATAGAATTCACTATCTTTATTGTCCTCTGACTTACATGGCGGTTATAGGGCGACTGATTGATCCACGTGCAAGTGGAATTACGAAATAATGATGCGTAGACAATATTACAAATACAATTGCGAAATTTCTATATAAACAATAATTACACCACTACACTTATAATACTTAAGAAGAGAGTTATGGACTCATGCCTTTTTCCACGTCTGACATGCATGTTAAAAATGGAAATTTACAAATAAATACGTGTCAACGAGGCATGGAAAGGAGCATGCTAAATATTAAAAAGTTACAATAAGATAGGACACACAAAAATAAGGTCAGAGACGAAAGCAATTGATACTCTCAGCCACACAAAAAAACTAAAGTGGAAGTGGGCGGGTCATGTAGCGCGGCAAACGATACAGAGGCAGACCCTACGCTTAATGGGATGATGACATGAAAAAAATCCGAAAAACGAGTCCTCAATGGATCTAAATCGCTAGGGATAGAGAAAGATGGCAAGCCTTGGAGGAGGCTTTTACCGGAGAGGTTTCCTGATACACACTAACTGTAAAAGATATTCACTTACACATGAGATAATCAGATATTTTTGTATTAGGAAAAAGTTAAGGCTAAAAATAAGTATTGGAAATTACGACACATTTGACTAGATTAACCAAGTTATTTATTTTTATTTAAATCAAGTTGTAAAAACTTTGTAGGACGGATGAAGTCAATGAAAAAATTCAGTAAATAAATATATTTAATTTATTGCGAGCGCTAAGTACCCTGGTGGTACATTTTTGGGGTTTTCAGGCTGTTCATCAAGATATTCGCGGGCTGCGAAACGGAAGACGTGAGCCAAAGCCTGTGCGTCGGGGTGTGCAAGGTCATCGGCGTCGCTGACCGCCAGAGCTTGTTGGACCTTCTCGGCCACATCTGCATTTGCGCACCGAGTGAGTGTTCCTTTGAGTGGAACCGCTTCGTGAAGGTCCTACGTTTCTCTTATTCACTCGAATCTCGCTCGTCGCAGCCCTCGCGACGGTCGGCACGGCGAACGGCAGTCCCGCGGGGACGGAACTCCCGACTCCGACGGGCTCGGCCCCCGAAGGCCATCCCGCCTCGCTCGCCCTGCGCAACGCCATCCGCTGCGTGCTCTTCCGCACCGACGGCGACGCCGCCCCGCGCCCGGACCTGCCCGTCTTCGAGAATCCGTGCGTCTCCGTTCACGCGTTCGAGCCGATTCTTCGGGCCGGCTTCCTTTTTAATACGGAGGCATTGTGTTTTCAGTGTCGCGGCGACTCCGGCTCCGGGGGCTCAATCGGAGACGAACGCCCAACAATCTGGAAATTCAGGTGAGCCGGCCTCCCTTTCGTATACGCACGCGGTCACCGCTCTCGTCGCTCACGGATACGACGTCGGTTCGCAGAGACGTGCAGCTGGTCGGACTGCAGCAAAGACAGCGCGGGGGCCACCGGGACGGGCGCGGGGGCGACCCGCGCCGAGGCGAGTTCGCCCGTGGGCGAGGGCACCCACGCCGCCCTTCTCACGGCGCTCTGCAAGCACGTCGTCCTGCACTGGTGAGTACCGCGGGGCTTCGGCTCGAGAGATGGACGCTCGCTCGTTCTAATGGCGTTTTGGCTTTTCCAGCGAAGAGGAGGCGAGCGAGCGGATGCTGGTGACTCTGATCGAAGTGAGCGGCGAAGGCTGTCCTCCTCCGCTGCTTCGAGAGATGTGCCGCCTCGCGGACTCGCACTCGGGCACGCTCCACGAGCTTCTCTTCCCGGCCGCGCTGGCGTGGCTGTCCTCCTGGTAACGCCTCTATCCGCTCTTCGTCAGGTCCATTATTATCTCGACAGTGATCTGATCTAAAAATCGTTACGATACATTCTTCAGCGTCGAAAGTCTCTGCAGCCCCGAGGTGCTGGAGAAGTTAGAGGAGGGCACGATCGACAACGAGAAGACGTCGCCGCAGATAGAGTCCGCGTGTACGCTGCTGTCGTACTTGGGCGACGCCTTGCACGCTATCGGCGCTCCGCCCTCGCACGGTAAGATCGCGTCGTCGACGCTCACGCGAATACGTGTCCGGTCAACGAGAGCTGCGATACATCTAAACGTGTCTTACAGCATGGCGATCGGTCAGCCCGACCTGGGAATCTCCTTCCGACCTCGGCTTCGACTTGGACTACGCCGACGAACAACAAGACGACGACGATACGAGCGCCGACGATTCCGTGAGTGCACCGAAGGGAAGGGGAGGGCTCCCGTCGCCGTCTCCCGAGGCTTCCTTATCGCCCTTTAACTTTCGCCAGGACGAGGACGCGGTGCTCACCAACAAGCTGTGCACCTTCACCGTTACGCAACGCGAGTTCATGAACCAGCACTGGTACCACTGCCACACGTGCAAGATGGTGGACGGCGTCGGAGTGTGCACGGTCTGTGCGAGGGTGTGCCACCGCGGTCACGACATCTCCTACGCCAAGTTCGGCAACTTCTTCTGCGATTGCGGAGCCAAGCCGGACTTCAGGTCCGTATCGATCCCGGTTTGAGCTCGACTTTGAGCTCGTCGTTCGAATGACCCTCGCCTTTTGTGCCCCAGCTGCCAAGCCCTGGTGAAGCGCGAGAAGTCTTCGGGCGGCGGCCGCCCCGCCGAGGAGGCGCCCCCGGCGCCGTCCCTGCGCCGTCGACCATCCAGCCCCACGCCCGCCGCTTTGCTGGCCCCGCCCAGGAGGCCCGTGCTGGCTCACAACATTCAGGGTTGCCGAAGCTTCCTGGCGAGCTACGGAAAGTGGGAGTGGTGCCTCGAACGCGTGCGCACGCTGCTGTGCGCGCTGGCGGGCCCCGTGCGCGCCGCGTGCGAGCGGACGGCCGCGGTCGGAGCGCACGGCCGAGCGCAGAGGGCGCTGGCGCAACTCCACCTGGGCGAAAAGAAGTTCTCGCACACGGACTCGCTCATGCTGCCCACCCTAGGTACGACTCCGCCCACCGATTCTTTCGCGATCGACGATCTCCGAGAACGCTCAGCGATAAGGTTGCTCTATCCGACAGGTTCTCAAGAAGGCGCCTTCGAAAACGTGCGAATGTCGTACACGGGAGAGAACGGTCAGACCATCAGACAGCTAATATCGGCACACAAGCTGCGCCGCGTGGCCATGTGCTGCTTGGCTTCGCCGCAGGGCCGGAGGCAACACCTCGCCGTCTCGCACGAGAAAGGTGACGATTCTCGAACCTTTCGGGGCGTTCTGGCGAAGAGCTCTTTCGATAAAAGTCTTTGATCCTCACAGGCAAAATAACGGTGCTCCAGCTGTCGGCCCTCCTGAAGCAAGCCGACTCGTCGAAGCACAGGCTGACCCTGACTCGGCTGTCTTCGGCCCCGATCCCGTTCACCGTGCTCAGCCTGAGCGGGAACGCGGCCAACGAGGACCTCTTGGCCGTGTGCGGCCTCAAAGAGTGCCACGTGCTCACCTTCAACTCTGGCGGTGAGCGCTTCTTCCGTTCCGCTCGATCGGAAGCGATAACGTGATAATCACGCTTCTCCTTCTTCTCCGACACAGGAGCCGTGGCGGATCATCTGGTGCTGACGACCGACCTGGAGGCGAACAACTACATAATTAAAGCCATCTGGCTGCCGGGCTCGCAGACGCAGCTCGCGCTCGTCACGTCGAACTTCATCAAGATATTCGATCTCAGCAAGGACCTCGACAGTCCCTCGCATTACTTCCTCGTGCCCAGCGGAAAGGTCGGGCACCGCCGATTCCACTTCTCTTCCACGAGGCGTGGCACGGCGGGAATGTTTTACCATAATCGCTCCGATATCTTCGTCGTCAGGTCCGCGACGTGACGTTCGTGAACCAAGAGGGAGTGATGAACATGCTCTGCATGAGCTCGGCGGGTCACATCTACTGGCAGCCGCTGAGCGAGGAGTCTCGGGCGACGCTCGGCACCTTCTACGTCACCAACACCTTGGAAGTGTTGCACCCGGAGATACAGGTATACGGAGTACGCGTCGGAAGAAGGGGCGGTCTCCGGGCGGAATTAATAAGGCCTTTATACGTGTAGGACGTCGCGGGGTTGGTGGGCGGAGGTGGAGTTTCGATCTACTACTCGCACACTCTGAAGATGCTCTTCTTCTCGTACGCTCAGGGAAAGAGCTTTCTCGCCCCGCTCAACTCGGTCGAAGACAGCGTCAAAGGTATGTACGTTTTCTACTGAAAGACAGTGACGTGCAGTGGAATGGCGGCCAGCTTCCCTTCCCCCCCTGGGAGTCGAAAATTAATAATTAAAACCTTCGTTGTCTCCACGTCCAGGCACCGCCATGATCACGGTGTACGGCGGAGGGGGTGGCCCGAAGGAGGGCGGGCGCGGCAAGGGCGGCGCCCAGTCTCTGCTGCAGTGGGCCGAAGTGCCCGGACACCCGGGCCTGCTCACGGCCCTGATGCAGGCCTCCAACAATCCCGTCGTGCTCATGCTCACGCCGGCCGGAATTCACGTGCAAGAGATCAAGGTTCGACACCGACTCGGCGGTCTCCGTCGTCAGAGCGAAACTCGCAATGATCGTCCGTCTCCCCAGGTGGTGCCGGCCAAGGCGAAGATCACCGACATGGTGGCCGTGCGGCACTGGTGCGGCGCCGGCGAGCAGAAGAGCACGCTGATCCTGCTGTGCGAGGACGGAAGCCTGCGCATGTACGCCGCCGATCCCGCCCGGACGGGCTTCTGGCTCTCCGGCGCCGTGCAGCCCGTGCACGCGCCGCGTAGGCGCGCCCGCCCCGTCAAGCCCTCGCACGCGCACACCGCCCCCCGGAAGCAGCATCAGGTACGCCGCCGGCGTCTTCGCCGCGCCCCGTGAGACCCGCCTCGCCCTAACGTCGTCGTGTTTCCCGACAGCCGACGCCGAAGACGAGCGACGGCGCTCCCCAATTCCCGATAGACTTCTTCGAGCACTGCCACGAGATGAGGGACGCCGAGTTCGGCGGCAACGACCTCCTGCAGGTGTACAACACGGCGCAGATCAAGCATCGGCTGAACACCACCGGTACTCCACCGTCTCGCTCCTTCCGGTCTCTCCTCCTCTCCGAGAGAGAGCACTCTATAAAGGGACGACTTTTTCAGGCCTCTACGTCGTGTCGACCAAGATGAGCGGTTTCACAATGGAAGTCACGAACTCCGACCCCAACACGGTCGTGTGCGGGATTCGAGTCCTGCTCGGCAGCCAGGACGTCGCCAGGACCCCGACTTACGTCGAAGTAATTGTTGGCCGTTCACTTCGTGACGATCGAGGCTCGAGCCCGACGCTGACTCACCGTCCCTCGTCCCGTTCCAGATATACGGCAGAGCGGTCCCGACTATGGTGGTTCGCAATCGATGGTTCGACATTCCTCTCTCGAGAGAAGAGTCGTTGCAATCCGACAAAAAGCTCTGCGTCGTCTTCGGTCCCTCGCAAGATCCCGACGGCGTCACCATGGTGGATTCCGTGAAGGTGGGCTCGCGCGGATCGACGATCGCGGCTATCGAAAGGTGATAAATGAACGCGAGTCTTTTGCAGATCTACGGAAAGAACAAGGAGCAGTTCGGTTGGCCGGAGGAGAACGAGGACCCGGCCGCCTGTCCGTCTTCCGGCAGAGTGGCTCAGGTGCGTGAACCGTCGACGGTAGGTTCGCGTGTCTCGCGTCACGTTCGCTCACCGTCCGCATTCGCGCAGGAACCCGAAGGCGCGGCGGGCGCCGCCGACGGGCCCGGCGCCGTGGAGCGTCTGGCGTGCTCGGCTCTCGAGGTGCTAGAGCTGAGCGCCGGCGCGTCCGTTCGCTCGGGCGTCTCGGCGGGAGCGGACGCGGCCGCGGACGCCGCCGAGAGCCTGCTGTGCGTGCCCGCCTCTCCGCCGCTGCACGCGAGGGCCCAGTGCCTCCTGCGCGCCGTCTACCAGGGCGACTATCATCAGCGCAAGGTGGGTGCGAGCGGCCGAGTTCGCCTCCGACGTTCCTTCCGCTGCTGACGTCGTAATCGCTTCAGGACCGGGCCGTCCTGCGGTACGTGTGCGCCTCCCTGCGAGAACTGCGCGACGCGACGGACGCTCGCAACGTGGACCCCGAGGCGTACTTCCGCCTCGTGCTCCTCGCTCGCTCCGTGGCCGTCGCGCGTCCGCACAACTTGGTTCGATTCACGGCGCCGACGCCCGCGAAGCCCGCCGACGGTAAGTTCTTCCTTTATAGTGTACTTCTTCACTTAAGATCATACACGTGAACGTACGTCCAGGTTTGGATCGTCCATTTCTGTGACCTTCTATGGTCCTACAAATAAGCGATTACTATGGTATGTCCAGACGCATCTTCTACGTCTAACTCGTATTGGAGGAGATGTTAATGGTGTTTTTAATTTTAGAAATGCGTTTCCACGTTTGATAACACGTTGACCATTTTTTTTACAACCTCCATCGTCAAACATTTTTCTCGACTTGTCACTCAATTTCGTCTCTGGGGGCCCACCATGAACTCTTATTGCGAGCCTATTGACAACCTACAACTGATCGAAAAAACGAGACAGTTTATGTTCCCACGTGACCTTAGCGGTTATCAGATTTCGTTCGTTCAATTTGTATGAAAATCCGTACCATGACCGCTCGGCTGAACCGAAATTTGACAGTCGCGCCTTCCAACTATGACAGAATAAGCGATTCTAAAAAAGTTACGTTTTGTTTAACTTTTTTGTATCGAAATGTCCAAATAATAGTTTAGAACCTATAAAATTCAATATTTGTATTAAAACTTGTTAATAAAGTTAAAATAATAAGATTTATCTACTAAGGCTAATATAGGAAAAACAATATAATTTTATATTTCGGATATTTTGAGTTTAGAGTGTGATTATAAATAAATTATTAAAATATCGACGGAGATGAGAAACAATACGGCAATACCCTTCTACCGAGTTTGTAGATATTGAGTTTATAATTTACTATAGATTAACGACTTTGATTCGTCCGAATATCACATTGTTCAATAATATTCAATTAATTATTTTGGCATGTCTAACAAAAACACAATTCCCCAATATAATATCATATTTTACAATAAATAAGAATGCCATATCACTATTAGATAATTATTATAATTAAATTTTTCCTCATTATGTTCATGAATTGTATTATTCTCCTCTGCTTTTCGTTGTTTAAAAAAACATAGGTATTTTTAAATTTATAATGTGTAAATAATAAGCCATAAAAATATAATAACAGTATTTATTTAGTTAGGATGACTCCATCAAGATAGAAAAAGATGTCTTCAGGCAATGTTCAATTGGACATAAACATTTATTCATATCATTTCAGTCTCTCAATTATTATAGCCTCTTTATTTCCTTAATGAATAACATATTAAACAACTTTGTCATATGATTAATTATTACATAATATGTGCATGCAATAAAAAAATACAATATTACTATTTAAATTCCAATCATAATTAATAATTTCAATGTATATAAATTTGAAATGATAAATAAATTAATAAGAATCAAAAACAAAATTCATTTTGCTCCACATCTGTCTGTCTTTTGCTTTGGTGGTCCAGTTTTTCTTTTTATTTCATCAATCCAGTTTTACTTTGGTCTACCTCTTAATCTTTTTGTTGGTTCTTGCTTGGTGTCCATTTTTCCTTGTCCACGCGAGCAGTAAGACCCGCCCAATTCCATTTTTGACTAAAGCGTCTATTATTTTTGTTGTTTTCCTTATTTATGTATTTCTCTTCCGATGTTGTCTTTGTATGATTAGTAGACTCCTTTCCATCATTCTCTTGCACACTTGTGCAAATCCATGCCTGGAAGCCATATTATGTAAGACAAGGTATTAAATATGAGTCCATTATTTTTTTCTTAAGTTTTAAAATTCTGATTTATAAAAATAAATAAATAAAAAATAAAAATAAAAATAAAATAGCCTTTATTACTGTAAGTTTTAAAGTTAGTATATATAAATTAAAATTATAAAATATCCCTAATTACAGTGTGCCTTTCGGCAAAGGCCTTCTTCAAAATTCTGATTTACGGGTTTCTTTATTGCTCCAGGATTTATTCCAGGTTAGGTTGACTCGTCTTTTAACCTCATCTTCGTGTCTTGTCTTTGAGAAAGATACTTTTTGACCCAGGTAAACATAGCTTTAAACATATTGTAATGTACTGTTATTATTAACCTTTACTGGTTTGGTGGTTCGCCATAATAATAATATTTCATTTGATAGAAAAGATTTTGCATTGTAAGTGCATACGTAGAGGTTTTGTAGTGGAGATGGAGGGTTGTAGTCATTATCCCCCGCGGTGACCAGCCGTATTGGGAGATGAAGAGGGGCTTTCCTGTATAGAAAATAAAATTATTTATATTATTTGATTTTAGAGTAATAAGTTGATTTGTAATATCTTTTGCAAAGGGTTTTATAAGATACAATACGTATATATATATATATATACATATACTAGCTGATCCGGCAAACGTCGTTTTGCCATGTACTCGTATATCATTTATAATAAAAAATAGGGGTTGGTGATAGAAGGGCAAAAACTTAGGGTTGTATGTATTTTTGAATATCGTATCATAAAAAAATAAAAAATAAAATTTTGTCAAAAAAATGAAAAAAAAATTGAGGGGTGGACCACCCTTATTATTTAGGGGTGTGAAAAATAGATGTTAGCCGATTCTCAGACCTACCCAATATGCTTACCAAATTTCAGAGGAATCGGTCAAGCCGTTTCGGAGGAGTATGCAGACTAACATTGTGACACGAGAATTTTATATATAAGATATATATAAGACAATAGTTTGTATTTCAATTGCAAGAGGCTAAATAAAACTTCTATTTGTTTCGCTGTAAGTAAAGAATGCAATTTTATTTATCGAGTAGGTTACACACTGATACAATCCTTACAAGACTAACACAATCTCACCTGTAAGTAAAGAAACGACAATAAAAGTTTATTGTTATCACCTCTCGATGCATATAACTTAACTAAGTATCAAATTAATTAACAAATAAGATTAAAATACAATTCAACGATCTCGGCATATTTGTCCTTTACATCTTTGACAATGGCAGCTAGCTTGACGTGACACGACGCGGCTCACTCACGAACTAACAGTGCGCGCGAATATTCAAATTAAAGAGATCATTCTCTTTACATATATATACACATCGATATAGGTATTTATTTTTAATAAACAAATTTGTCAACAATACTTACCCCATTCTATTATTTTCTAAGTTAAACAATTTATAAAACTGAAATTTTGTAAACACCAAAATATTGAAAGCTCCTATCAAATTTTGACGGAAACCTTTAGAAATAATAAGTGTCACTATCATAGCACCAGAAAACTTTACGTTTAAAATATATCAAAAGAATAGTTTTATATTAAATAAATATATATATATTAAGACATAATAGCTTATTGGAATTGATGAATTATTTAAAATAATTTTATATTTTATTTATTGAAGTTATACTTCTTTAGGCGCGTTATGAAAAATTTATGAGAGTGAAATTTTACGATGCGCGCGCACCTGTGACACAAAATTGGGAGTGTGATTATAGCGTGCGCGAGCGAGATAGGAATAAGACAATCTACAAGTAAAAAGAAATAGAATATGCGTGAAGTTCGTATGCCAAGAATTTTGAATGACCATAATGACATTTGTCATTTACCTTTTAAACAAATAAAGGAGTTTTGATTAATTTTTCAAAGAAATTTATTAATTTTATATTGTGCAATACTGCCAAAGCTACAACATACTTCTTAGTGTTTGGTAGAGATGTTCTAAATATATAATTATATATACTTTTAACTAAATAGAATTTATGTTACACTTAATGTAAGAGAATAATAATAAATAATTATTTATTTAATTTTTCAAATGTAAACTGAACTTAATTGACTATAATGACTCCTTTTCCAGTCTTTAATTATTTAATTGTAATTAATTATTATTTGCATGCAATCAAAAACTATTTTTAATAATGCCAAAGAAGTATAACTTCTTACGCGCGTACATAAGTACACGCACCCTTTTTTTTTATAGAAACATCTGTCGGAGTAAGTTTGACAGTTAAATTTCTAAACGTACATAGAAACCACAAACAAAATTATCGTTATTTCATTCGGTCTTGCGATGCTAATACGTTTCAGCTTATAGGCGGTCATGGTACGAAAAAATGCTATTGACTTTAGGTACCTAAACTCATCAGCATCTCAACTGGATCGTTTTAAGAAAGTTCATGGTAGGCCCCCTGAGCATAAAGCGTTGTCGGTTTCACGTATCTACATTCTGTCTTACCCTAATAGTTGATAATAATTTGTTGTTGGGGCGATAAGGTTGTAATTAATTGTGGTAACTTATAATTGATCGATCTAAATTCTAAATGTACCACTTTCTATCAAATAAATGATTATATTATTATTTCAACCAATTTATTCATAATCAAAAATATAGAGAATAGAAAAATGTTATGATTTAATCTAAGATATTCAATTCATTCATGCATTTAAAAGCCATTAATTAGGAGATAAAATAAGAAATATTAGATTATTTTACAACATTATATCCGTTTTTATCAAAGGTTAATCGTTGAATATATACGATTCCGTGTTACTAGTACGCGTCGTATGCGTTTCTGTCGTTTTACCGACTCCTGCATTTATAGGCGACTGGTCCGCCCTGTGGAAGGGAGACGCGCCGGGCGACGAGCCGCACGCGTGCGCCTTGCTGGTGAGCGTGCTCTGGAAGTTGGCGGCCTGCAAGAGCCAGGCGCGAGGCCCCCCCGGCATCCTGTCTTACGGCTTGAGACACGCCGAGCACACTTTGCACGCCCTGGCCGACATCATACATGCGTTCCAACTCAACTCCGACCCGGAATGTGTGAGTACAGACCGACAGACCGAGGAGCTTTTAATCTTTAAATATTCCGATTAGACCAGTGTCGATAATTTTTTAAACCTAAAAAAATAATAGTAGGATGAAACCCATTGGAAAAGGAGGAGAATATTATAAAAATTAAAGGAAAAATAATTTACGGGCGAAAATTTTAAGGGTAAAAAACGGTTTATCTCGATTTCCGGCAAAACTAAAAGTCCTATGGAAAAAAGTCAAATGGCAAAGTTGTAGGTAATAAAAAGATCTAAAACTTTTGTATTTACACATTTTTCACATAACCTCAAAATTTATGTGAAAAATTCAAAAAACCAAGTTTTTTGTTTTTAATTTTTATCTTTTACAAAATTTATTTTTTTCTCACGAAATTTGGTGAAAACTTACCTTTTTATGTCTTTAATACGCTGTAATTTATTTGATTTGAAATAATAATTTTTTCGCCTTATTTTGAATTAATATCGAAAAAGCACCCTAATTTTCAATCGAAAATTCACCCGTCAAAATATCAGCTTTTTTCAAAAAGTTGGTGTGCTTTCAGTTCGTTGAAATCTCTACTTTCCTATGGTAAAAAAATATATATATTAGGTCCTTACATATGAAATTGGCGTATTTCGTACTGGCCACTTTAATCACGATGTTCTCCTCTTTGGTAAGGAATTCCAAATTCAAATTTGTACAGCTATTTACTCATGTATTTGTGCTTCGATGACCGTCATTCATTTGTTTTTTTTCTGTTTATCGCATTATTTACGAGTACGAGTTCCGCCGTGGCACTAGTGCTGCGGAAACGACTCGAAGGGTGAATGAAGTGTATGGCGATCATGTTGCAAAAGAAAACAAGTTCGTTTTTGGTTCCAACGTTTTTGTTCTGGAAATTTCGACCTGCAGAACATGCCCCGTGGACGGCCTGAGACCCAAGTTGATAATGAAGTATTGAAGGCTATTGTGGAAGCGGATCCATCGCAAACCACGTCCGACTTAGCTGCAGGCTGCGGTGTTAGTGATAAAACTGTTTTAATTCACTTGAAGCAAATTGGGAAGATTAAAAAGCTTGAAAGATGGGTACCTCACGAATTGACTGAAACAAACCGGCAAACGCGCGTCGACTGCTGCGTTACATTACTGAACCGGCACAATAATAAAGGTATTTTAAACCGAATCATTACCTGTGATGAAAAATAGATTCTTTACGATAATCGAAAGCGCTCAGCGCAATGGTTGAAGGCCAGGAGGCCAGCCAGCCAAATCCTGCCCCAAGCGAAAATTAACCCCAAAAAAGTTACTTGTAAGCGTTTGGTGGACTAGTGCCGGTATTGTTCATTGCAGTTTTCTCAAATCTGGCCAGACTATTAAGGCTGATGTCTATTGTCAGCAATTGCAAACCATGATGGAAAAGCTAGCGGCTAAACAACCTAGGCTGGTCAATCGCTCCACGCCACTGCTACTTCACGACAACGCTAGACCACACACTGCACAACAGACGGCTACCAAATTAGAAGAGCTTCAATTGGAATGTCTAAGACATCCTCCGTACTCCCCGGACCTTGCTCCAACAGATTACCATTTTTTTCGAAATTTGGACAGCTTCTTGCAAGGGAAAAAATTTAACTCTGATGGGGCAGTCCAAATCGCCTTCACAGATTTTATTGATTCCCGTCCGACTGGTTTTTTAGTAAAGGGATCAATGAACTACCTATGAGATGACAAAAGTGCATAGAAAACAATGGTTCATACTTTGATTAATTAAAAATATTCGACTTTTTGTTCCTCCCATACAAAACGCCAATTTCATATGTAAGGACCTAATATTAACATAGTAAATCTTCTCAGAAAATGCAAAAAAATGGTATGCAGTAACGCCCAGACCCGTCATCCCCTTCCCTACTTCATTGATGTGTGTTATTGATGCACATGCATGTATCTTGTTTTCTTTGTCGTGTGTTCTCTGTAAGTGTTTGTATGTGTTTCGTTAGTGTGCCTTTTAAAATAAAATAATAATCTCAGGTCGAATTCGGCAATCAAATCTACCTGTCGCTCCTCCTCGCCGAAGACCAGAACATCAGCTTCGGCGCGAAGACGGCTCTCGTGCGAGTGCTGCGCCCTCGGGTGAAGAGGCGACGCGTCTACATTCCGTCTCCGCCGAACACGCCGGGTGAGTACCGGCCGAACCCGACGCACGTCTCACGACGAACAGAGAACTCGGTTCGTATTCGGCAACGCGTCACCGTCGTCTCCCCAGGAGCCGGCTCGTCGGCGAACGCCGCTCGCGCGAGTGGCTCGGCGGCTGAGGTCGCGGCCTCGGAGCCCGAGCTCGGCGCCCGGCGGGAGCCTCGATACGTGGACGTCGACGACTCGCTCGAACCGATGGTGCTGCTGGCGCCCGACGGAGGTGCGTCTCTCGCTCTATCGCGTGGATCTCGACGTTCCGACCCGAATGACGACCCTTCGATTCGGCAGGTCTCGAGGCGCTGCTGGACATTCCGGCAGACGCGGACGACGAGACGATGGTGGAACTGGCCATCGCGCTGTCGCTGCAGGAACAGGAGCAGCCCCGGAGGCAGCAGCCGCACACGCCCACGGCGCCGCCGCCGCCGGCGCCCGGCTTCAGCGACGCCAACGCCTCGCCTAACGGGTGAGAGACCGTCTCCCGCGTCGCTGGGCAAATTTCGATCTGTCGTCGGTCGGCCGACCTACATTAAACGAGTAAATAAATTTCCGCAGCTCGGACGACGAAGGCAGCACGGCGGCGACGGACGGCAGCACCCTGCGGACGTCGCCTGCCGAGGCGGCGGGATCGGCCGGCGAGGAGAGCGGTGGTTCCGGCGCCGACAGCATCGGCGGAGTGTCCGGCCGCAGCAGCGTATACGGTGAGCGAGGAGAGTCCCCGTAGAGAGTGAGCCGGTACGTTCGTGCGAGGCGTTCTAAGTCTGTCTCGGTCCCCAGCCGGGCCTTCGACCTCGTCGTCGCAGCCGGTGGCGTCCACGTCCCGCGGCCCCGAAGCGGAGAGCGAGACGCGCAAGCTGCACGCGCTGCGCCTGTCTCTGCTGTCCGCCGCGCTGGACGCCCTGCCGACCCTCAGGAACTTACCGGGAGTCAGAGCTATTCCGTTCGTCCAAGTGAGTCGCTTTACGATTAACATTTTAAAACGCGATGGCCCCTTTCAAACCAGCTTCTCCTCAGGTGGTGCTGATGCTTGCCGGCGACTTGGATTCTAGTGTCGAAGGGGACAGAGCGCTCCTGGATCTCCTGCTGGAGGTTCTGATCGGCGAGCTTGACATTCAGAGCGAGGAGCCCTCGGGCGAAGATCGCGACGCTCGACGAGACTTCCAGTTGGCCATCGCCAGGTTGGAAACGCTGGCCTCGGAACCGGCCTCCGCCGACGACAGCGCCCCGCCCGTCTACGAGAGGACCAATCGCAGAGAGCTGCAGCTCGTCATTATGAGACTGCTGAGTGAGTGACTTCCGATCGTTCAGTAATCGCGGCAGTGTTCAGGCGCGTAGTAACGTGTGGTTCGTATCCAGGCGTGCTCATGAGCCGGTGGAAGACCTGCGGGTCCCGCGAGCACGCGCCCAGCGCGTCGTGCGCGGCCCACGTGTCGCGATTGGCCGCGGCCGCCTTCGTGCGTGCCGGCGCCCCCGGCCACTGCTACGGCGTGCTGGCCGCGCTGCTGCCTTATTGGCGGCAGAAGAACAGCAGCAGTGAGTTTTTCTTTCTTTCACGGTTTTCTTTGACGATCTTTCTCGCCGTTACGTTCCGAAATGATAGCCCATTTCGGTTTAGACGCGGCCGCCTCGACTCCTACGCGACAGCTTCTCAAGCCTCAACCGCCGCAGCCGCTGCCCGACATGCAGCCGTTCTTCGTCAAGGAGTACGTCAAGAGTGAGTCGATTTTCACGCTCGAATCTCATCTAACGTTCCGTTCTCTTCGAATCGCTGATGAGAACGAACTTTTTCATTTCGACAGGTCACGTCCTGGACGTATTCGATAACTACCCGCAGCTTTTGATGGAAATGGCGGTTCGTCTTCCGTACCAGATCCACAAGCACTGCGATTCCTCGCATTTCGATTCTCGCTGGCGCACTCTTCTCTGCGAGTACATGATGAACCCTCAGACGCCGCTCAGGTAGATCGATCGAGACGGTATCTCTGCGTGCGGTCCGCGCTTTGCTTTTGCTTTTTCTCATTCGATGGTGAAATCCCAGGAAACAAGTCCGCAAGCTCCTGCTGCTCCTGTGCGACACTCGAGAGCGCTACCGTCAGATTCGCGACGTGCACGCGCTCGACACGCACCTGAACGCCGCGCGGGCGCTGCTGGCCACGGACCCCGCCTACGACAAGCTCGTTCGGCTCATGGAGCATCTCAAGGCGTGCGTGGAGATCGTTACCCCTCGCACGGGCAACTGGCAGCACGCGTGCCGCTCGGAGCGGCGCGAGACCCTGCCGTGGCTGCTGGGCGCGGCCAGGCGCCTGCACCCGCACGTGGCTCCCACCGTGCTGCAGCTGCTGCAGGCGGCGCTGTGCCCGCCCGGCGCCCAGCCCGCGCACGCCGCCCAACCGGCCCAGGCCGGCGCCAAAGACGCCAAGGCGCAGCCCGAGTGGCCTAAGCGCGAGCGCAGCGCCGACAGCGACGGCTACGTGTCGGACGCCTCCAAGTTCCAAGAGCAGAGAGTGCCCGACCTCGTGGCCCAGATACACAAACAGGTATGCGCCTTCGGCCGGGCCCGGGCGACGAGGACTCCGATCGGAAGGTGCTCATTCGGGTATATTTCCAGGTGTCTCAGGAAGAATTGAAACTTTTCGTGAAGGCCTTCCTTCTGGAGACCAATTCGACCGCGGTTCGTTGGCAAGCGCACGCGCTGCTATTGGCCATTTACAAGTAAGTCGAAGTAAATATATATTCGATCGATTCGATCCGATTGAATGTCGAAACGTCACGTGACTGCGTTTGCAGCAACTCGTCTCCGAACAAGCAAGCATCTCTGGTGGCGCTGCTTTGGAGTCTGTGGCCCACGCTGCCGCAGTACGGACGCAAGGCGGCGCAATTCGTCGACCTGCTCGGCTACTTCACGCTCAAGACCTCGAAGGTCGACGGCTCGGTGAGTTCAGAGCGATCGGGACGATCGAACGAAACACGTTTTCCGTTTCCGTCCACTAAAACTCGACTCGAACAGGAGTACATCGGCAGCGCGGTGGACCTTCTGCGCAACCAGAACCGTCTGTTGACGTCCCACGGGAACTCGGCTCTGTACGCGTCTCTGGGAGCGTACGTGGAGCTCGAGGGCTACTACTTGGAGTCGGAGCCCTGTCTCGTGTGCAACAACCCGGAGGTGCCCATGGCCACCATCAAGCTGCCCACGATAAAGGTCTGTCGCGTCTCACGCTCTCGCACGATTTGCGCGACGGCCTCCGAGGACTCATCGTCGTCAACCGTCCGCAGATCGACTCCAAGTTCACGACCACGACGCAGATCGTGAAGCTCGTGAGCAGCCACACGATCAGCCGCATCAGCCTGCGCGTCGGAGACATCAAGCGCAGCAAGATGGTGCGCGGCATCAACTTCTACTACAACAACCGCACCGTGCAGGCCGTGCAAGAGCTCAAGAACAAACCCGGTCGGTGCCCGCGCCTCCTTTCTCTTCCTCGCGAGAGGCGACATCTCACGGTCTCTTCTTTGCTTTTCAGGCATGTGGCATAAGGCCAAGCGCGTCCAGCTGCAATCCGGACAGACCGAAGTGCGGGTGGACTTCCCGCTGCCGATAGTCGCCTGCAACCTCATGATGGAGTACGCCGACTTCTACGAGAACCAGCAGGCCACCGGTTCGTGCGAACCCTTATAAAGTCTAAACCTCACCGAATGCGCGATGTGTTAAACGCGACCGTCTGCTCGCAGGGGAATCTCTTCAGTGCCCGCGCTGCTCGCAGTCGGTGCCCGCGAACCCCGGGGTGTGCGCGAATTGCGGCGAAAACGTCTTCCAATGTCACAAGTGCCGGTAAGTTTTCTTTAGCCACCGCCCACTCTCGCCCGCCGCTTGGCGAGCGGCAGAAAGCGAGAGAGCAGCTCGAGGTGTGCCCCGTCCCCTACGACTTTCTTTACCTAAGTCTTGGATCATCTTCGACAGTTCGTCTACATTATTGTATAGCGAGAATATGTCAGGACACTCGAATGGGTCAAATTTGACCCTTTTTCTACGGAATGAAAAATGAGAGTTTAGTGGTTTCAGCGTGCGATTCATATCCTTGAGGTCGTTAGTTTCGATCCCCGACTAAGCACCGATGGACTTTCTTTGTACGTGCTCATTTAACGTTCTCTCGAACGGTGATGGAAAACATCGTGAGGAAACCGGCTTCCCTTAGACCCAAAAAGTGTCAGACACGGGAGCCCGATCACCTATTTGCCTATGAGATTGACAAACGTCCATCCAAAAAGTGTCAGACACGGAAGCCCGATCACCTATTTGCCTATGAGATTGACAAACGTTCATGAAACGGATACAGAATCTGAGGCCCAGACCTGAAAAGTTTGTAGTGCCACTGGATTTTTTTACAATTTGTTTAACAACATCAGTGTGATCGATCGTTAAATAGCCAATCCTAAATCCTGCTTGTTCTTTTGCTTGATTCGTTCTTTTCCAATTTCCTTGATATACGCCAAAGAATGACTTCTGCGGTGTCAATATGTCTTCGCACTGGACAAACCATAGCCGCATATAGGCACATCGTCTATTTGCGATGGCATCATCAGAAAATAATGTTTGGTGTTGATAGATAATTATATTTTCTATGTATAGTTTCCTGACTGTTTTAAATTTAATAACTGTAAGCAGATTATTTGCAATTTTTTCCACTCCCCCTCTTGTAAGCAAAGCTCTCAAAAATAATAGTACTAATAACGTATTAATTTTTTGTAGGAAGCCTCGAAAATGCATTTAGTTTTCAAGCATAGACAATATAATGTGGGTAATATGTGTAAAAAAAGTAAATAATTACTTTTGACGTTATCACGAAATAAGAAAATCAAAGACACACACACCTCAGTAGACATGGAAAATTTGCAGCTTTTGAGTTCCATGCCTCAGTTAATATATATATATATATAAAGGAATATTATTATGGATTTTTTCTAAATGAAAACACAAAATTGTTTCTCTGAAATACAAAGAAACGACATTTAATGTCCACTTATCTATCTTTTACACTATAATCCACTAAATTAATTTACACGTCATCCGCCATTTTATCGCGTGTCACTCCGACGCGTCAAATTCAAATTAATGAAATATCATTCCATTACATCTCCCCCCTAAGAGAAAAAATTCTGAATAATATATCTACACACTATACTTAATAGCTATCTTCATATTCGTTTTCCTTATATTTCATCTTCTTCAGATTCTGTTGTAACCGGTTGTAATTTTGTTATGTGTAACAAAGTTGATTCTGTTTTTCTGTTACCAGTGTCAATCCTATAAATGGAGTTCGATATTTTCCCTACTATCTTAAAAGGACCTATTTTTAATTCGTCTAATTTCTTTCTATTCAGTCTATTTCCATTCTCAACATATACACTGTCGCCTATATTAAACTCTTGCATTTTTCTTTTTCTATCAAATATTTTCTTATTGTACTTGTGGGATTTTATTGTATTTTCTAATGCCAATCTTTTATCAGCAATCCACTTGTCTTCTCCTTCTATTATTTTTAATTCATTTGGTAGAATGCTGACATTTGTACCATCCAGTAAATATTTTGGTGCAAAACCTGTAACGGAGTGTTCTGTTTCATTATATTTCTCTACACATTCTCTTGCCACTGTTGTCCATGTTCTCTTATTATGTTTCTCATTTATTCTACATCTTATTTTATTAACTATTGTTTGATTTAACCTTTCATTCAAGCCATTTGAGAATGGTGTATTCACAGCTGTAAAAATTAATTTAACATTATTTTCATGTAGATATTGCTTAAATTCTCTTGAATTGATGCCTGGATATTGATCTGTCAAAATTATTCCAATCTCATCTGTTTCTAGTACATTCTTTGTTAGTTTTATAAAATCACTTGCATTCTGTGTTTTTGACGTCACAATAAATGCATATCTTGTATAATGGTCTACTAAAAGGTGTAGGTACTTTTTTGTTGATCTAGATCCTCCAAAGCCACCTATAGTATCCATTGACATTATCTCAAATGGTTTTGTTGCTGGTCCCAGTTGTGACATTAATCCAAATTTTCCTTGACCTCTTGATTTATTTTTTATGCATATTTCACATGTTTTACAAATATTTATGATATTCTTTGTTAGGTTTTTAGCTGTGTATATTGGACTTATTTTTTTCTGCAATTGTCTGATCCCAATATGGCATAAATCTTCATGCACCTTTTGATAAGTTTCTTACTAAATTCTTCTGAGAGGATAATCTTTTCATGTTTCTTTATTTTCTTATAATATATTGTATTTTTTTTTATTAGATTTTCTTTATTTTCTTCTATTGTTTCATTTTGCTCTTGATCTTCAACTATATCCTTTATTTGTATTAAATTAACTATTTTCAATAATTCCTCTTTGTTATCTTCTGATTCTAATACAGGATTTCGGCTTAAACAGTCTGCTTCTACATTTTCTTTACCAGGTATATATTTTACCGTAAAGTCGTATTGAGACAGGTAGTATGTGAGATCACCCAATTCTTCGTCTGTCCTGCATTTAATGTTCATGTTTTCTAAAGGTTTGTGGTCTGAGTAAATAGTGAATTGTTTTCCAATGAGCCAGTGTTGCCAGTATTTGACTGCTTCTTTCATAGCAAAACATTCTAAGTATATAGCTTTTTTCCGTTTTTGAGATTCATTCAGTTTTTTTGAAAAATATGCTACTGGTTTGTCATTACCGTCCAGTTGTGTTTGTTTTAATATTGCTCCGATACCCTCTAAGGATGCATCTGTAAAGATTTTTATTGGTAAGTCTTTGTCATATATTTCCAATACCGGTTGAGAACATAAATATCTCTTTATTTGATTAAATGATTCTTCACACTTCTCTGACCACACAAACTTTTCGTTTTTTCTTAATAATTTATGTAATGGATCTAAGATAATCGCGCTCCTTGGTATGTATTCATGGTAAAAGTTAATTTTTCCCAAAAATTGTCTGATATTCTTTTGTGTCTTCGGAGTTGGAAAATGTTTTATCGAAATCAAATTATCTTTTAACGGTCTTACCGAGTTGTTTTGAATTACATGGCCAAGATACTTTACTGAGTCTGAGGCAAAGGTACACTTCATAAACTTCAATCTAAAGCCTTCTTTTATTATTGCCTCTAATACATTTTTTATGTGTCTTATATGGTCCTCAAAAGTAGAGGAGTAGATTAAAATGTCATCAATATAATTTACAGAGTATCCTGTGAGATAGTGCTTTCTCAGAATATTACTTAAAACTCTCTGGAAAATTGCTGGTGATGTTTTTAAACCAAAAGGAAGGCAGGTCCACTGAAAATGGCCATCTTGTGTGACAAATCCTGTTTTATATCTATCTTCCACCCGTAGTGGTATGGCCCCAAAATGCTGAGTTTATATCAAGAGTAGTAAAATACTTACAATTTCTTGTCTTAATAATTAAATCATCTATTAATGGGAAAGGTTGAGCTTGTGGTACAACAATTTTGTTAAGTTCTCTAAAATCTATACATAATCGAGATTTTCTATTTTCACCTTTTTTAAATGCTAATGTCACTGGCGCAGCAAAAGGACTGTAAGATTCTTCTATTAAATTATTCTTTAGTAATCTGGATATTTGTTCTTCGATTTCTAATTTATCTTCTATCGTACATCTGTATGGTCTTTTACTACAGTATGTATTTACAAGTAAATCTATGTGAGCTTCATAATCTTTAACTGATCCTATATCATACTTGTCCCTAGCAAAAATAGTTTTATATTTATTTATAACTTCTTCTATCTCAATTTTCTTTTCTTTATCTAAATGATCTGTCTTACTAACAAATTCCTCTGTTTCTATGTGTTCATTGAAATTTATTGCATATATTTTTATATTCTTATCTTCATTTCTGTTATCTTTAGACATCCTGTCTATTTTCCTTTGTTCTATCTGCAAGTCCTCATTTTGGATTAATTTGAACTTCTTTATCATATCCAATCCGATTATAAAATCCTCAAAATCTTCATTTTCTACTATATATATATCGACCTCTTCTTCTAAATCAAAGATTTTTATTTTTATTGTTATCAAGCCATCTGTCTTCTTCACACCATTAACCGTTTTCATATATGTTATATTCACATTGTCTTTTTTTTCTTTTACTTTAATCAATCTTGAATTTATTAAAGAGATCTGTGAGCCTGAATCATAAACACCGCTCACTTCTAGTTTATTTTCTAATAATAGCTTGATTTTGATTAATGGTGTACTTACTCGTTTTTTTCTCAGTATTCATATCTACTTCAATAATCGAATTATTATTTACATTTTTGGCTTTAAAAACCTTTTCAGATTCATTTTTATTTTTCTTGAACCAACATAACTCCTCCGGATGATATCTAATTCCTTTGTCCAAAGATTCACAAGTCTTACATGGCTTCTTCTCATTAATTTTATTTTTATAAGAATATATATTCTTTGTTATAGTTGAGTTTTTCTTGAAAATCATACATTCATATTTTCTTATCTCGTTAAACAAATCAGTAGTGTTGTTGAGTTCGTCCCTGTTTAACTTATTCAAGATAAAACTAGGTAAACCAGTTGCAATTAGATCTATCATTGTTCTGGAATCTATCGATTTATTTATATCTAGTATAAGCCGTTCTTTTTTTATAGCATAATCAATTAACAGCCCTTCTTTATACTTGAATGTGAAAGCAGTTGTGACTACATCCCACCCTTGGTTCCTAAAAGTTTCTAAAAATTTGTCTTTCCATTCATTCCATTCAGAATTTACTGATAGTTTAATTACCATCGAGCTATACCAATCCAAACTGGAGTTTTCTAAAAATAATCTCAATATATCTATTTTTGTTTCATATTTTGTTATATTAAAACGCTCACACTCTTTTTCAAAATTCTCTATCCATTGCACTGCATTAGGATTCTTACTTGTGAATTTTTCGATAATAAATTTCTCTGAAACATGTTTTAAATTATGTTGATTTTCTTTTTTTGTTGTAGATTCTATTAATTTTTCCAGGATATGTTGCAAATTATCATCATTGCCTCTTGGTTGTTTTGTGCTCATTTCCTCTAAATATTGATCTAAAAATTGCATATTACCTTCCTCATCTATATATGTTTTCTTTAGATCTTCATCTAATTTTACCCATATCTTTCTGCTTTGGTGCCTTTTCTTTATACTATTTTTTATTTTTGAAAAAGTGTTCAATTTAACTATATATGTATGATGAATCACCGGCTTCAATTCATCAGGTAAAACATAACATTTTCCTTCTTCTGTCAATATTGAAGTTATGGCCAATATATTAGATTTGCCATCGATTGAGGCCATCATCGTGAACTCAAATTGCAGCCGGTCCATCTTCTTTTAGTTAACAAAAATGTCGTTTTATAAAGGAATATTATTATGGATTTTTTCTAAATGAAAACACAAAATTGTTTCTCTGAAATACAAAGAAACGACATTTAATGTCCACTTATCTATCTTTTACACTATAATCCACTAAATTAATTTACACGTCATCCGCCATTTTATCGCGTGTCACTCCGACGCGTCAAATTCAAATTAATGAAATATCATTCCATTACATATATTTCACAGGGAAGGTCTCTTTAAATACTTCACAGGCGTCAAAATTTTTCGTTATACTTATATTGACATTGGTGTAAGGACGTTTACAACACTACACACATTTGAGGTACCTGGCTGAATCTTATCAATATTTTTCATTCAATTATGCGTATTTATAGAATTGAATGTTACGATTAATTGGTGTGACGTAGCTGAAACTTGTTTTGTCTCTCTTTGTTATCTCGGTAAGCAATTTCAAAATGGCCACATTTTTTTTAAATCAAAAGCATTTTGAAATATTTCAGGGCAATAAACTACGACGAAAAGGATCCCTTCCTGTGTCACGCGTGCGGCTTCTGCAAGTACGCCAAGTTCGACTACACTCTGATCGCCAGACCCTGCTGCGTCGTCGATTCCATCGAAAACGACGAGGAACGGAAGAAGACCGTGCAGACAATCGGCACTCTGCTGGACAAGGCCGACCGCGTCTACCGCCAGCTGATTGCCAACAAGCCCCACTTGGAGGTGAGTCGCCGCTTCCTCGAACCGCGTCGGTTCGCGCGAAGACGGTAATCCCCGAGAAAACCTTCCCTCTGCTCCGCAGTCGCTCGTGCACAAGATAAGCGAGCACCGCGTGGACGGTCGACCGGACGAGAACAGCAACACGGCGACCGCGGCCCTGGGAGGGGGTCAGGTCAACCGCGTGATCCAGGCGCTCGCGCACAAGTACTGCGTCGAGAGCAAGGGGCACTTCGAGGACCTCTCCAAGATCATCCAGAAGGTGCTGGCCTGCAGGTGAGGCGTCGCGCCGGCGCTCCTCGACCGCCCGTCGCCTCTCGTCACGTTTATCGCGTTCTTCTTCTCTCGCAGGAAAGAATTGGTCGCCTACGACAAAGCTCAGAGCGACCGACAAAACGGAGAGGCTTCGCCCGCGTACTCCGTGCTCGCGCAGAACTACGACGGCGATCTCGCCAAGGGTAAGCCCCCGCTCGGCCCGCGCCCGGCAGCGCCGTCCCCGTGTCTGACGCTGTCCCCGTTCGCAGAGAGCGGCGGCTCGTGCTACGGGTGCTCGCTGTGTACGGCGGAGCACTGCCTGACACTGCTGCGGGCCCTGGCGTCGCAGCCTGACAAGAGAGCCGCCCTGTGCGGCGCCGGCCTCGTGCACGAGCTCGTGCATCACAATCTGCACCGCGGCACGCCGCAGGTACCGGGCGTTCGTTCCGTTTGCCTTCCGTCGAGCGAGCGATTCCGTCGAATAATACGCGCCTCTCGCCCTCCACAGAGCCAGGAAGAGGTGCGCGCCCTGATCTGCCTGGTGACTCGAGACAACTTGGCGGCCACCGAACGCCTGTGCACTCTGCTGACGCAGCGCATCACTCTGTCGCTCGTGGGGCACGCCGCCTCGCAGGACCACAACAACTCCGTAAGGAATTTCCACCGCTCGCGCCTTCGCATCGGACGCACGATCGTCCGTCTCGCGGGATGACTTGACTCTTCTCTTTCCCTCGTCAGGTGCGGCCCCTGGTTCTCCTCTTGGGATCGCTGGTGAAAGTCCAGGACTCGATCGAATGTTGGGAGGTGAGGCTGCGATGCGTCGTGAAGCTGTGGGTCTGGTGAGTCAGCCGTCGAGTCGTTAATTCGATTTCGTCCAACTCTATCCGTCGCGGGTCACGTTTATTAATATCGATCGACACTCGAGCAGGTGCTGCCCGAAAGTGAGCGAAGTGGCAGGGATCCCGCCGGCCGCCCAATACATCCTCAAGGACGAGGCGTTGGTCGACATGCCCGGCATCAACACCTCCTCGCCCAACTGTGAGTGTTTAAGTGTCGCGTCTCCGCAGTCGTCGCTCGCCCGTCGCGCGGCATGTGTTTAACCGCGTACGCTTCCCTCGCCAGCTCACCAATTCGCCCTTCAACAAGTGGCCCTGCCTTGTCTCCGCTACATGCAAGAGCTGATGGCTCCGCTCGCCGCCGCGCCGTCCGCCGCGCCGTCCGCCCTCTCCGCTGCGGCCTCCGCGACGGACGATCGAGTCGAGGAAGTCAAGGTACGCGTCGTCGAATCGTATCGTGTACGCGGTCGCCGGACGACCGTAACGCCGGACGCGTGTCCGCAGGAGGGCGACGAGCCGCCGAATCGGACGGGCGACCTCGTCGTCGACCTGGCGGCGTGGCTGGCCGGCCGAGTGTCGCAGAGGGAGTGGCGCAGCCTGGCCGCCCCGGAGGCCGCGCCGCCCGCCGACTGCGAGCTGCCGCCGAGGGACCTGCGTCTGGCGCGCGAGTGCGTCGGCCGGTGGAGGCGCCGGGTGCTGCTCGGCCGCGGCATGCGGCGCGTCAGCCTGTCGGACGGCGGCTGGCTGCGGCCCGTCATGTTCGACCCCAGCTCCCGCATCGCGAGGGACACGGCCTGCCGAGTCGTCGCGTCGCTGTGCGACTCGTACGAGCGGACCAAAGCGGTGAGTTCCCCTCGCCGCGGCGAACGCGACCCTCGAAGCGGAACCGCACGGCTAATTGTCGTTTCGTCGTAGGTGCTGATTCTGTTGACGAGCTTCCTGCCCGAGGTGGGCGCGGCCGGGGAGGCGAGCGAGCAGTTCCTTCAGCTGTATCAACGTACGTTCATCGCTTTCGTGTACTCGCGGTCGGGTTTGTGGGATCGCGTGTATCGTAATTTCCCTTCGTAAATTTATCAGGACTAGCCGCGAAGAGCCCGTGGAAGCAATTCCTGGCGCTGCGGGGCGTGCTGCAGCAGATAGCGGATCTCATGACTGACGAGATCGAGCAACTGCACCGCCTCGAGGAGACCACGCTCACCTCGGACCTGGCTCAAGGTATCTTTTCCGTCGTCGGTTGCGGTCGGTCGGATGAAATAATACTTCTTCATTTATATGAATTTAATATTGAATCATCGTTTAGGATACGCTCTTCAGCGTCTCACGGAGTTGTTGGCGATGTTCCTGGAGGAGCCGGGGGCGCGGAGGGCGTACAAAGGCCGGCTGGTGGGAGCCGTCCTCGGGGGCTACCTCTCTCTGCGTAGGCTGGTGGTACAGAGGACCCGCCTCACGGACGACACGCAGGAGAAGCTGCTGGAGCTGCTCGAGGAGATGACCACCGGTAGGTCGCTCGTCGCTTTCGCCTCGCGCCTCCACAGCTCAGGTTTTGATTTGTGTCGGTCCGCCAGGCACCGAAGCGGAGACGGCCGAGTTCATGGCGGTGTGCATAGAGACCGTGCAGAAGTACCCGCTGCACGACTACCGCACTCCGGTGTTCATCTTCGAACGGCTCTGCTCCATCATCTACCCGGAAGAAAACGACGTCGGCGAATTCTTCCTCTCTCTGGAGAAGGATCCGCAGCAGGAGGACTTCTTGCAGGTCCGTTCCTCCTCTTTCCGTCTATTGGCTTTTCCGATTAAACGGCAGTCGGCGCCCTTTTCACGGCAAGGCTCGTTTCAGGGCCGCATGTTGGGCAACCCGTACTCGTCGGGAGAGCCGGGAATGGGGCCCCTAATGCGCGACGTCAAAAACAAGATCTGCACGGACTGCGAGCTCGTGGCTCTGCTGGAAGACGACAACGGGATGGAGTTGCTCGTCTGCAATAAGATCATGTCCCTGGACTTGCCCGTCAAGGATGTCTACAAGAAGGTCCGTATTTTTTACACCGAATTCTTTAAAAAACAAATGTATGCCAGTGGGCGACTTTCTCTTCTTTCTTCATCAAATATTAAGTTCAGGGTTCACTGCCGAATTTCGTGATAGATTTATAAGTTAGACTCAATTTACTAAGTAATATTTAAAGCTTAAGCAAAACGTTGTTATATTTTGAGCCGCCTTAATCACTAGATGGATGGTTTATAAAATAAAATGTATTTGATTAAAGGTGTGGTGCACGTTGGGAGAGAGTCTGGAGGCGATGCGCGTCGTGTACCGTATGAGAGGCCTTCTCGGAGACGCCACCGAAGAGTTCGTGGAGACGCTCAGCCAGACCAACGCCGAAGCCGTCGACGACGAGCAGACGTACCGCATGGCCAACGTGCTGGCGGACTGCGGTCGGTACCGGGCACCCTCCCCCTCTGGCTTCGTCTCTTCGGCGGACGTAGTAAGCGTCTTCTCTTTCCCTTCAGGCGGCCTGGAGGCGATGCTGCGGCGCTTGGCGGCGATCCAGCGAGTGGGCGCCGCGCGAGCCCTAGTGTCGACCCTGCTGCGCCTGTTGAGTCTGTGCGTGCGCGTGCGCCGCTGCGTGCGCGTGCTGACGAGTACGGAAACGCGCGCCCTGCCCGTCCTCTTGCACGCGCTCACGCTCGCCGCCGCCGAGGAGAAGGACATGCCCAGGGCCGAGCTCGTGCATCAACTGCTCGAGGTGACGCCCCGCGAAAACTTCGAACGAACGCGGTTCCCTTCGGCGTGGAACTTAAGATCGTGGAATTCTCTCCTTTCAGATAATGGAGCGCATACTCACCGTGGCGGCCAGCGAGAGCTTGGAGTCGTTCCTGCAATTCTCGCTCACGTTCGGCGGCCCGGAGCACGTGCAGGCGCTGCTCAACTGCACCGAACTGACAGGTGACTCTTCTCATGGAATAATCCTCGTCGACTCGTTCGGAGTAGGAGTTCGGTTCGGTTCATAACGAAATGAAATCTGCAGCGATCCGCAACAACTCCGTGTCTCTCGGCCACCTGATGCGCGTTTTGGCCGCGTTGGTGTACGGCAACGACCTGAAGATGGCGATGCTGGTGGAGCACTTCAAGCCGGCGCTGGAGTTCGAGCGCCTCGACGCCGAGCAGTGGGGCGAGCGCGAGTTCCGCATCGAGCTGTTCTGCGCGCTCTGCGCCAACATCGAGAGGAACAGCGTCGGAGGGACGCTCAAAGACTACCTGATCTCGCTCGGCGTCGTCCGCGACGCCTTGGACTACATAGTGGTGAGTCTTCGACTCGGGCTTTAGCGCCTTCGGTCTCGCTCGATCGACGCTCACGAACGCTCTCCGTCCGCACAGAGACACGCGCCGTGCGTGAAGCCGACGCTGGTCTGCACCGACTCCGACGAGCTGAAGGAGTTCATAAGCCGGCCGGCTCTGAAGTTCATCCTGCGGTTCCTCACCGGCCTGGCCTCCGACCACGAACCGACTCAGGTGAGATTCCGTTCCGCCCGACGCGCTCGCGGTCGAGAGCCGACGACGTCTAATTCCCGATCGCCGCAGATGCTGGTGTGCGAGAAGGCGATCCCGATAGTGCATCGGCTCGAGCAGGTGTCCTCCGGGGAACACGTGGGCTCCCTGGCCGAGAACCTTCTCGAGGCGCTCCGGTCGCAGCCGCAGTGCGCCGACAGGGTGCGGCAAGTGCGGGAGTTCACCAGACAGGTACCGCGTCGAGAGATCTCGCCTATCGCGACCCTCTCTAACCGTTCTCGTCTAAAACGCTCTGCCCGGTGGCCGTCGACAGGAGAAGAAGCGCCTCGCGATGGCCGTGCGCGAGCGGCAGCTGGGCGCGCTGGGCATGCGCAGCAACGAACGAGGGCAGGTGACGGCGCAGTGCTCGCTCACGCAGCAGGTGGCCGACCTGGCCGAGGAGGCCGGCGCCGTGTGCTGCATTTGCCGCGAGGGATACAAGTACCAGCCCACGAAGGTCAGCCCGAGCCCTTCGCCGCTCCCGCGGAACCCCGTCGCCTCGATGACGAGCGTCTCGCGTTACAGGTGCTGGGCGTCTACACTTACACGAAGCGCTGCCCCGTGGAGGAGGCGGAGGCGCGCCCGCGCAAGACCCTCGGCTTCACGACGGTCTCGCATTATAACGTCGTCCACGTCGAGTGCCACATGGCCGCCGTGAGGCTGCAGCGGGCCAGGGACGAGTGGGAGAGCGCCGCGCTGCAGAACGCCAGCACTCGCTGCAACGGCCTGCTGCCGCTGTGGGGACCCAACGTGCCCGAGTCGGCCTTCGCCAGCTGCCTCGCCCGTCACACCACCTACCTGCAGGTCGGTCTCTCTCGGACCTCTCGCGACTCGTCGTTCGCCCCCACTTCTCTTGACCGCGAACCTCTGCGCAGGAGTGCACGGGCCACCGCGACATCGGCTACCAGTGCACGGTGCACGACCTGAAGCTGCTCGCGTGGCGCTTCGCCCGCGGCCGCACCTTCCACGACGACACGGGCGGCGGAGGCCCGCTCTCCAATATGCAGCTGCTGCCGGCGCTGCTGCACATGGCCCTCTACGTCATGAACACGTGAGCCTCTCGACCGTCGTCGTCTCGAAGGTCCCCGGGTAGTCTCTAACGGCGCGCTTCTCCGCAGCACCCGCATGGCGGCTCGCGAGGCCAACGCCGTGAACGAGTTCCTGTCCTGGGCGCCGGCCAAGCGCCTCGAGTCGGCTCACGAGGCGGACGGCGCCCTCTACTACGCGACGCTCGCGCTGCTGGTCCTGCCGCCCGCCGAGTGAGTACGCCCGGACCTCGAGCGGGGTCGCGAACGAACCGAAGGTTGACCTCGCGCGTGTCGGCAGGTGGCGGCGCAACCGCGTGGAGGTGCTGCGTCGGCTGCTGATCACGGGGCAGGCGCGCTGCGTGTCGTGCGGCGTGCCGCTGCACGCGCTGTCGCCCGAGCAGCGCGTCCCGAGGCCCTGGGCCGACCTCAAGGCCTTCGCCGTGTTCGCCGCCCTCGTCGACCAGCTCTACGGGGTCATGTTCAAGGTGAGACTCTCTCCGCGTTCGGCGCGGCCGTCGCCTTCGGACCGCTGACGAGCCCGTCGCTTTGCAGAACGTGTCGGCGGCCTCCGCGGAGCAGTGGCCCGTGAAGCTGGCGGAGTACATCCGCGTGAGCGACGAGGCCAACGCGAAGGCGGCCGAGCGCATCGTGGCCACGCTGACCGACGAGCTGCTGCCCTGCACCTCCTTCGCCGAGTTCTGCGACGCGGCCGGCTTCCTCGAGGACTTCCCCGACCCCGACGCGTTTCTTTCGACTGTCTTCGAAGACCTCTGAGTCCTTCGCCCGACCTAAATTGTACGCGTGCTTTTATTGTTTTCGGTTTTTCATAATATAATGTTTAGCTTTCGACGAGTGTTTCATTTACTGATTCGTTCCGTTTCTTTCAATTATTGACAGTTGACATTCCAGGTCAATTGAAAGAGCAATTTCTCAGGTCGTTCGGCAATGACCTATCGGAATTACATATTTAATTTAAATATTTATTAGCAATTCTAATAACGAGTAATTCCATAATTGATCAATTTCTCTCTCGTGCCTATAACGAGACTAATACGTTGGACGTCCCTCGTCGGTATGATTGTTGATTGAGATCATTTCGGTTGAGAATTACATTTTTAGTTGCTAACAATATAATATTTTTTTTAAAAGTGCAGGTAGGTCGCATCGATGTTTCAACAGGCATTATGCGACTAATGAATAGTAATAATTTCTTAGACGCTCGTTCACAGACATAAATAAATGCTAGAAAGGCATTTTGATGTTTTGTAAATACATTATTTATTCAATTAATTTATATTTAACTTTTACGATTTTAATATGTGTGTTTTTATTTTTGTAATTTTATAGGTATATTAAGGTAGGTTAATTATATGTACTTTTAAAAGTTTTTTAAATTTGTAAAAAGGTTTTATCCCTTTTAAACTGGATGGCAATGTATTAAATATTTGTGCGCCTTGGTTGTATTAAACGTAATTTATCAATATTTCTAAATGAATACATTGTATTTGCTTTTTGTGTTTATATGAATTAATTTGTTAATAATTTTGTATATTAAAATTGAGGTATTGTAAACGTATGTCTGGTTTATCGTCATTAATTTGATATCTCTGTATAGTTTTTGAGTTGGAATCAAATAATCGTGATAGAAAGTCTTCAGAAATTTATTTTGCATAATTTGTCACGCAGCACACAAGTATGGAAGATAGTTTGGATTTAATTAGGTCAAAGAGCGGCTTCCACGTTAAACGACTATCCAATACAACACCAAGATATATTTTGGCTATTTGTTCTTATGATAGGTATTTGCATCCATTAATGTTAAGAGGTATAAAATTTGTTTTTTCTGTGTTGATAGTGAGTAAATTAATTTATAACCAGTAAAGCAGTTTAAATCAATTTGATTTACAATGTAGGAAGAGACAAAGGAGGCAAATATTTGTGTTTATCTTTAGCAGTCGGATTCATTCGTGGTGTGACGTCATCGTACTGTCGGCAGCCTAGGATTGTAGATGTCGCTACTCGGTAGGTATACCAAGGTGGGGTACCACAACAGAGGCCAATGAAACGATCAGTTATTTAGAAATAGTTTTATTTTTAATATACATTTTCTGAAATACATTCACTCAATAATATCGTGAAGATGACTTCCCCCACATTATATACAATCATCGAACATTCGAGTACAAAAATCGAGTTGTGCTGAATATTCCCAAATAAATTAATGACATTATTATATTATGTATAAATAAATAGGTGTAGAGATAAATATTCAAGCGCTATTTGAAAACTTTGAAATGACCAATGATGGCTATAGGTCGCGATTGATTTTATATTCTTTCCATTGTGTTTCGCGTTCGTCAATTGGCAATTAATAGGCAAACCGAAAGACAATGAACAGCGGTTGAATGATCATCCCTTAATACTTTGAAACTTTATCTTAATAAATGTGAGAATGACACTCGCCTTCGAGTCGACATTATAATCATAAAGTGTTTTCTTTCACAAATCACCAACACCTAGTACTGTTTTCTCTAACATCTGATTTTTTTCGAGATAAATGTTTTAAGAAATCACATAAGGAGTAATACAAATGGTCCGCGTAACACTTATGAAATGCGAATACTCGAGACGGTTAACTTAAAAGATGTTGTATATTTAGAGGTCGTAAGAGCCCGCCTCGTCTTTGCCGATGCGTAACACGTACTTGTAGAGCAGACCCGAGATCGCTCCACCGGCGAGGGGACCCACCCAGTATACCTGTGCAATTGAAATATATTAGAAACTGACTAATTAGGCCGATCAATAAGTGACTTGTAATAAAATAACAAGGTAATAATATATTAACTGAGAGGTAAAGAGAAACTAGATTTACATACTCAGGCGAGTGCCATTTCTGCAAATCTTGGGAAAGTAGCGCATACAATGGACATTAGCCGTCATTGTATTTGCATAACATAATGGTATGCTGTAATATCTTATCGCAATGTGATAGGTTTGCCGCTGAAAACGTCGTGGGAAACGAACGTCTTACTAGCCCATGGCTGTCTGCCTATAAGAGCACAGTAGTCGCATTATAACGTTACGTTACGGCACGATAATCGCGCTGTATAGGCATTAATTTAGATGATTTAACTATTTCTGCGTCATATAAATGTGTATGGCAAGTACGATAAGGTCGTCGAAGCGACAGGAAATTACTTTCACGTGGCTGGATCTATTGCATCCTAGCGCAGTGGTTTTATATATTATGTAGACGCGCTTTCACCTCTGATCGGTCAACATAGCGGACACCAGTTTGATCTACAACATATTGTGACAAACATTCCGATATTGACATATTCATTAGCGCAATCGCAAATAATAGGTATGTAAGATCAAACAATTTAGTAAGTGCTTGTTGTAACTTTTTTAAACACCTTAAAATCTTCTGTGTAAGTCACAGCATATACACAAATGCTGAATGATAATTGACGAATCATAGCTCCTATATAGTCCATCGTTAGTTTGCATAAAAACGTGTTTAGGGGGTTCCTAAAATTATGAATGTTTAATTGGAATTTGCAAAGCCAATACTTAAATAAGAGAATAAATAGAACCAGATACAAACCCAATGAGAAGTCCAGTTGCCCATTACGACGGCCGGGCCGAAGGATCGAGCCGGGTTCATGCTAGAGCCGGTGAACGGAATCTGTAAAGTTAATTAATGAATTTGATAACTAAGATACACAACATCGACAACTAAAACGTCTACTTACACAGGCGGCGTGACAAGCCGTGATGCTGAGACCGATGGCGAGAGGTCCGGAGCCCTTGAGGTCCGACCTTCCAGCGTCGCATACGCCCTGAACCACCAGTACTAAGACGAATGTGATGAGAGCCTCTACGAGGACAGCCTGCGAATGCATTTAATTAAAAATTACACCTTTTTTGTGGCGCAATTTGACTTTTTTTAAAGATCAATTTAAAAAATATATTTATGCTATTGTGCTAGCTCAATCTAGTAATTTTAATTCTCATACAGTTTTGTTTGTACCAATTTTAATTCATTAAATCAATCATACCTGTGCATCGCTGACCCCAGGCCCCGGCAACGTCATCCCAAAGGCGAGAACTCTTTCTTCAGGAACAGCCAACTAAAACAATCGTATTTTTTTACTATTATGAACTATAGATTATTTAGAAAATTTTAAATAATTAAAAATTAGGTACCTACGTACTCGTTTATCTTATTGGGAAATCAACATATTCTATGTAAAAAAAGCATTTGCCCACAGCTTATAATGAAAATTAAAGTAAAAATAATAATGTATAAATTATAATACATGTTTGCAACATAATAATAAAATATATGAACAAATAAAGCAGATCTACGTCATTGGACGAATATAATGCAAGTTGGCTGTTTTGCTTGTCTTGTGTTTAAAATGCCCCGTTCTATATTGTAAACTTGTTATATCGTAAGCTGCTAACTTTTATTCAATTCAGACGTTAACAATGGTACGTAGGTGACCCAGTATATTACCAATGTAGCTATGTTGCAATCGCAACTCGAGATTAAATTATTTTTAATTGCGTACATTACATATTTATAAGGACTACCTACATAGAACATGTAACATCTCCAGACACACTCTTCCATACTTCGAGCTAGGGATTGGGCAAGGCAAGACTAGACAAGAAGATCGCTCAGCTGAAGTTTAGGGCCGAATCGTGATCAATAAATTCATTAATCCCAGCAAAGTTCAGCACTTTACATACAATTTAATCAATTGATTTGTCGTCAAGTGGAGAGTTTAAAAGCTTATTATGTTCATAAGGTTGGAGAGTCGTTAAGCTCAAATACTCGTATATGATACAGAATTGATTAGAACATTTATCGTCGGGTTTAATGCCTTCACTTCGATTGCACATCTTGCCATTTATCTTATAAAAGTCGTCGAGTGAAGGCCGAGCTCCAATTTGTTCCTTTATTCTAAGATCATCAGTGTCAGGGCGAGCGAGACATTTTTTATCACAATTAGCGAGCCTGCGCCGTGGCATGTGCTTTAAATATAATATTATAAGATATTGGAACGTATAACATACCCTAATAAAAGCGGCACCGGCGACCGCACCCAGGGCCTGAACTATCACATAGAAGAGAGCTTTGATGAGCTTAATTTCGCCTGAAATGAAGAGACCCGCAGTCACTGCAGGGTTTATGTGTCCACCGGATACATGAGCAATTGCCTGTAACAATTAACAAAGTAAAACCATATTCAGCTTACCCTTTCCACGTCACCTCCTATTTTATTATAAATATATTGAAATTTAAAGACGCATTGTGTACAACACAATAAACCATATATTGTGTTATTTCGTAAATACGATTAATTAAAATCTTTACTTTTACTTACTATAATATTACTGTTTCTATGAGCAATGCCAAAGCTAGCAACAATGCAAATATTTACCTCTTCATAATCGGCTGCTTTATCTGATTGCAATGTAATAGCGGTCGATATAAAGATCGTGACCTAGCCGTCGTTGCTCTGACTTAACTAACCTATAAATTGAATATTTACGTGCCTCATATGTTACAATGTATTCATCACGTCAAAGTTGCCGATTGTGGCTTAAATATAGATAGAGACTTTGGTAAAGATTTTAATCCTAAATCGCTTTTAAAATCCTTTAAAAGCGGTGTTGACAGATATTAGACATATCTAAGTCAAAAGCGAACTTACCAGGCCCTCTGAGCTGTTAGTTTCAATGTACCATGGAGCATGGTCCATGTGAACATGTTCTCAAGGGCAGCTACAATCACACGCAACGTATGCGAAAGTCATTTTAAAGCGAAAAACAAATAAGTTGCGTAACACTTTTTGGAAAATGGTTCCAATAACGAATTGGAAACGGGTGCAGAGGATCATAGTCGTGGGCGTCTAGCAAGGTTACACTCTCACTTCATTAATCATGAGTCCATGATATGGTATGAATGAGGAAAATTTGCATTATTTTTATTTACGCCTAATAAATATAGTACAACAAAAGTAAATAAGAAAATAAAATATAGCTATATCAACTTTCCGAAAGTAATAATTGTAGGCCCTACTATAGGTAATTATAATGTAGTAGGTCAAACAAAATCACGATTTCGATTTAATCTCGTATTTCTAGAAGGTATTTGAAAAGGGCTGTCAATAGTTCACTCGATAGTGATCGGACGTGGGCCGGATTCGGGTCACACATGTTCTGTAAATCTATTTAATATAATTATATTCACTTCAGCCACACTTATAAAGATTTTAATGTTAAGTTGAAGTCGATTACTACGTACCATACAAATTAATTACTAACCACTTAATGTGCACCCGCGGAATATAATAAAATATCCCTTACTGTTCACACACGTTCATACTTCTGCGAAAGTTCGAAGCCCGGCCGTGCCCCAATTGTACCGCGATGCCACATCTTCACATGCCATTAATATCGCTCTACAGTAGAGTGGGTGTGCCAAACTTAATCAAAGGTCACTTACAACTCACAATTACTTCTATGTGTTTCTAAACAAATTAGTAATTTTGTCAGAGATCAAAACTACATTTTAATATTGCGTGTCAAACTCGAAGAGGAAGTTTAGCATACATATATACAATAACTTAATTAGTAACACTTCGATAAACTAGTAAATATCGCCAAAACTTACAATTAATCCCCAACTCTACACAATGTGATTGTATATATGTATTGTAAAAGTAAAGTCAGGTCAGTTAAATAATAATTTAAGAAATGTTTAGTGGTAAAGTTGAATGCACTTAGAATATCAAATAACTTCAAGTACGGCATAAAACAAATGGATTTACATTTGCTTTGGGTTACTTTAAGTTATGCCTGCTCAGTATTGTAAATACACTTTTGCCATTTAAAATAAATTAAATTTGGACAAAAATACCGACTGATGCGAGGGCAAAGTAAATAATAAAAATACAAAGAGAAGAGAAAACTAAACCAATAGGGTCGCACCGTAACTCTTTTTAAATCGTTTCTACATAATATACAATTTGTTATGAAATTGCATTCTAGTTAATAATCTTGATTATGGCAACCGGTTATCACAATATATCAAATGAAGATCCTGTCTTAATTGTATTATATTTTATATCAAAGTGCGATAAAAAGTAAAAATAGCCAACATTTGGTGTCACTTGTAGTCCGTGGAACCGAACCATGCGGGTGATTATTTAGTCAATGCCTCTGTTTTGCATTTTCAATCAAAGGCTGTAAGGATTGATAACACCTATCTACTTACCGTATATTATACGAAGCACAATTTACTACGTATGCGTAAGCATAAGCTATCACAAATATCTATCATCGAAATGCTACTGCTTTTCCATTTAAAAATTGTGTCCGGATAGTAATTAGCAAATCACTTGAAGCAGAATCAATCAATTTCAACTTATTGATGACGATATCTATTTAAAACCAAGCCATTAATAAATTTTGCTAACCTAAAATAATAGATTTAGCCTTGCTCGGTCTCGATAATGATTTATTGCTCATTTGACTTAGAAATTAGAATAAGTATCTGCTAATAATACCTACCCTGTGCGGACTACACGGTGGCCTTCTAATGACAAACGTACAACACAAGACTGCAGGATCACACAGGATCGAAGAAAGTGGCGTGCTCTAGATCATTGGCCGAGACACAGTTTGAGTTCAATGCTCGAGGCAATAAAAAACCAAAATTGGTCGATCAACAAGATTCACAACGAGAATATTTCTGGGGAAATACTTATTAGTTCCCGCGATATGTCCGATTGATACCATCAACACTGGTTTTATGGTTTGCCTGGCTTTCTGTCAATGTTATGTCCTACTAACGGGCACATAATAGATAATAATCCATAATAATAGCAAATTAACTAGTCAGAGAACAATGGGGTAAGGAAGAGACGGACACAATAAAAATTACAATGCTACATTCTCATTGACGTAGGTTAGTCATTCAAATTATAATTTACTCTGCAGTTATACATAAAAACATATACCTTTATTAAAACGACAAATCAAGGCGTGCAACGTGTAAAGCGTTCACTTCCGAGACGCGAATCATTTTATTAATAAAATAAAACTAGAATTGGTCTACACGGAGAAAGTACAACACTTCTTGCCACTTTCTACTTCTTCAATCTTGATTTCTTTTTCGAACCTTTGAAGTAAACTTTGCAACTTGTAGATTATTGTATTGTTTACTGGACAATAATTTGAGCTAAGACTCGATTAAAGTAGGAAACTATAATAGTTCTTTAACTACAAGTATTCATAGAATATTAGACTAGCTTTCATTTCTGCCGAGAACCCCAAAGCAAGCTCCTCCAGCAAATAAATGTTTTATTTCAGATCCGATCTTATACTACGTAAATTTACGGATTTAAAATTACGCTTCAATCTCGTCTGAATATAAATTAATAATAACACAGTGAAGACAGACGAGGAGACTTTGTTATACAAAAGCTAATAGGCAGAACAAACACGTTCGCATGTAGGCTCGGGGATCTCATAAAGATCAAAGGTGTTTCGCCCTTGAAAATACAACGAGATGTGATCTTGGGTCAAGTTTATATTCAATATAATTAACCATCAGCTAAAGTGGTCAGTAATCGTAATATTTTGTCAGCTAATTGTAGAGCAAGGATACGGCTATTAATATTTTTAAGCAAGTGAGAAAATAAGCATTAAAGCGTAGCCCACAGTACGAGTGAATCGAGGACATTTAATTTATCATTTTGGGAGCAAACTAATTAGACCGCAGGCGACAATAAAAAAATATTTTTAATAAAAGTCTGAGAAGGCTATTAATGTATATACATATTATACTCGTATATATAGGCCGGGGGTTGCAGACACGAAAACCTTTACACATTGTTTTTCTATCATTAAAACAACATTATATCGAAAATCCAAAGTTGAGTCCGAAATTGTGATTTAAAAATTGATTTGGCTTTTAAACAAATAATTATTTCGCTTAGATGAAAATTTATATATAGTTTATATATTTTGGTCCATTTTATTTATTAGTTTGAATTTGAAGAAAAAGATAGCAGCGGAACATAATATTATGTAGCATTTATTTAAAATATATAATATAACTGCACGGAAGTTACACAACTCGCATGATATATGATAACTTGAAAATTTAGATGATTTCCGTAATTATTACGCGCAATCCGGACAATTCGCCACGATCACTGCTACTGCTTCGCAACACGTAAGATATTCCGTCAATTATGCAATCTTTGCGCCAATTCGTCTCAAAGTTCTGTCTGTAATTCCAAAAGTGTAGCGTCGAATAACTGCTTTTAATATAATACATTAATTATTTATTTGTCGAGATAACAATCGATCATTAATTTTACAGGTGTAGGTGGTCTACGTGAGAAGATGCTCAAATAACAAAGAGTCAATGATTGAATTTAACGAACGGACTTCAATCGAGTGACGCGTGCGCATTTTTTATTCCTCTCGGTAATCTTACAATAGAGACGATGTTTCCGCTTGAACAGCAGTTAAAATAAACTCACAATTTTTAGACGAAATCGTTTAATATTTTAAAAAACTTCGAGTAGTGAGAATTGCTTTCATATTTAAATAAATATCTCGCAAATTGATATAATTAAATTAATAAACTCAGCTTTGCGAAAATTATTGTCGTCTTCATTTTGTGTACGTGTAACGTGTTAATACCTTTCATGGCCAAACTGATGATAAATATTATATCGAAACTTAACATTTCGTTAAATAGTGCTTTTAAAGGGCAAGACGGGTGACGTTATAATTAAGAAATAAATCGTTGATAAAATTATGGGGAAAATCGGACATCGAACGTCGGAGTTAAGCTGCAGCTTGATTCAATGAGAGTTTTTTAAGCGAAATTATTCCTTAAATAGAAACGAATCCATAAGGCGTTTAATTTTGATTTAAATAAATTATGATTGGTAGGGATCTCTCGACGGCCGCGATGCGAGATGCCTAGCCGAGGGCTCGCGTGTAAAATCATTAATAAGTGTTGAAACCACATTATGTAGGGCTAATATCGGAGCTGCTTTATCTTGACAACTTTTCAAGTCTCACTTGCGAAATGAAAAATGTCACGGACGGTTATCAAAATTAAAAGGGCATTTCGACCAATTTATGTAGTACATGATTCTTGTAATAATGATTACTGTTATAAAACCTCGTATTTTATATAGGTACGTAGAAAAAGGCCGACAGCGCACTCGCGACCTAACTGCCTCTGTAGGCGGTGAACACGGACGTACTACATGAAAGCTAATTTTGCGTTAAATATTTGAAAATTGTCTGGCAGAGATGTCAAATAACTATAGGTATGGTGTCGTAATATTTTACATAAATAATATTGTATAAACAAACACGCGATTAAATAAATAAAAACAAATACTGTTACATTGAAAGCATAAAGACATTGTAAAAGCCGTTTTTTAAATATGGTCATCGAAAAGCGTTGAAGAATAAAAAATAATTTAATTAATCTCATTTGCATGGAGAATATATTAAAAAATATAAACTGTATTGAATTATGAATATAATTTAGGTAAGAGGTCGTCGACCTTGGTTGTCGCGTAACTCTCGTGGCACCGAGCTGTCTATACATGCCTTCAATTATCTCAAATCTCGGAATCTCCGATTAAAGGAAGGATTTTAACATAGTGGGAGTTAGAGTCACCGGAAAGCACAATCTGTGGATCTGTCCTCTCAAAAAGTGTCTCATTTATTTAGTTGAACGCTAGCCTTGACCCAATGATCAGATCGTGCTCGTAATTAAAGTGTTTGTGTGAAGTTTATCTAAAACTAACGCTGAAAAGTCACTCAGTGATGTGTAGTCACGATGCGACGATTATACACAAAAAGGTCAAAAAAGTTCAGGACATTTTAACCATATCTCGCCTGCGACATCTTCAACCGTTCCCTTATAGAGTTTATGGAAACAAAATTTTGGCGAAAACACTCCTTTTTGAACTTACATAGCATCATATGAATAAATTATTCTAGACGATTTGTTCACCATTCGCAGAACAAACGTGATCATTAATCACTTCACAATCCACATGTCATACGCTTAAAAGCCAATTTTACTCCTAATAGGTAGGTAGGTAGGTAGGTATAGAATAATGCGATCTGCGAACTGTGCCTGCTTTACAAGAAGATTGTGGTTAAACATCGATGTTTCCCTTAAGTAGTCAGAAAGTGCCAGAACATATATATCTAGTCAATTATCAAATTAATTTTATTTTTTTAATAATGTTAACTGATTTGACAATAATTTGACTTTAAATCTCAATAGTGTTTTGTTTTTATTACAAATCCAAAGCGACCAACACCAACAAAAGTTAAAAAGGACAAAATATGGTAAATTCGGACGAAGTTTGTTATGACAAATTCAGCTGTATTCTCTGGATTAAATTGCGCTAGCTCACGACTCTTGCGCAACCTGTCAATCACGGATTACCATCACAATGATGTGACTGTCGTGCGATACCAATGTCACTAAATAACACGCATAAAACTAATTTTTCTTGCTTATCCATTATTTACGGAAATTGAAGAAAATAAAAATGACATAACAACGACAGAAGAAGCCATTGTTTCAATATAAAAGATGTTAGCTTTTGTTTTTTTTTTTCAGTTATTTTAAAATCCCAATTTTCATCAGTATAAAATTTGCCAGAAACAGAGAAGGGAAGCTGTCGGTAAAGAATCAGTTGTAAGATTTCCTTGATAGCTAGAGAACAATAGATTACCGTCAAAGGTCAAAGGAAAACCAGAAAACTAATTAATAAACAATTAAATATTTGTTTCTTGTGAGATAACAATTTAAATTACACGATTATCTTGTGTGTTGCCAGGTCGAGTTAATGTAAGATAAAAAAAATTATTTTGTAGGAAATATCAAATAATGCACAAACTAACTGTTACTATGTTATGTGTAAAAATTTCAATCACATCCCGTTTCTAATGAAAAAGCATATTTCAAGATCTCAAGTAAAACACTAATTTTCGGATTAAATATGTGCCTGGCTTAATGGTATCCAACCACTATGTCACAGTTATATCAAACATTTGATCAATTTGCGCAACAGCTGAGGTTAAGCAGGCGTGACATACCTACTACATTATATGGATATCATAGTGTATGTACAGATGGAGTATTCGTGACCAATCGAGCCGATAACATTCTCCGATAGTGTTTAATGGCGATATGTTACCAAATCAACGAATTTTTTTATTTATCAGAAAGGGTTATTAATCGTCAAATAGTATTAAATGAAATGGTTTCAATTCTTCTTTGGTAAGTCAATGAATAGTTGGACTTTTGTGAATATTAATATCTGTCGATACAATTAGCAACGGCAAAGAGCTCCCCGTGTACTCGTGTGATCGTGTGTCAAGGTTTACTTCGTCTATTTTGCATATTGACATTTGAATGATATTGAACGGTACATGTGTTACATTTAACACACGAACGATTACGGGTCCGCGACCGCGTGAGAGAGGCCGAACGGATATATTGCTCTAATCTCAATTATTAATTGGATTTAGTTAGATAAGTTGAAATATTAAATCTATGGACTTTCTTTCTTAATGGATACGAATGTGATCATTTTCTCATAGCCTGATGGCATTGTTGACGCAACAGGTAGTTTCTTGTCCAAATGAATTTGCAATATTAAGTTGTGTGTTTTCACAATCGGTCAGTTATAAGTGATAACTGGAAACTATCTTTAAAGTTATTCGACGTGCCACGTCGTTAAGTTGCAAGCTTTATTAAACATTTCCGAGTGTAAAGTTAAATCATACAAATACTCATATTCTAATACTCTCCAATAGGCATTCAAATTTTCATAAAATCTCTATTTTTAACTAACCTGCACAATCGATCCAACGAGAAGACCAAAAGCCAAAGCGATGCTGGTGACTTTTGGAGCATTGCTCTCTGTGATGGCGATGCAAGCTGCCACGCCGATGGAGGTGAGAAGGAATGTTCCCAAGAGCTCGGCTATCAGCTGCCTCCATATCAGTTTGTTGTCAGTCACGTCTGAGAGACCAATGATGGAACTCGTCCCTGGAAGAACGTTTTAATATTTGTAGAATGAGGTACGAAACAATGTAAATTATCGTTGCATATCATCATTTCAAAAGATAATTCTGGATTCTAGAGGCATCTCTCTTAATATAATTAAGATTATAAAATATTACTATATCGAATTACAAATAACACCAAGCCATGCGCAAGAACATTGAACGAAGTATGCGGGTGTCAATCATTATAAGTAATCTTTTTATCAATTACAAAGAATGTTTAAAGTATGATAATAAAATATTGTCTCTTTAAACCTTTTGAAACAATTAAATAAATACTAAACTTGTTTTTAAGAACACGGTCAAGAACACTTAATATTTAACTAATAAATACATATGATCTTTAAATACAACATCCGCCGTAAAATATCTTCATCCCACATTCTTCATTAGTTAAATGTACAAATTATTTATTCGATATATATGAGATTGATCGATAAGGGAGAGCTGTCCATTTTGAGTTTAAGTTCTACATTTAATAGAACTGCTTTGAGACCCAAAACAACAACTGTACAACGATTGTTTCATTCTCAAGACAATATCTAATTAAAACGATAATATGCGTAGTTTCCTTTTGGTATCGAATGTTTTATCAATCAAGCGTATTAATCACGGGGTACGTTATCGTATTGAGAAAACATTAAATACAAAAGAAATCGAAGAAATTAATATATGTCAATTGATACATAAGATTAAATTACAACACATTATTCTATCTATTCTTTCTTCTTTCTATTGCGGGCCTACTCTTTAAACTCGTAATATAATAATAAAACATATATTTTACGTGTTTTTGTAAAATTTACAGAAATTAATTATAAACATTTCAAGTAACCAAATATGGTCGATATTTAATATGTATTACTACATTTGGGCTTAAACAAGAATCATATGTTTAAATCTATTATTACGTTTATACTAATCAGCTTTTATGGTCACGGCCATCATCATTCCTCCATTTCCTTCCATTAATAATAATATATTTGAATAAAGATGGTGTTGATGAGATAAGAGAGATTTATTAAATTTAATTCCACATTTTAATCTGGGGAAAAACTTACTGGTTTCTAAAATTAATTTATTTCTTCCTCATTCAAACAATTCATTTTTTTTTAGATTTTATAAATGTAAATTTAATTGAAAAATAAAAATATGCACAAAGAATTTTATGCCAGCAATCGCACTCATTTGCCAGCAGAACAATTTCAATTGCTCGCTAAATAAAAACAAATTACATTAAACGCTATTAAAACAGTTATATTAACGTTTCGAAACTTACGTTTCTGCATTTCATCCATCGCATAATCTGTTTTCATTTTGACTCTGTTTGATATCACTATAAAGTCCACTGACCCACAACTTGGCACTTCAATCGAAAGATTCCGAAAGCGAGTAGGAAGGCTGCGCCGCGCAACCTGCACTACCTTTCTGCTTCGCTACACTGGACCAAGTGTGACTGCACGGGGATGGCAGGTGTACACTTTTATTTTGAATTTCTCATGTGTTTACAAAACTATACGAGACATTCTTTAGACTATACACCAACTTCTATAGTACAACGCGCGCAAAGAACTATTCTCACTATTTTATTGTTGTTATGATTCGTAGTTGTCGCATAAGCGTTGTTGGTCTTTACAAAAGTGGTGAGCTATTATTTAAAGAGAGTGGTTTTGATATAACTCAGTATAATATTCTACTATTACATGTTATAACATATGGTGTGTTAGTTGCTTCGGACTGATTTAGTTTTTCAATATACGTAATTTTATATATTTATTTTATAATAGGCAAATCTTTACCAATTCACTATTTTATTACCTAACGTGTTGTTCTTTAATAGATATTAGTAGCAATCTATGTTAAAATACATTTACTATGCGATCATAATGTATTAAAAGGTAATTAAAAGAATATTATTTACTTATTTAATCACCTAGACAGTCTTCTACTTCAGACTCTAAAAATGTTAAGATAAAACAATGACTACTTTTATAAATTAAATAACGTAAACGGGCGCACTTGTTAAATATATACCTATTATTTTTAACTTAATCCAGGTTCCGTAGGACTATTTTTTTAAATATTATAGTGAAATCAGTAGCAATTGTTTATTCTGTACCAGAACCGTGGCCCGAGGATATTAACCAGCTTGGCATCGTGTCAGCACTTTTGTGCCAAATGTTAGTGTTAACTTAAATCTCAAATAATGGAAGTCACGATTAGGGGACTTAACGCGAAGTTACCAACAATGCGCCATGAACCTAAATCATGATAATTTTTAAATGTTATAATTAGAACGTTCCTTATTTGTATTTATCATCCTGTTTAAGGGCATCGCCCCGGGAGGACCAGATGTTGGAACCTCTCTGTGTCTCACATGATGTATTTTTTTTTTAATGTAATAGGAGGCAAACGGGCAGGAGGCTCACCTGATGTTATATGTGATACCGCCGCCCATGGACACTCACAATGCCAGAAGTCTTGCAAGTGCGTTGCCGGCCTTTCAAGAATTGGTACGCTCTTTTCTTGAAGGACCCTAAGTCGTATTGGTTCGGAAATACTTCAGTGGTTAGCTGGTTCTACATAGTGGTGGTGCGCGGCAAAAACTGCCTTAGAAAACGCTCAGTTGTGGAACGACGGACGTCGAGGTGATACGGATAGTATAGGAGACGGATAGGATAGGAGGTATTATGAAGGAAGAAGGAAGGACGCGCTTGTAATGGAGCTTTAACCTAGGTATTAATCATATGATGATTGCGCTATATTTCAAATGCCCTATTAACTATTATAACCTAATTCATCTAATATAATAAAGTAAAAATTTGTGGACTCATTTTATAGAAAACTGGCTGCGGCCGGCATGCAATGGACAATCGCCAAATTTTCTAAAAGCGAGCCATTCTAGCCTTACATCTCATGCACTTTATACCTTCAATTTTAATACATTTTTAAGAGATTATCTCGAAATGAAAAGTAACGAGCAACGCAACTCGCATGAAACAAGTTCTTTATTCCCAGATTTTATTATGAATGCCTATTCCCGTATCCCAATCATATTATCACGCCGAAACAAGGACCAAATGGTATCGAATAAGAGTCACATTAATTTTTTCAAGAAATGAATATTTACAGTGGATTCGATAGATAAAAGACACAATACACGATAATTAACAAAACGGAAAAACAAGAGACACCATACAAGTGCTTAACCTGAAGCGTCTTGTAATTTTCTTTCTAGTATTTTGATACAATTTGATACAAATGAGGACAGGTAAGCCAAAACCCACCCGTGTAGGAAGTGGCGTACAGTCTATGTGATTGTTTAGAAGAAGATCTTCTACCCGAAATTCTTAACCAATTTTCTTGTATGTTTTAACCAAATCGAAACCAAGGTCGATATGTGCTTATAAGGCCTACAGGTCATAAAATACACTTTATAGGTGTATGTTATCGGTTGTAAAAATTCAGTAGCTGCTGTATGTTTTGTGATAAGCACTGTTGTCTCAGCCTCGGCTTGTTAAAACATTAAATGTTTACCACTAGATAGCTATTATTAGGCCAGGCCACGTATTTCAGGAGGAGAACTAATTACTGTCTATTAATTAGTTAACTGTTCACGAATTTAAATCAAATTTATAATTTAACGCCAACTTTATTTAATAAACAAAGTAACGCTGTGCACCAAATATGGTAAAGTATCCACATATATATATAGACTACGATGTTTGAAGATTCCGATTCGCAAAATTAACCAAAACATTGTCAGTACGTAAAACGTTCTGATAAGACAATTGCTCCTGACTCCATTAACCGCTTTCAGTTTGATGGATCGAGTGTTTGAGTGGCCTTCATTTGTTTTATTTAGCTCGAATCAATTGATTGATATTCCACTCGATTTAAATTATTCAACGATTATCAAGGACACATGGCCGTATTATATACTATATAACTAATAAAATACAAGATAACGTATCCATCCCTCACAATTTAAATAATATACACAGGTATATAAATATTTTGTCGCCGAATAATAGTGTGAATTAGAGAAGCAAACACGAGGTGGAAAAATTATAGCGGCCGTGACAATGACAATCGCAATTCCATGCTAAGTGTCTAAATTGATGTCTCAGTTGCCCAGCCGTGATCATGGGCCATAGCTACACTACTAGAAGATATGACCTATACTGTTCAGATTGTACAGGTGGTGAAAGTAAACCTAATAAATTCATATGAATTCACATTGAAGACCGTAACACATGCGTAACCTAAACCTTCGCGGTGTCGCCGTAACAAATGTTATTTAGCAGCCTTGTGCTGTGTCATTGTTTGTTCACTTGTGTTACTCATTTAAATCGAAACCATTGTCATATAATTCCCAATTATTTGCTGTTTTCGGAAATTCATTAAAATGCTTACAAACAGAAGAGAGACATCCGTGGTCTACGTGATGACACCGAAATCGACAGTGCACTTACAAATGTTGTAATTTGTGAGAGGAAAGGCAAAAACCCTACCTGATGTTCTGATTAAGAAATATTTTTAGACACTGGAACATTGAAATTGTTTTCTTAAACATGAATTGCCGAAGGAAAAAAATATTTCTAATATTGTTCTGTGCATATTCACATAATAACAAATATATATTTTATGTTCTCTTTAACACACAAATTTTAATAAAACTTACTTAGTTCTTGTGAACAGCAAAAAAATAATATGTAAACAGTTTTTGCTCAGAAAGATTAAAATCTTAATACGTCTAGGAAATAGTTAAATAACAGGCGTTCACCTGCTTATTTACATCTGATTGTAATTCTAGGAAGAGCAAAGAACAATGGTATATTTAAAAATACCCAAATTATCTGAGTCTACTACGCATTGTATTTCAATTTGGTCAATTTATATTTATTACCTAGAAATATTGTAATCAGCAACACGGAAGTCAGTTTTTTATTGCTTAATAAGTACCTTAGTATGCTCAGGGCATAGCAGACAGTGAACAGATTTGTGTTTGCACACAGGAGGTATACTCCTGGTAACCTAGGTCCTGGTACTAGAGGCAGTTAAGCGAGGCTTAAATGCACTTAAGGATAAGCACGTAATTTAATAGTGTGACAAGCGGTTTAAACACATTTTTCCTGTCAAAAGTTGGAGCAGATTCAAAAGGAAATTACGTCAAATCGGCGTCAAGTTCTCCCAATATTCTACGAAATGTTGAAACAAAACGACAAGGGCCAAATGTCAATTCAAAAAGTCTCTTTAACTTCATACTCATAAAGTTGACAAAGAGTTCTAAAAAATGTTGATCTGAAATCGTGATTAGCGTTGGCACGAGCAGTCTGGCCAAAAGATTGACTCACTGGAATTTGAAATAATGAAGCTGTGAACAAAAAATTGTTTTCGAATAAGTACAAGTTTTAACTACAATTAAAGCAAAACACACACCTACATAACAAATAATTAACATCTACTTACTACGATAATAATTAATATTTTATATAATTGTGTTCGTTAGGATTTTACAAATTTCCTAAAATTTAGTTTTACTCATTAAAATAGTTAAACTAAGTTTCATTGAAAAATATCGCATAAATATGGCAAACGAACGTAAAAAGGTGTGCAAATCTTTAAACAATTCAATGATATTATGGTCAACTATTTCATGAAACGATTAATTCTACAATCTGTCTGCGGCATACATACATATTTATACTGTTAATAAATTATTTATAATATTCCTAGTTACGCCGCCGTTTCTCGATAGTGCCATAAACACGAATTACACTCTTTTAATAACCAGTTCATTCATATTTAGCTAAAAGGCTTTTTGATGCTTCCGTTAGTTCATAAAATCCCCTTTTCGGTGTCGGTATTTTAAACGATTGATTACCGAAAGATACAAAGGCATCATTGCATAACACAACATTTATATCATTAGCACTAGATACTTCTAAATATTATTTCTTCAAGGGAAAGCACGGTTTTATCCTTTCACTGATGCCTTAGAGATTTAAATTTATTATGAACCATACAACACACGAATTTGAGTATAATTTCAAATAACTATTATTTATATACATTGGTGCGCTTCCGCATACCTCTCAATTAAAGCCTTCGCAATATTTGATAGGATTTCCTAATAAAGTAATTGAAGTAAATTAAAGCAACATCTTCTAAATCGAACCTTATTTATATACTTATTATAACCTAAATAGTTCAATAAATAGTGATAATGGAATACATTTTACTTGAAAAGAAAATAATTAATACGGCCAGACATTAGATTTTTTTTTTTTTTTTTTTTATTGGACAATTCACACCAATTGACCTAGTCCCATGCTAAGCTAGTGAAGCTTGTGTTTTGGGTACTAGGCAACGGATATACATACATATTATAGATAGATAGACATATAAATACATATTTAAACACCCAAGACCTAAGCACAACACCAAATGCTCATCACATCGATGTTTGTCTCAGCCGGGGATCGAACCCGGGACCCATGGATTCGCAGTCAGGGGTACTAACCACTAGACCAATGAGCCGTCAATTGTTTGCGTCGTGTCGGAATGTGTTATCAAAAATGGAAAATATCGGTGCTTGAATTATTTCACTACGGAGCTGGTAAATCAAGAGTTGAAAGCAACATTTGTGGTTCATGAGTGAGTTCAAGCGAGGAAGAACTTCGTAACAACTTGTTCAGTCACTAATGGGGTTAATACGCCATTAGTGACTGAACAAGTTGTTAAAAAGAAATCATTGTCTTAGCGGATCGTCGTGTTGTGTTTGTTTTATATTAGAAGAAATGACAATTTAGAAGATTTGGGCTGGGTGCCAAGAATGCTTTCTGACTCTCAGACAATTTCACTCAATAAAACTCTTTGGGTTTGTTACAACAAGATCTTGACCGATTTTTGGCTCGATTCATAACTATGGACGAAACATTCACTATCACAATTATGATCCGGAAACGAGAAAATACAATCCACAGCAAACTCGCTAAAGTTATCTTGTTTCACCAATTGATCCTCCATATTCACCGGATATAGCTCCTAATGATTTCTACTTATTAACATCTCAGGGGCGGTAAATTTGAAGATGATACTCGGTTTTTTAAGAAATCAGGAAGAAGATTTTTTTAAACAGGAATTTCAGCTTAAGAAAAACGATATACATAGTGTATAAATCTGAATGAAACCTGAATCTATTTTTTTTGAAACTAAGAGAGAAAAATTAAGTTTATATCCTTTATATTATAACCTAAACATTAGTTTTTCCAAGCATCGATGCAACTCCAAAGATTCAATGAATAACACCACCCTTATTTAAGCATAATATAATCGCATTATCGATTGTAAATATAAAGTTAATAAGAAAATAGTAACTAATTGCCGGCACCGTGAATAATTAGTTAATTACGGGTTATTTCACCGTCAGACACGAGTTCAATTACTAAAAAAGACAAAACAATGACTATTAAAAAAAGTAATTTAAAGAATGCCGAAATTCGAATTGGTAAACGACTTTGAATGCCTGATGAAATATACAAATCATAAATAAAAAATATATTTCAATGCTATAATTAATAAAAAGCATGCAAATGCGTGTACAGTAAACGTATGTAGGCCTACGAATTATTGATAGTTTAAAAAAAACTTTTTTTTATTTGAAGTATTATTACTGGCTTAATAATAGTTATATTGAATAATAATACATCAAAGGATGTAAAAGTACTAAAAATTTCGAACTTCGAGTGATTATTTAAAATGATTGATTAATGATTTGCAATAGACCAGTGCACTCTGTCTTTTTGGTGCATGCAAAACGTCACAAGGCTCCCCATGCTGGCTTACCAATGAGGGGCACTCGGGAGGCCCTGGTGGGAGGGGCAACTGCTGGCCTGGCGTTTGCATTGCCCGTTTCTACATCTGTAATCATATATATTGTTAAATAAAATATCGAGTCTATAAAGTATAGGATTTCCTTTTCATTTTTAAATATACTACACATGATATTTCTGTGTCATTGAGTTTTTTGCTTATATGTTTACACAAAATTGTTCACCATATTGTAAGGTATAATGATATTACATAAAATAATATAGATGATCATGCGCATGAAATACACCCTCTGATAAGATACAAAATCATTTGCCATTTGTAAGCTCGTTCCGTCAAGGCATGCATCACTGCAGGCGCCACTTTATTTTCCCTGGCCTCCGGCCAGGCGACAGGAATTACCTGCTTATAAATGTCCCTTAAATTTCTTAAATAAACGTAATAAATAAGCAAAACCTCAAAAGAAGAATCATGTTCGGACTACATAAATTAATAGAACTCAGAAATGAGCCACAATTATTTATAGATATCGCTTATTTGTGTAAGAATTTATCACTCGTGTATGGTACATATTAATTGGTTCATTATATGCACACAGCGAAATAAATGCCTTTATTGTGTCATTGTTACAAGTTATATATATATACATTTATGGTAAATTATTTATATTTTAACGATAATTATTTTGCGTAGGTACGAAGCCTTGCCCTTGGAAAAGTCAGAAATAAATATTATTTTTCGTTCGTGAAAATCCTTGTTCGCAGGCGAAACAATCAAGGATATGATTCACTGCAAAGTCAAAGCAGCACTTCAAACCTGGATAAAGTCTTTCGAGCGAATTGTCAGGCTTGATTTATCCATTGGCATGCGTAATATAAAGGAATTACCAAAGACATGTACAGAATACAAATAACAATATCATTATTTACGTGTTTATACATTATTTACTATTTTATTTAACGTTTATACATTACCAATTTTTATTGAAGAGGCCGGCAACGCGGTCTTTTAAGAATTGGCACGAAAGATAAGATCTTAAAGGACATTTAAAATTGAACACTCTCTGAATATACAGAATGGGTATAATTAGTATTAGGTAACTTTCGTTGTTATTGAAACTATCTTATTAAAACTTGCATGTTCATAAGAAGTCAGCATTTTTTAAATAACATAAATAAAGAGATACGCGAGCATGCAGCACCCAATTTAATAGAGAATTTGACAATCGACATACCAGCTTTGGCAACCATTACTGCAATTTCATCTTCATCCACAAAGCCATCGTGATTTGAAATAGTCTCGTATTTCGAAGAAACTGCAGCTTTAAAAAATTTGTATTTCAACGTTACAAACGTTTTGAGTGTTAGAACCCGAATCAACAAATAAACTCATGCCGAAATCAGAGGTCAAAACCCACAAAGAGTTGTTGCCACCGCATTATTATTGTCCTATAAAATTCAGAAAATTTAAAATTGGCAAATTGTTCCAAAACAGCATTGGGTCAATGTACCAATCAGAACTCTGTGCCAAATGAAATTCTTCTGCTTAATGTTAATTTTAGTCTTGTAACAAATATTTATGCATAATTACGATGAAAAACCTTTAAGTATTATCGGGAGCACGGAAAAGAATTGTTGTTCGGGATTTAATGCTGTGTGCATTTCTAATTAGATTGGTTATTTTGGAAAATACAGCTTAATAAAAAATGCTATAATTCAATTGCGCTAGTTAAAATATTATTATTAATAGTATATTATATTAATTGTGTACAAAGCTTCTCTTAACAGTTTTATGTTATACTTGGTGAGCGAATATCACCCGCGTGAATTCGATGAATAAACTAACCATCACAAAAATATAATTTCAAATCAAAAAATTAGTTCCCGCGATTAGCGCGCCCAACAAATAGACTACGCTTTTTGATATTAGTATAGATTTAATTAATGCACGCGTGTATGATTTTATCTTTCAAGATACAGGCGTGTAAAACAACAAATTTATGATAGTTTTCGGATAATGCGTACAATATTGATAAAATCATTATTGATTGCATTTATCAATAATGATGGATATCCAGACGAGGTCATTAGCTAAGCAGCTAATAATCAATAGCTACAGAGATCGCCAACGGTGAATCTATCAGGAGTAAGATAGCAAAGATAAAGAAGCAATATAACCCTTAATTTGTTTGTTTAGTATTAAACGGTACGAAAATAAACTTAAACAGTTAGATAATATAGATATTATAACGTAAGTGGGCGCGGCATTCTCTTTACCTTTTTTATTTAATTTTTTTATTAATTGCTCAAAACGTCGAGTTATATGTATAAATAACGTTATTAATTCGCGTTTTTATTAGTTAAAACAGACTTGTTTTTAAAATTTTAAAATTATTTTCAATAAGAAAATCTTAATCCTGAACACGCGCTTTTTTGTTAAATGCGTCTTCGCCTGCATTCATATAAATAAGGAGAAGGTGTTAGGATAACATGCATTCTTTGCTACTTTCAATCTTTATTCGTTTAAATCAAAAGAACTCCCGATTATCCTATTAGGTTTTCCAATCGATCCCGTTCTTTGTTTGATTTTATTAAAAACTATATCCAAAATTCATTAAAATAAGGCAATAAGGATGTTTTGAATTTTCTTGTTAATCTTCGCTATTTGATGATAAGTTATTACTATTTAAAACAATATTTTCGATTTACCATTTTGAAACCCGGGAACTCGTGCCGGGTCGCTGAGTCAAAATTCGTGAGTGTATGTGTTGACAGACATTGTAGGCCTGCACATGTATATGTATTTACAATATCGGAAAATTAGCATCAGTATCACTATTATGTGATACATATTTATTTTAGTTACGGCATACATAGCTCTGTACCCGGCAATAAATTATATCGGAGCAAAATATGCTAAATTTCTATACTTTTCGAATTCCATAAAACGATAATCGTGATAAACAGTGAGCGGAATTACCTGATATCATGACGATATATGATGAAAGGAATAATTCGAGATAACCGTAAATACCTCGTCAAGTCATTTTAAATGTATGATTTATTCCAGAATTCATTTTGCGAAAAATGGGAATCAAACTAAAAAAATGCTGAAGTGAAAGATTGATTAAAAGAATGTTTAAATTTTAAAGGGTAATAATTTAAAGTAATATTTAAAATAACGCCATTTAAAAAAGTTTTTACTTCTATATAAATTTGAAATTATAGTAATAATTATATTATAGTTTTATACAAACACAACAAAAAGAATACGGTTGTATATCTTGAACTAAACCTTCTTTGCTTCAATTTGTGAAAAAAATACGCAACATTAATTATACCACTCATGAACATTTATTTAACTAAAAGTGTCCAATACTTACTTTGAACATCCTTAGAAGCCATTTCGTTAGGATCACGACACAGCGTTTGCGCACCTCCGTAGACGACTGCTACGACGCTACGAATCGATTCGATACGAAAGTAAAGACGATAATAATTTTTGGGCGCGTGTGAGCTGCGCACTGACCGAACTCGAAGTGATTCTGTTCCCGGACTGTTTTGCTACAGTTGATAAGTTGCGGAATTAAGTCAAGAGGAAAGGCAGGCTTCGTCATTGACCACCTCAACTCCAACAACGCCTAAACATGTCACCAAACATCGGTTTGCATCTCTGTTCATTTTCATCAAATCTTATTAAGCCGTTGATTCAATTCAGGGGCTTTCCTGAACGACCAAAGTAATAAGCTCGACCACAATCTAAGGCATGTTTATTTAATAACATTCCAAGTATCAGAATAGGATTTTTTTTAATTTGAGTTAATAAATAACGATGTCTCAGCTGGAAACTTACTATTAAAACCACTTCGGTTAAGGAAACTAACAATGAATATAATTTTGTTTATTTTACTCTATAAAGTATATATTAGAGAGTAATTCCATTTCAGTTATTTTTTCAAATACGAGTGGCTTAATCCTTAAAATATTTTTGAATCGATAAGGACAATAGCTGCTCTTTATATCAGCATTCAGCCTATCTTATCACTTTCACGATTTTTACCTTAGACAAATGGCAGGTAAAAGAATATAGTTGTTGTTTATCATTTAAAGTCGCAAAATGGGAACAAATTATGGGAACTTTAAAATTTATAATTTTTTCGGTTCCATTGTTTTATACATGTTGTAAACCTGCGACTTTAAATTACTGAACATTTTACCCGACTACGAAAGCCCGAAAGGAAAATTTTGTTTAATTCAATGCTTCAATGCAATTAATGCTCATGTACATCATGATACGTCGATTCAAGTAAAAATGAAAAGAGGGGTTTTGTGTCGGATGAACACCACTATACACCGATATGTCAAATGTTAATGTCGAGCTTTGTCCCATTGTGCTTGGCGATCGCAACGTATATCACTTTTTCTTTATACATTTAAACTTAACAAATAATTTGCTTATTTAAGCGTTAATAATCAACACTTTATGAAATTAAAGTCTTAAATTCCATCGTGGCGTCTCGACAAGTACATTGAATGTTATCTAAAGTGAAGTAAAAACGCCCGACTGACTTAACAACCCATTGTTTTTTGTATAAACAAAATAATGTTAAGCAGATTTTTGTATTAAACGAACAGCAGACTTCTTAATAGAATAATAACCACTAAGGTTTACAAAGTTATTTCTTAAGGGGAATTACATTGTTGACAGTGGCTGCTTTTAATAGATATCAAATCATCGGTTTTCGGAAATCCAATAATGAATTGTGACAAACGTCGCGACGGTTACTAAGTAACGTCTATATTGTTTTGAAGCTGAAATAAGAATCCCGACCCAATCCAGTTTGACAGTCGACTAAAATTTTACAATCCTGCTCTATGCTAATTCTATTGATCAAATTCCATAAAAGCGTATCTCCAATGCCTTGAATATGATAAAGCAACAACTACTATTTTTATGATGTGTTTTATTAGTTAATAAAGAAAAAGAAGATAAATAAAGATATAGTATCGAGGGGATTACGATAAAACGTGTAAATGTGACACGAAATCCATCTAAGGATTATTTAAGAGAGCAATTAGGATAAGATAATTATTCTATTTAATATATAATAGTAGCGTATTGAATTGTATTGAATATTAAAATTGAATATGATCAGTCTTAGCGTTATATTTATTATACTCAGTAAGTAATTGACATTTTATAAGTTTTATTGCATTGTTTGGTGTTGTCACTGAGTATGTTGTCAATAATTTCGAATGAGATGTCATGAAATGCATTGAGTTCGAGCTAATAATAGTAATGTCTTTTTAATTAGTTTATTAAGTCAATAAATTGCCAAGCAACTGATATCGATAAATAAAATTTATGTTATTCTCGACTTAAATGATTGAAGTAGGCATAAATAGTAGGTATTATTTCTCTTTTTTGTAATTCAATGAAATGAAAAGGTACCTATTTGTTGTACAATGATTATATTCTTCCTTTAACTAGACATAGAAGATGTATTATTACTTATTTCCTTGGTACTCTATTATACGCCCTCGTGCATTATCTCTTAAAACATACGAGTATATACCTACTTTGACCGTTATTGCCCTGACTAGATAAATTGATAACGTCCTAGTATCGACCTTCAATATTTGGGGAACATAATATCACTATTAATGGGATTGATTACCTACTATACCTAACATTATATACTTAGTCTTTTTCAAGTTCTGTGAAGCTGATTTACCACATCCACATCATGGTGATGAATAATCAAAATGTATTCTAAAATAAATCCCAACTGAAAAGGGCACATTTTCGATGATTAATTTCAAAGTTGATAAATAATATCTCTCTTATTAGGTCTCTTCCCACCTCAAAGTGCCTCTCGGTCCTCTAAATGACTTATGGAAAAACTCGGCAAAGTTTGAAGAACAAACAGTGGATAATTATAGTGCAATTTATTCACAGCGGAAATATATTTATGAAAATGACCAGCATATGTGTTATTAATTTTAAATTTTATAACAATTAATTAGAAGCCACCTAATAGTTTGACAGCCGTAGAAAAGTTGTAATCCGTAGTTTAAAATATAAACCTCGAGCATACCCTTGCAAAACGGAATGTAGTCACGCTCATGATAAATTAAACAATCAAGACAGATTACAAGACGCCGACCACTTGCAAAGAAAATATTTTCTTAAAGTTAAATCATCGCTAAACAGAGAAAGCAGATAAGCACTGGGAGCCGTCGCATGCAATATTTCTTAGCTGATAACCGGCGCCCGCGCTTGCAGAGTGGCGTTGACCTTGAGATATGCTAGATTAACAATAACCTATAGTTTTCTGTATATTTATTGGAATAAATTAAGATAGCTCTACAATACATATTATATATGAAACTCGTTTATTATCTGTAATTAGTTTCTTATTATTAGTAGTAGATAAAAAAATCGACTGCGTTAAATGTGTGTGTGTTCCAATACACAACATTATTTTCTTAAATTATTAGACTTTTTATGATAAACATTCTATCTATCTAATAAACATATTAAACGTTTTGGTCCTTACAAAATAATCTTTTTCAGTCATAGGATATTCCGAGTCAATATAACCACATGACCACAAGCTTCGAGATATTATACTAAGTTCTTGGCTTTCCTCCATCTTCGAGGAAATATTTAAGGAAGCACAATATCATTTATTAAATATATTAAATTGTTTATGTCCTGTTTAAAAGACCATAAAACATTGGTGTGGCATTTTGAAATTAAGTAATGAACACAACAAATAAAGCGATTATCTTCTAATTATTTATCAATGTACATATATAATGCACAACGTGAATATTAATGGCGTTTGAATTAATCAGAGCACGTGGAGGTTCCTCATCACCATTGAGACCTGATTTGTTTGACAATCAAAGAAATACAAGTCGTGATCATAATTTCCACAACATACCTACCGTGGAAAAGTTTCTTCTTATTATCATTATTTATTATTATTTACGCGAGCAAGTGTAATTTATGTAAGTAACGTAACTGGACGACTTTATAAGTTTTATTTTTGCAAATGTTAATATATCTGTTCAAAATAATAAGAAAGGCCGGAAGTTTGTCAAATAATAATGTGTCAGGCGACAAGCTCTTAACGGCGCGACCGGACTACAAATTACCTAACCTTGCTCATGACATTGTTTATTTAATTGCAAGTTAAACGAGCATTAAACTTATAATATGAAGTTATAATTATAGCAATGATGAATTTATATGACCTTCTTCAAGGGAACAGGACATCTTCCGACACAACGCAGATTATGTTAATAAGCAAATGATTCACAGAGCCTCCTTAGTTCTATCTAAAGTCAAACGGCCACGGAAATGGCTGGCATTACAACAATACTAACTACCTATTAATTATAAAGTTAATATTTATATAGAAATGAGTTCTTTGTCCGCCGTTATCGCTCCAGAAAAACAATGTTTGCAATTTGCAGATATAAAAGGTTAAAGTTAACAATACCAGAGTACCCGGCAACCGTCGCCTTTTAATATTATGTTTAATGTATAAAAAATTCTTAAATAATGACGAGGAAAATAATAATTAGCAAGAGGAAGACTCCACCGCTTCCCGAGACCCGACATCCAATGCCACACAGCAGTCGACTGAATATAAAATTAGGATAATCAATAAAAGGAAAAATAATCACCTACTTATTAATTAGCTATAGCACTGAAAATGAATATTTAAGTTGGTCACCTACTGTTGTGTATTATAATACCTCATTCGTAAATATTTTGCTTATAAAACATGATTTTTTTGACACATTCATCATTTCTAAGAACAGCTTAAGTGACTTTTAAATATGAGTTATATAACAAAGTTATTACGAGACATCTATAATGGTAACTTAATGGATGACTTGTATCACACATCATTCGGTATGTTAATTGTAAGTTATTGCAGTTTATATTAAAATAAGTGTATTAAATAGTTATTACTCCGAGATATTGTACCGTAACTCTAACGATGTTAGCTTTATTCTAACGATGAACTAATTTTTGAAATCGGTTCACTGTTTTTTTTGAAGTGAAACTTCTTTATCGGGGTTGGAAAAAAATTTAGTGTAACATTTTTGCGTTACGCGTCACATTTTTCCGTTACGCGCCATGTTGCTTTTTGAAGTCAAACTTCTTTATCGGCGTTAAAATATGACATATAGTATGTTTTTGACTTTGAAGTTTGACAACGGATTACATTTTCGACTTGAAATTTGCTAATCGCAATTTGCAGCAATTAATTTGTAAATTGTATGCTAGGCAGTGTATCAAAATTTACTGTGTTTAAAGAAATAGTTTCTAATAAGGTCATAAAGAAGTTTCACTTCTCACGTGTGTACACCTAGTACACGCACACATTTTTTTTTTATGATTGGACAATTCACACCAATTGACCTAGTCCCATGCTAAGCTGGTGAAGCTTGTGTTATGGGTACTAGGCAACGGATACACATACATATTATACATACATAGATAGACCTAATACATATAAATACATATTTAAACACCCAGGACCTAAGCACAACACCTAATGCTCATCACATCGGTGTTTGTCTCAGCCGGGAATCGAACCCCGGACCCATGGATTCGCAGTCAGAGGTACTAACCACTAGACCAATGAGCCGTCAAGTATTTGTACTAAGTTCTCAAAGATTCATTTCGTACCTATTGTTACCGGCAAAATTTCACGTTTTTGAGTTTTATTTAACAAAAGTACTTACCTAATTCTAGCTTATGCAAAATGATTACTTGTAATAAAAAATATACCCAAGTTACAATGCGTTTAAGTTTTTACGTTAAATAAGCACGGACGAGTGAACGTGACCTTCGACAAGTTTAAAAATCTCCGAGACAAGCTTTTCCTAAGCCAATCTGCATGCACGGACACAATTCCGTTTGTGACAATTTTACGAGTATTACACTTAAATAAAACACAAATTTTCACTTTATCCGTCATTTTGAAGTACTACATGCTTTAGGTATCGTATACTGTACCGGGAATTGTAATAATATATTTTATATAAATATGTAATTGCAAATAACCATTTAATTAAAATAGATTTTCTTAGAAAAAACAATATTATACATAAATATTGGTCTCTTAGGTACGTAGATATATTTTACAAAAACATTATTTTATCACCTTCAGTTCCATAAAGTGTAACAAATACAAAGCATTGGCCCACCGCTCAAATTCGCATTATTTTATTGCCTAGCATTTTGGGACAATTAGTGCGTTTTGGTATGATTATTTTTGTAACTATAGCTTACGCTCTTCCGAAAACTATATCCTTAAAATCCTATCTCATAACTCTTCCTTTCTTGGCGAATCCTTTAAGGTGTCTGCAGTTAGGCTATGGAATTCACTTCCTGTCCCTATTGGCTTAGCTCCTTCTCTATCTTCCTTTTAATTTCTTCTGTACAAACATTACCTGTCCACATCGTATACTAACTACTAACTGACGTGAGACTGATCTTAAATTAAATTATCATGATTCATGTGCACTTTTTATTTTTCATGTAGGTATCTTTTATTAGTTTAGATTGTTTTTTGTTCCTGTTAAGTTTTTTTTTTCTTTTTTCTTAATAACTATATGTAATATGTATTTTTGCACTTCTTGCCTACCTTATCTAATTTAATACATTTTTTTTTCTTTTCTCACAGTGGTTGCATAAAAGAGATCGCTCGATAAGGCCGCTAGTTGCCCTCCTTTTCATTTTCAATGTTACTATTGTAATGCAACGAAGTGTTAATAAATAAATAAACAAAATGCGATTTTATTAAATATAATCGATGCTGTAATCTGTACGCATGAATGTTTAGATGTTTCGAGTCAAGACACCAGAGTTGGAGCCAAAAATAAAAATAGATCGCCACGTTACACCGGCTTTCACTAACACGCTGTGTTTAACCTAAACTCCTACGCTTCGCAATAGTAGTGTAGTCAAATTTGCTAGTTCTCTTTAAACAATGGCTGATGTGGTCGGGTTTTTTAAGCATTTTCATGACCACGTCAACAGTTCTTTAGATGATGTGACGAGAAAAAATTTTGCTAATTTAGAAACAAATTCAAAACGTATAGCATATTTAAGTGGTTTACCTCTAATGAAATCCTACGACCTCACACCGGAAGTAGAAAAATGTAAAAGTGGGGGTGAGTTTCCTGTCAATAAGCGTCTGGAGAAAGCACGTCTTTTCAAGGATGAGGGAAATAGGGAAGTACAAAGAGGTGACTGGGTGAAGGCCATGCAACTGTACAGTTTGAGTATGATCCATATGCCAAAGAAAGAAAGTGAGTTTTGATTATTATGTACATAAGTTATGAAGAAAATTAAATATATATGATTTTTAATTAAAATTAAAATATATAGTATATGAAAATTGTCAACGTGTCAACTAAAATAAAATTCTTGACTCGTGGTTTTAACTTTCAAAATTATTGCGTATTGAACATATGCTTTCAAACCATTCTTGTTACCAATTTTTTCAGCCGAAGAACTAGCCATTGTACTGGCAAACCGCTCCGCTGCGCTCAATCACTTGGAGCAATATGAGGAATCTTTGGCAGACATCAGGCGCTGTCTCGCTTTGGGATATCCTCGCCACTTGCGTTACAAGGTTTATGAGAGGAGAGCCAGATGTCTTCTGGTACTCAAGAGGAACCAAGATGCTGTGAAAGCTTTCCAGTGTGTTTTAATTTTAAGCCTTTCTCTCTGATTATTTTCTTTTCGTCACCGTTTCACCGCCGTGTGATATAATGTAATGATCTCATTTAGCTAGACAAGATATTCATAACAAGTCGACATGAGTTAATTAATATCGTCATATCTATAAAATGTATTTTTAGGGATACTATCTCATCTCTTGACGAAGCAAAAAACCTGAACCAAGAAAAGAAGCAAAAATTACGAACGGATGCAAAATTAATGTTAGAGGTTCTTAACAAAGGTCTCGTCCTCGCTGGAAATCCAAAAGATCCCAAACCCATAAATAAAATTGTGCCTAAGCCGAAACTGCCTGGAAAACATAATGTGAACTATCCCGCTGCATCTGAAGCTATTCAAATAGACCATGATGAAACAAAAGGAAGATATGCGTCAGCCTCGAGGGATATTCAAGTTGGAGAAACGCTGCTCATAGAGAAGCCACACAGCGGTGTTTTGTTAGCAGAATACGCTGCAACGCACTGTCAAAACTGTTTTGCTAAGTTGGTACCTACAATATATTCTTATATTTGAAAGTATAATACTTATTGGATAAACTTAGGCTTTCATTTGATGAATAATTAAATGTAAAATATTTTTATCATTACAGATGCCCAATACCTCTCGGCTGTCCGACATGCCCGAACGTAGTATTCTGTAGCGACCAATGCCAAGAAGTGGCACTGACATCGTACCATGCTTACGAGTGCCCTATCCTGCCCTTAATATGGAAGTCGGGTTGCTCTATCACCTGCCACATAGCTTTGCGAATGATTACTCAGGACTCTAAACAGCACTTCAAAGAACTAACCAAAGATTTGGATAAAAAACCCATTGGTCCATATAAATCAAACGATTATAGAAATATCTATAACTTAGTATCACATGAAGGTAAAAGAACTAAACAGGACTTGCTGCATAGGAGTCATATGGCAGTATTTCTGGTAAAGCTCCTTGAACTAAGCGGTTATTTCGATACCAAACCTAGGGAAACACTCATAGACATAGACGAAATAAAAACAATGGGAGTTGCTGAAAGATATCGCGACGACGTAGAACTGTTTGGAGGTCTTATTCTAAAGAATATCCAAGTGCTTCAGTTTAACGCTCATGAAGTATTTGAGCTACAGTGTTCTAAGGCCCGCCTGGAGCAAAATGTAATCAAACATAATGGGGATTCAGTTTTCGTGGCAGGCGCTGTGTTTCCCACTCTCGCGTTATTTAACCATTCGTGTGATCCAAGTGTTGTCAGGTAATAACAACTAACATTCATATTTTTTACATCTTTCTTTTTACAAAGCAATGTTTTTACATCCCAAAGCTCACACCAATATCAATTACTACTTTTGAAATACAGTTTCCTTTCCAGGTACTTTTCAGGACCCTACATAATCGTCCGCTCTGTAAAAAATATAAAGAAGGGAGAAGAAGTTGCAGAGAACTATGGACCGATATTCACCATGACATCCAAAGAAGAGAGGCAGGCTACTCTAAAAGACCAGTATTGGTTTGATTGTACCTGCGAGCCTTGTCAGCAAAATTGGCCTCGTTACGACCAAATGAATGAAACTTATATGAGATTTAGGTAAGTGTGTAATGTGTAAATGTGATGGCAGAGCCTAACGCTGGCCATAGACGGACCGCATGTTGCAGTCGATACCGACTGCTCTAAGCGGTCGCCGCACGGCGAACTGCAGTTTCCATACTAAATTCATATCCGCAATACACGGACCGCACGACCAGTTTCTGAGCGGTCGGAGCAGTCGCTCTGCGGTCGAGTTTCGCCGTGCGGTCGACTGCTAGAGCTGCCGGACCCACCATACACGGATCGCTACAAGCGGTTGCTGCCGACCGCGCGCCACTCCCCCAAATATAATAAAATACTAACTAATTTATCAAATGAAACCACGGACATTCTAAAGTAGTTGAAAAACTTTTTAGTGTCTTCTCTCATTTGGGGATACAAAGTATGAAATATTCCATGCTGTTCTCTTGATTGTAGTATTGGACGCATCCACATACTGTGGTGTCTTCTACGCCTACGCTTGGGTAGTAATAGAACAAGAAGCAGTGTTTCTTCATCGAAATCCATCTTGTAAATGAACTCGCATCAGTATTATTTTGCGGTCGAACACAACTGCTCCAAGCAGTCGTGTACGACTTCAACGCGACCGCTCTAGAGCAGTCGGTCTCGACTGCAACATGCGGTCCGTCTATGGCCAGGCTAAGAGTAAAAAAACGAATATTACATCATTCTTTTGTACAGATGCGATTCAGGTCAACCCTGTCCCAATGTTTTGCCAGTGGCCCATGATTGCACAGAGTTCATGGTAAAATGTGGACTTTGTCAACAATTCACTAACATCTTGAAGGGATTGAAGGCACTGCAGGTAATTCATTAATCTTTTATTTTTGTATTTTAAGTCGAAAAATTGCACTTGAAAGTGCGTACCTATTAAGAAATTATTATATTGAGAAAATCAACATTTCCACTTATTGTTGCTTTTTACACTACAACGAATATCGATTTTTTAGTAACAGAAGACGATAATATAGTTACCTATATACAAATTAGTCGCTAATTTGTGAGTGATCCAATGTCCGCATTACAACAAATTACGATGTCTTTGATAATATAACGCAAACATCTGTTTTAGCTCGTGGATTTTAGCAATTTCTAAAATATATTATGTATGTGATAATTATTCATTTCAATAATAGCGTATTACATACAATTTCCGCGATATACATTACGAACGACACAATACCCATCAGTTTTTGCTATATCGATATTTCACATAAAAACTTTAAGTTTAAATTATTAGACTATTAAATAATCTCTTAAAAGATTAGGGAGTTTATTCACTCATCCTGGACTTCCACCTTCGATTCGCCCTGTTCCTTCGCCTCATAGTCGGCATCACAACGGTCAATCGACAAAGAACGCCGTCGGTTAAGATATTGTAGCTCTCCAGAATCATTAATAATTATCGGCCTTTTTATATCATTTATGCACATTGCATATCAACTCATTTTGACTTGTGGTGACAAAATTATAAAGGGCTATTGTTGTTATTCTAATCACGAGAAAATGTTGACTTAGGTTTATTAATAAGAAACAAACGACCATAAATACTATAATTATTTAATGAAAGACAAGTTTTTACAAAGTATCGACCGTCGTGTACCTTAAAACATGAATTAAATTAAACAATAACACAATCGAACTATTCTTGTTAAATGTTATGTTTCTTTACGTATTTCAAAAATGGGAAAGATAGAACTTAATGGTTTGCTAGGTGCAAAGCTACTTAGTCTGCGATCTGGGTTCAGATGAAATGTTCATTTTCTCCTGAAATCTTCAAGATTTGTTTCAATTCATCAGTGGTGATCAGCAACACGACACGAGCAGCGACTGGGTTCAAAGAGAGCGAAATCCGCAAATCCTTAATATAAATATATCCCGTACACAATAGTGTAGCAGAATATTGTATCATTCCTATACAAATCATCTGCATAGTCGTCAGTCTCCGGATCCCATATACACCGCTGTCCACACTTTACTCCGGCCCCTTTTAGTTCCAGTATTGTTGTTTGCACTATTACTTTGTACCTATAAATATATAATACTTATTTGGTCCCGGGATAACAAAGGCTTTGACAGGAATTGAACTCGGCTCGGCTAAACCATGTTTATATCGAGTGGTATTTAAAGATTGGTTCTCGTGCAGAATGCAGGCTTTACTGCAAAATATTGATTTTCATGTAATGATTTAAGAAAGGCGTTCAATTATTTAGGCCAAAGGTTTGATTACCGTTTCATGTCCAGCTCTTGAACTCGTTGCCGAACAGCGTTAGCGATAACTTTAGCCCATCGCGGCGCCTGGTCAGAGCGGTATTGTCGCCCAGTCAGCTGCTCTTGCATTGTGGACACAATAATATCCCGCACATTTTGGGCCTGAAATCTATAATATACAAGTGATAGTAGATCCTGGATGGAGTCTTTAAGAAATATGCCCCGGATATACCACACTTTTTATACATAATTTATGCAATACATTTTTAACATGTATTGAATACTGATTGTAACAGTAAACATAAATTTAGACTGGATATTTTTTAGGTAAATATACACAAATACAAAATAAATGTGTATCTTGACTATTCAACTTTTTGTTCAATATAATTTTGAATTAAATACCTAAGTAGTAAATAAGGGATATTAAAGAATTATGTTAAGACAGATTTGAGAAAAAGCACCAGCTCTTTACTACTGGTAAAGGCTATGCTTACTTTTCTCCAAGACCAGGTCGCACTTCATATTTAGGTGGGGCAAGAGCCTTCTCTGTCTCCACGGGAGTAAGAGGAGTTTCACTTTCTGCTCCTCCTGCCTCTATTACCTCTGCCTCTTCCTCTACTGTAACCAGAAAAATTATTGGTACCTACCATTCATAAGTAAATTATCAATACTAAGATAGACAAAAAGCATGACTTGGTTTTAACTTGTCTTTTTAGAGTGAGTTATGCATAAAGGTTAAAATAATTTCATCTACTTTGTAATGATAATAATAATCATCTGTTTGCTTATTTAGAAAATAAGCAAACAGATATAATAAAAAAATAATAATATATTATATTCGATTTAGCGAGTAGTTATTTATAGTCAAATTTTTTACTAACTAACCTTCCTCATCTGCCATCTGAATAAAATATGTCACATATTACACCCTAATATCTGAAAAATACATTTCAAATTTTAAAATATAAATCTAGTGTGATATACTCTAATACAATATTTTCAGGACACAGAGGTAATGTACAGACTTGGTCGAGCTGCTATGGAAGAAGGAAAATATGGAGAGGCCTTAAAGAAGTTAGTAGAAGTATTAAAGCTCTATGATTCAACCCTTGCGCCACCTTATAAATCCTATTATGATTGTGTACAAGATTTAAGAAGATGCATGCTATCCTTTGGAAACTTCAGCATTGCTTAGATGATGGGTTATTATACTTAGCTTTATATTCAGTCACATTTTGCACAATTATAATTAAAAATTAAGACAACATATAGTTTTGTTTTGACAGATATGAGTATAGTTAGTATTTTGAACTTTGGTTACCTCTATTAAAAAAATAACTTACTTGCAAGGATATATATTTTCTTGTTTTATTTATTTCCTCTGATTATCGTCAATTAATATGGAATATAAAATATAACCTTGAATTATAAATTTATCGCATTGATTATTTAAATACCCTTACATTCAGAAAATAAAAGCGGTTAGTACTTATTCATGAATTTATTCGTTTTTATATTATATTATATTAAAATTATTATTTATTGATTCATCTACTTATTCAAATCGGACAATTGACAAGCGTCAGTTACTATGGGAACCAATAACGTTCAAAGACTAGTAGTGCACTACAGTGTATTAGTAGGTCTACCAGGATCTGATGGCAAAAAAGAAAAAAGAAATTGACGCTAGCAATACTGGGGAAATTGGAGTAAAACGTTTTGATACTTTTTTCCTTATAGCGGCTGATTTTGTGTGTGATAGTCTGATTGTGTGAGTCGAATGGGGTTCGAAACTTAGATGAAAACTCAAATTACTCTGTTCATGAGTTTATTAATTAATTAAGAACTTGAAAATGGTGCCAAATACTGCACATCCATAAAAAAGTCTTCATCGGAAGAGGAAGACGTGGAAGACGCAGTATTTATGATAAACCTTTCCTCCTGCATCTCAATTAACCGATCTTGTTCTATGAACTGATTTTCAATTTTTATTATATGTTCACAAGATTTTCGCCATTCATCGATCCCTATTTGAGAGAAAGCTTCTTCTGTTAACGATTTTATATCACTTGCAGGTCTATTGACGTTTTTAGCTGCAACTTTTTGTTTCATTATTCCCCAGATTAACTCTATGGGGTTTAACGTACAATGATATGGTGGGACTCAAGACTTCGTGGCCGTGTGATTTTAAAATCTCATCTATCTGATACTTAGGTTCAGATTTATGATTTTTCACTGCTTCCAGTAATTGACATTTACGCCAATTATCATCGTAAGGGATATTGTTTGATTGAAGCCATTCTTTTATAACAGCAATACGGTCGGCTTGTGTAGGCGGTTTGTTTAATTGTACAGAATGATACTTGGCGTTGTCCATAACAATTAGAGAAGGTTTTCTAAGGTTGGGAATCAACTTCTCCGTAACCCATTTTGTAAAGTTATCTTTATTCATATCATGGTGGTAGTCGGCAGATGTACTCTTCGACCTATACACCAAACAACAGTTTGGCACAAAACCATTTTCTCCACCAGCATGTACAATGATCCATCTTGGCCCTGCCGAAATACTTTTAGATGGGCCTGCAATATCTTTATTTTGCCAGCATTTGTTTACTGAACATGAACCGTGTATGTAGGTTTCATCTAAATAAACCACATCTAGCTTATCATCGGCTTCTCGATTCTTTTGCATACGCTCTAAATACTTGAATCTGTGTATCTTTATGTCATGTCGCTCCATTAAAATAGTCCTTTTTGATTGGCACTTCACGAATTCGAATCCGATGTCTTTCAAAATAAGTCTGAAGACAAAATAAGATTGTTATTTTTAGATGTTTTTAGATTATATTCAAACTGAAAGAAAATGAAATTCATTTTTGTTACCTTAACGATTCTCTTCCTCCATTGAAATTGATTTCCTCTCGAAGAATTTGTAGCAATTTCATGACATTTCTTTTCGTACAGTGTAAAACTCATTTATCTTGTTTCTGATCAAAACTAAATCAAAACTATCCAAGTTAATTTGTTTTCTGCCACCTTTCCTCTTTTTACCGGGCGTACTAAATACTCCTCTATTAGATCTGCCTTCAGCAACAATTCGTCTTATGGTAGTATTAGAAACCCCTGAAATAAACCAAAGTTTAGTATAAGAACATAATATAATATTAACGAAAAATCCAATAAACCAAAGTATCAAGAAGTGTCATTCCTACTAACCAGTCAACGCTTGCACATGGTTCAATATCGATGATTGTGTATGTTCTGCACCTTGTTGATCAAGTATTCTTTGATAAACATTGAAAACAATACTTCTTGCTTGCGATCGAAGAGGTTTCTTCGACATTTTCACCACTTTTTAAAGGAAATTTGAAGCCAAAACAAAAACAATTCCTCGAAATTTCAGTTGACAACTGAATTTTTTTTTTGTTGCCATATGAAAATCGCTAATTTTAAAATTTTTTTTTTGCCATCAGATTCTGGTAGACCTAGATAGATTATAGTAGTGTAGCCGCTTATAGAAAACTTCTAACTCCTAAAATTTCACACTGTGTGATAATAATAATTGATATTGCCGAAGAATTTCAGTTGGATGTACGGTGTACCAAATATAATTATTATAAATATTATAATTGATTCCAATTATATAATACAGATCCATTGTACCAACATCAACAACAAAATATATTATAGTAAATTAAAAGGGAAATAAATAAGCGTACACTTGTGTCCCAGAGCCGCAGAAACTGCCTAACAATTTGCGAATGAGTCAGTCATCTATTGTACTAAGGATACTGTTCCTATTGCATCGCAATCCTAGTGTGCCTTAAAAAGGGTGATTTTTACTAGAATACTACAACGAGTAATACATATTAATCCTTTTGTTTTTATATTAGTAAAGAGTCGTTAATATGACCAACTACGACGGATAATTGATGAATATTATGTTAACTCTTATAGATACTCTTATAGATGAATAAATGGACAAATTCACACAATAAGTGACAGCGAAACTGAGTCAGATCACGATAGTGACTTGCATTATTCATATAGTGATTGCAGTATTTCTGGAAAAACTCCAATTGATATTTAACTCGAAATATATGTTTTATTTCATCCCATTTATTTCTTAAATTCTAAGCTTTATATTATAGATTCATTTAATTGTCATTTTAAGTTCGAGATGAATATTTACATGTTATGAAGTAGAAGAATTTTAGGGAGTTCAAATGAATAGATGCTGGCAACATTCTGTCGCGCGATCACAGGACACGGCAATACGTTCTGACTTCTAGCGGACTTTTAAGTTCTATATTAAAATTTAAGTATCTGCTGCGATTGACGGCTTAGCAGTTAGCGGGCTTTGACATTGACATATTGCATTCGGATTTAGGTCCGATATATAATAATAGTTGAGTTTTAAAATTTTAAAGCTATGGCTACCTATGATAACAAAGCTTGGCTTCTAAAAAATATTAGAGATGCATTTATTGCAACAGACGATACCGGTTTGTGTGAAATTGTTATGGCTGGTGAAGATTTTTCAAAAATATTCCAAACTAAAGCAATTGAAGAGAAAAAGCGCATGAGAAATAGAGTAATAAATAGGCCGAGCACAAGTAAGGGTAGAGAGAGTTTCGCTGAGGATGATGAGAGGGATATAGCGACACTGTTTGATCCATACCCTGATATGGAAGACAGTGATGAGGATCCCATGTATGGCAGTTGGTTCCGTCATGAAGAGTTTGGAGGACACAGGTTATACTCATAACAGATTCTTATAACGACTCTAAATACGATTTTATTATCATGGTTTGAAAAAGCTTTATAAAGTAGTCAAATGAAAGCGTTTAGTAACTTTTGAATTATGATAAAATTTTATTACAGACAAAGATCAAACACAGCGCAATGGCTGGACAAAAAAGAATTAGCCTTAAAAAAGGCAGCAAAAATAAAAGTGGTAAAATGGGAAGAATCATACCCTCAATTAACTGAAGACCAAAAAGCTGAAGCATTCAAAAAAGTTGAGGTTAAAAAGCCACAAAAACAGAAGTCTTTACTTACAGAGCAATTAGAGAAGTGTCCTGATTTGCCTCATCGTCAATATCTGGAGTATGCAAAGTTTGATGGCACAGCACAACTTGGGTTACCTACTAAAGTATTTAAAATTTTCATGACAACTGTCCCAGAAAAATATCAAAATTATCCAGTCATTGTTTGTGTTATAGCTAGTGCCAAGATCAAAGATTTGATAGGTTTCACTTGCTATAAGTACAGGTAAATTTTTATTTTATTTAAGTTAATAATCACTTTTCTTAATCAGTCATGCAGTTGGAAGCAACTGCAACTCCCTATACTAGCTGGTAGTCAATTTGACCTTTTAAATTAATGAAGGCAAAGAATCCAATTTTAAGGACTAACTACTTATGTTAAAGTATTTTTTTTAAATTATGGAAGATATATTTAATACAAAGCAGTTCAAAAAAATAGGAACATTAACTACCTCAATCTGTGAAATGGTACATGAATAGTATGTTTGGCAAGAGAACTTATTTTAATTTTATTGGGTAGTTTCAATCTAATCTAATCTTTGTAAACAATGTTTATTTTTCAGTATAGAACATCCTGATATTACACTTGGCTCAGTACATGATTATGGACTTTGTATAGCAGAGGACGATGGTGAAGTTGACTGGGCATTCCCCTGCTTAGACAACAATGAACCATGCTCAAAGTTTGGCTTTACCTGCCTTGGGCTCATAGATACAAAACAAAAGGAGAAAATTATTCAAGTGACTACACCAATTCCAGATATTGATATGGGCCACAGTGTCTTTTGTTTCCCAAAAGCCCCTGATTCTGGACAGAGTAATATAAACTCTACCAAGCAGCACACGGGCGGCAGTGACACATCAGAAATTATGAAAGCCATGCATTCTGTTACTGAAGGTATATTTTGATAAGTATTTATAGAAAATATACTGTTACAAGTTTTATTGACATAATTTACCATTGTTAACTTAGGTAAGGGGTCAGGCTTCCAGTCGGGCCCACCCTTGACGGATGCACCACAGGATAAGCTGTACAGGGTTCAGTTATTACACAAAGTGCGGGCTAGCACCCCAGTCCAACTCTGCATTACACTGGATCAGATTGAAGTTGTCCCACTTGTAACACAGAAACATGCTTTTTGGGTGAGTCAACTAATACTTACATTTAGGGAATGCAATCCCGCTAGAATCTGATTTCTCTGCCACGAGATCTCGTAAGCTTAACGAGAGTAGTATCAGTGGCAGTAGTATCAGAAAAGTGAACAAGCGTATCTTTGAGCTTCAAGTAAATGCAACCGGAGCATTGTTATATATGTATTTTATTTCATATTTGAAAGTCCCAGTAATTAAAAACATTACTTGGAACACTTGAATGGCGACGAAATTTTCCATTTGTATAGCAAATACATCGCACGGCAAGACGTAAAAAATATAATCAAACGCTCATATAGTCAGATACACGTTTAAACTCTTCCACTGCTGCTAATGAGATTAAAAAAAAAAAAAAATATGTTTATTATGGAACATAAGATACATGTATCACTTATTCCACGTCATTAAATTTGAAGGCATCCCTACTCATCGGCAAAGAAGACAGAGGGTGTAGGCCGAAAGAAAAAGCCGGCGTAAAAAACTCTCGGTACTCTTTTAAAACAGCAAAACATCAAACAACACTTATTTAAAACAAATATCGCAAATTGATTAGAAGTAGCCTGTCTAGCACTAGTCCCAGGCCCTTTTATCAACTAGATAATCGTTGACTTTATAGTAAGCCTTTTTACACAGCTTTTCTTTAATACATTTCTTAAATTTATTGAAAGGCAGTGATAAAAGAGCCTCTGGGATTTTATTAAAGAAGAGTATCCCTTTCCCAAAAAAAGAATTACTAACTTTAGACAGTCTAGTACGGGGAAATTGCAGCCTGCGTTTGTTCCGTGTATTAACATTGTGCGTATGTTCTATTCTAGTAAACTTATCACTATTTTTGTATACATACATAATATTTTCATAAATATATTGCGAGGGAAAGGTAAGTATATTAATTTCCTTGAATTTATCTCTAAGAGATTCCCTACATTTTAAATTATAGATTGCACGAATAGCCCTCTTCTGCAGGATGAAAATAGTTTCGACATCAGCAGCATGACCCCATAATAATAAGCCATAAGTCATTAAGCTATGAAAGTAACTAAAATAAACAAGTCTAGCTGTATCGACATCAGTTAGTGAGCGAATTTTTTTAACCGCGTAGGCTGCAGAACTAAGTCTCTTCGCCAATCCGTTAATATGAGGGGACCACTGAAGTTTTGAATCCATGGTGATTCCGAGAAATACAGTTGTATCATCCAGATTCAATTCCTCACCGTTTATAATTGGTCTAGTATCCATAACCCTTGCATTTTTTGCACAAAATTTAATGCATTTTGTCTTTTTTGCATTAAGTAGAAGGTTATTCATACTAAACCAATGGACAATCGAAGGCAGAGCATTGTTCACATCGTCAAAATTTGTTATTTGTCGTTTGATTTTAAAAATCAAGGACGTGTCATCAGCAAACAAAACTATCTGATGTTTTCTCTCTACCATGAAAGGTAGATCATTTATATAAACAAGAAAGAGGAAAGGGCCAAGAATTGAGCCCTGTGGTACCCCCATATCTACTGCCGACCCAGAGGACCTCTTACCATTCACTTCAACCTTCTGAGTTCTTCCGTGTAAATAGGAAGTCAGAAGATTCAGTGCGGTATTCTTGATGCCATAGTGGCGGAGTTTCCCGATTAAGGTCTCGTGTTGGACACAATCAAATGCTTTGGATAAGTCACAGAAAACACCTAAAGCGTCATGCGACTCCTCCCAAGCCTTAACTATATATCTATATAACTCAACACCGGCATCGGCTGTCGAGCGACCCTTGGTAAAACCGAACTGATTATTATGTAATAATTTGTTTACGTTAAAATGACTTACCAGTTGATTTAATATAATTTTTTCAAATATTTTACTACAAGTAGGTAGTACGGAAATTGGTCTAAAGTTACTGGGGTCGGACATACTACCTGCTTTAAATAAAGGAATAACTTTACTATGTTTCATTAGATCGGGAAACTCGCCACTTTTAATACAATTGTTGAAAATTATAGCTAGATGGGGAGCAATTACATCAATTATGCTACTAATTATTTTTACAGAAATACCCCAAAGATCGGTAGTGTTCTTAATATCTATGGTTCTAAATATCCTCACTATATCGTCGGCACCAATGGGTCGGAATGAAAAACTGACCTTGCACTCGTTTACATTATCTTTGAGCAGCGATTCGGCGAGGGCGGGAGATGATTGAAGAGACTTAGTAGTCGAAATTGGAATGTCAGAAAAGTACTTATCAAAAACAATCGCTATCTCTTCGTTAGATTTGATTATAGTGTTATCGACACATAGTTCGATGTCTTGATTGCGATCCCTGACTCTTCCAGTTTCACTATCAATTATCTTCCAAGTCATTTTAGTTTTATTGGTACTATTTTTAATCTTGTTTTTGATATTTAAGGACTTGGCCGCGTAACAAACTTTCTTAAATAATTTCGAATAATTTCGAACATAAAGAATAAATTCTTCATTATGATTGTATGACTTCAGCGTAAAGGTCATACAACCGTTGTCTACTTTTATAAATTCCCGCTGTCGCCCAATCACTAAACGATTTACACTGCGAATGAGAGACTTTCTTTGGGGTAAAGATGGTGTTGAACTCTTTATTAATACAATCACTTAGATTGTTGTATTGTGTATCAACGGTAGTACCTACCGGTAATAAAGGTAGGCGTTTACCTATATTATGTCTAAATCTCACCATTCGCTTTTTATTCACTGGAACAAACACACTGCTCTTATTTACTTGTTTCACCACTTTACATTTTAGCGCCACTAACTGTCCACAATGATCTGAGCTAAGATCAGTTGTAATTGAGGTTTGCATTGCCTCTGCATCTGTAAATACATTATCTATACATGTAGCAGTGGAGCTTGTAATTCTAGTGGGCTCAAGAAACAAGTTAACAAGATTGTAATAACAGATTGAATTTTTTACTAATGGAGGTATTTTCTAATAAATTTATATTGAAGTCACCACATACAATAATATACTTATTGTTCTTAAAACTAACTTTACACAAAATTTCCTCCAACTTTTCTTCAAAAAAATCGTAAGATGCACTTGGTGGTCTGTAAACACTTAAAATAATGCAATTCTCAATCTCTATACAGGCTACTTCCAAAGAGTGTTCTACAGACAGACACACGATGTCATTACGCTCTTTATACTTTAAATTTTTATTAACAATAATCAAAGAGCCCCCATGAATCGCCGACAATCTGCAAAACGAACTTGCAACTTGGTGCTGATCAAAGTTAAAGATGATTTGGCATTCTCTAAGCCAATGTTTGGTAATGCATAGGACATCAATTTTACTTGATTTTAAAAACAACTCCAATTCAAATTCTTTGCCCAACATACCTTGCATGTTTTGATGCATCAAGTTTAAACAGTTGTTGTTAGTAATATAACATGTTTGTGTTGAGCTGAGTTGTACTAAATTATTGCTAGAGTTTGCCTCTATTGTCACACTATCTAATTTAAATTATTTATACTTAATGAAGTGCTACTGCAAGTATCACTACATTCACTTAAGCTAAGCTGCTCAATAGAAGCAGTTGTCTGAAAAGCTAAATGTTTAGCTTTAGTTGTAAATAAAAAGTAAGATAGCATAGTAGCTATCTGTTGTAAATAATAATTAGGTAGGCGGAACCTATCCTTTGTCAATACATAGGGGAAGATCGTTACCCTTCGTACGCGGGGCACATTCATAAAGTCAAAATAAAACTTTAACGAAACAAAGTACAGTCTTGTTTTTGTATGTGTGCATGAGTCGAGGTACCAACTATACATCAACGAAGTTTCGCGAAATTCGCACCGATGAGAGTGAAGTTACAGGCATGGACATGTTTTCGCGCTCGGTAAGTAATTTTTTGATCAATGTTTTTGTCTCTTGTTACCGTAGATAAAATAAGTTTTCGTGTAGAGTATTCTATCAGTAACTAGCAAAATATACTTAAGATACGTCTCCAATACTTAGTTTATGACAGTTTCCTATTAATATTAAAACAAGTTATATTTTGTTGTTATTCATTTAGTGGGGTACTTTCGGACAGCACTAGATGGGGCACATTTGAACGAATTGTACAACTAAATTTCTATGAAAATATTTTGTCGACACGAACTGTCATTTTCATACAAATTAAGTTTTCGACTTGCTACATACAAATAATAATAAGGCATCTTGACTAAACCCTCTGGTAGGTAGGAAAGATTGTGTTAGTGTGCTAATTGCTAATATTTGCATTAACTTTGTCCTGTGTTGCTATCATTTCTATCGTCTATGTAAATATATATTAATACCTATTTTTATTATCTTTATTAAGGTTGATTTTGATGCCTGTGAACCAGATGCTTTAAATAATTTACCAATCCATCAAATAGTAGTCAGTTTTGACACCAGAAGCGTTTCGACCCTATCCGCATGTTGTAAGAAGTAATAAAACAAACAAAATGACGACGACGGCCAAAACCACGAATTTATACACAGATTAAAAAATGTGATTCTAAATATTAAGATACCTAACTAATTAAAATTTGTTTTTCTTAAGAAAAGCTATGTAATTTTTGTTCACTATAAGAAAAGTATTTTATTTTTGTTTAATAGAAGTTAAATCTTTATTTTTGTGTTTAATTTCATTGCTAATAAATGAATTTTGATTTATATTTGTCGCTTTAATCGCACGTACGGAACTACCCCACAGCGTACGAATGTACCCCCAACACTGTACGAAGGTGCCCCGTTGATGGGGCAGATTCGTACGTTTTCCAGATTTAGTTTAAATCATAATTATGGTTAAACCATCAGATGAAATCAATTGTCATTTTCTTATAAGAATCTCAGATAGTTAGACTGTAAATTTAAGCTTGCAGATGATTGATTCATGGAAAAAGAAAAAAATAAAAAAATAAAATGTGAAAACCGTACGAAGGGTCCCGACCTTCCCCTACTTATTTTTAAATATACAATTTATGTCCATTAAATTAGGTAGTGTACCTAAGTCACAATTTAATTGTATATTGTTAGTAGTTAACATATTGTGCAACAACATGTTTAACTTATATCTAATTTTATTTTCCTTTGGTGCACCTTTGATGTAAGGAAATGTATGCAAGACAATATTCTCTACATTAAGTGATTTTAATTTATCAATAAATGACAACAATTCATTTTGTCCTACATTTCCCCTTCTCCCAAAAAGCAATATTAAAGTTGTGTTATTTGTGTAATTTCCACACAAGACTTTGTTGAAAATGGTTACAGGGGTGGCTCCGGGCATACAATGATTTGTTACGTTGTTGTTGTATTAACACCGCAACAGAAATCGATGAATTGCCTCTATCAATGATATAATTTACGTGCTGATGCCATAAAAGCCAACACGACAGTTCAAGAGAAATTGCAAGTGATTCTGTGAGCAGCTAAAAGTCCTTCACGTGTTTCTGCGAGATAAGATAGATTAGAGTCACTCATAAAAAAAGAGATGAATCCATATATGAGAGGGGTAGCTTTTGACACTTCGCTTATCATAACTTACTCACGCTGGTGCCAGCTAGTGTTGGCTGCAGATTTCGACTCAAGATTGCATTCCCTACTTACATTATTGCTTCTTTCTATTAACATTGTTATATTGGATTCTTTTTTTTATAGTCAAGGCCAAAATACTTTCTGCACAGCATGAACTCTGTGGCATGGTGTCAAATATTAGAAGCAAAGAGCAATAAGACATCATTCCGGATTGTCTACTCACCTAGTCACGATACTGCCTTCAACGACTCACACGCAGCAGGTACATCCATGCTTTCAAATAATCAATTATTGTGAATCAATGTCAATCAAATATTTTTTTTAAATGTTCACTACCTTGTGTAAAAATAACAATAATGGTTTTAAACCTGAGTATTTGTAATTTTTCTTAACAGGCAAGGGCAACCCTGAAAAACACGAGACAAACTATACCGAGTTTATATTCATATTTTAAAGCTTTTCTATTTATTTATTATTATAGGTAACTCCGGTGCATTCCAGGCCACAGCAATTTATAAGAAACACGATTTTGAGTGCGATCACGACACGGCACGAAGGATCGTCGATAAAGTAAACACCATATTAGATCTCAGAAATAGTCCGTGTCGACGAGAATATAAAAACACCAAAGAGAAGAAACTTCACACAAGAAGAAGTTTCCACACAAAACAATTAAAAAGTTGAGTACTATATTCTGCCTATTTGAGAGTTCCTTTATACAGGTGTTGACTGAATTTATTATTAGGTATATTAATATGATGGGCGTAGGCTTCTTTAATAAGAGTTTCGGAATATAAACGAAAAAGTCTAAATAGCCCCAAAAATGAAATGAATACTGAAGTCTCTATAAGTATGCCTATTGTTAGATCGGTTTGGTGTAACAATCGCTCTACCGCTATTGCTAGCAGTTGTGGTTTAATAAATGACATATATATTATAAATATGTTGCAGAAGTGTAAAAGGACAACCTTAACTTTCAAACTCATTTTATATATCAATCTATCTATCAATAAAAGCAAGGAAGTCCTAGTCTATCTTTTATTCTTTGCAGTTTTTTACTGTTTGACTTGCAAACCTAACATTATATAACTAGTTATAAGGGTAACCAAATTCTCTTTATCATTTTATATAAACACTAGTGTTAGGGCTGGTAACAATAACCGAGTTTACAGTTTTGTTAATATATTTTATGCAAGAGCTATATTAAAAATTAAATAATACAGTTAAAATTTTAATATTAAAAGTTCAATTAACTCCAATACTACTGTTTTGCGAAATCATTGATTCTTTTTATTAAACAAGGAAAATGTATCTGTTACATGATTTACCAAGAGTATTTAAGATAAATAGTAGTAGGTATAAGTATTTATGAATTCCATTCTTGTTTTAAAATGGGGTTTCAGGGTCCTTAAACATACTGCCACATAGAAATTGTACTGCCATAATTTGTATTTGTGTGTTGTGAATGTGTGTCCATTGAATGATGATTGTTTCCATACTAATGTAAATAAAAACCACTTAATATGGTAGTTGAAATTTGTTTACGGCTAAATGCCTTAAAGAGATAATTTAATTTTTTCAATTATGTGAATGTACAAAAATCACATTTTTAAATAGAAAATTACATTTTGAATTTGTATATTTCTGAGCATTACAAAATAAAAAATTTGTTTTATTTCCACTGGCTAGGAATTCCAGTATGAACACATTGAGTAAATCTCCAATTACCAAGATCGGCACTAGTGTATTTATATTAAGAATAAAACATTTTGAGATCTTGTTGATGTACATAACTATAATTAATAAAGTTCTTAAATAATTAAGTTTTCACTTAAAATTAAATTTTGGGCAAAAATATCCGGGAAAATTAAGCTTAATTATAAAATGCATGTATGTAACCTCATTAAAATCACCACTCATATTGATAATAATAATAAAGTTTGATAAAATGAATGTTCTAAATATATTTTAAAAATGTACAACAATGGCTGCTTTTAATTAGCAATATGCACATGTTATAATGTCAAAATTCTATCCTAACAGTAAAGTTTCTAATTAAGTGGTTATTCTATAGGATTTTACACATTTTACCAACATCTATAAAAGCAATTTTAGTTTTTTTAGAGGAGACATAAGTAATAATGTAGAAACACAAAAGATGTTCATGGCTTCAAAATGGCACATTACATAATTTGTTATTTAAAAAATAAAGTAATTCAACGTGTACAGCTTGCCAGCCTGTAATTTGTGGTTAAATTTATGTGTAACATGTATTAAATCTCTGGAGTATCTGTATAGTATATGTATTGTATTTATGAGCAAGCTGCACTAGATAACTAAATATATGAGAGGGTGAGAAGTAAGAATCTAACAACCCTACAGACACCCTAACGTGAATAATATATATATTATAATAATATAAAAATATCAAAGCAATTGGGCAGGATGACCATGATAATTAAGGCCTTGAAGTAGTCTTTGCTACTTTGAGAGGAAGCGAGGAATGAATGAGACAGATCATATTCAAATCTGATTTATTGTTATAAAATAACATATAACCCTTACTAACGGCTTGGCCACGGGGATCGGCGGTGCGAATGGCGAAGCGGGAGGCGAGGCGACCATTCACGCGGCGCCGTTTGCAGGCCACGCACCAGTCACGTTCGCCGCCGCGACCAGTAAAGAAGTTCGACAGCGAAATGTCTATCGAAATCATCTCGATATTGCTTGGAAAGAAATAGCTTTTAGTTCAAGACCTAATATTTGGAAGAGATTGTGGAGTACATGATTTAAATAAGAATCGAGGTATAGATAGAGAATTCCACAAAAAATACGAGAAATACAGAATATATCCAGAAAAGTTTTTTTGAGTATACCAGAATGAGTATTGAAACATTCGATTATATTTTTATGTATATTTAACCAGAATTGGAGAAAAAAGTTAATGCAAATATAATTTTTTAGTTAAGCCAGTATATCAGTAATAAAAAACTCTGTATTCATTTTTCGCCGCGAAAACGACTAAACTTATTTAATCCTTGCTCTATTCGCCGCGACTGCCGCTCGATTCCGTGGCTTGCGCTGTACTGATTCTTGCCTTTGTTTCGCTCGCCCGTCGCGACGCCAGTCGCCCGCGCGATTCGCTCGTTACATTTCGCCGGTCGCCGTTGCGCGTGGCTTGATTAGTACATTGCTATGAGTTTATTTCAGTCGCTAGACGCTTCGCCGTTCGCATCGGCGAATGTCCCGTGGCCAGGCTGTTAGGCTTATCCATATATACATCATATTTTACTTGTGAGCTAGGAGTGAATATCGCATCTTCAACTGTTAAAAACTAGAACAACTATGTGAGCCGTGTCAGAAGTTGGTCAATTTCCAAATGAAATCTGAACACAATGATAATTTAAAATTAAAAAAAAAAAACTATTCATGAGAGAATTATGATTGGTTTAATTTTCCACAAAATCCATAGTACTGTTTTCAAGTATATAATCATGAATTTTATCTATTTTAGATTCAATATTTGTAAGAATTACATTTTCTAGTTCAGTTGCTTTTCGATAAAATGCTTGAGCAACTTTTACAGATTTGTGCAGACCCTGCTGCCTTTCAACAAGCTGTGATAAATTAATTTTTCTGTTCAGAAATTCAATATCTTCTGCATTAAGAACTGAATAAGTTTGGCTTTCCAAGGAATTAGGTCTTTTCTGAGCAATCTTGCATTGTCTGGAAACAAATATTGTTAATGAAAAATAGATAACCTTTTTAGTTTTTAGTAACCAATGTCTTCTGAACCTATTGCAAGATATGAAATATTAATAAATCATACTTAATACTGAAAGGTTGATAATTGTTGAAACTGTTGCTCAAAACAAACAAAAATTTCAATGCTTAATTTAAATTGATCAAGCCACTTTAACTCATATATTTTTCATATTAGAGCTATTAGGAATAGAGCTATTAGGTTGTTTTCAAACTTACAAGCGAAGTTCTTGGTAAACATCACGTCTTCTTATTAATTCTTCTTTCCACAATGACTTTTCATATAATAAAGCATTATAATACCTAAAACAAAATATTTCTTGGATATACACATTACAAATATTTTAGTGTCTCTTAAATATTTCTCAATCTTAATTATTCAACTTGATTAAAAACTACTAGAACAAAAAATTTAGTTCCTACATATGGAGAACAACAACACACCAAAATAATAAAAGTATAATGCTATATAGAATTGGTTGATAATGTTTAAAAAATTGTAAAGTAGGTGATCAGATGTCAGTAGGTACATTTTTATCCTCACATTATAACATCAAGGCAAAAATTAACCATTAGACTAATGTAGACGATTTTTTATATTTTTATGAAACTAACTTTGTGACAGCTTCATTATGTGCTTTCCTCTCATCTTCAGTGGTGCTATCCAGTATATTCCCTATATGAAGTGCGGGCGCTAGAAAGCAATTTATTAATTTAAAATAAAAATTATAGGATAGAGAATTATTGTCAAATACACTAGGACAAGAAGTGAATTAGCTTGATGTTTTATTTTCATCATACATAAACACCAGTTACATATCCATTTCGCAATACAATAAACTTTAAAAATGGTTTAATATACCTAGAGATTCGCGTCTAACAAAAAACGTAGATCTACGACGACGCGGTGGGGACACAGGTAACTGTATATCACTTTCTTCTAAACAATTTTCCATTCTTGATAATAACTATGTAATGAAATTGGATTGTATATAAATTCAAAGGCAATACTAGTTACTACTTTTCAAATTCAAATTTCAAAGACCTGTGTTATATTTGTAATAAAAGCTATATTTATAAATTTTCAAATCGCAACTGTGAACTTAAAGTCATATTTTTTTTCCCGCCCATGGCGCAGGCTATAGTCTTTCGACCATACCGCCTCTGAAAGTCATAATATTTTTTTTCGCCCATGGCGCGGGCTATAGTCTTTCGACCATACCGCCTTTGAAAGTCATAAATTTATGGACATAGACAATTTATATTTCTACATATGACAGAGTGACTTTCAAGTTGTCAACCTACACACACATAAAGAGAACAGAGATCGATGATTCCATAGAGGGCTACCGCGATATACATAAGTTAAGAAAACTGCATAATGGTACGTTTACACGCTTGCCAAGCCTTGGCAAGGATCGACAATCGCAAGCATGTAAAAAGGGCGTTTGGCTTGGCTTGCGTGGGCTTGTGCCTGCTTGCTTCCGATCCAGTCGAGTGTCGGTTTTTTTACGCAGATCAAAGGGCGTTTGCGGCAAGCGCTTGCGATGCATTTAAGCCCCCAGTACACAATGGCCTGTGATGAGCCACGCTTTGCAATGCACAATTGTAGGCCACGATCACTTGGTGTTCACACAATGGCGCATGGCTCATTGCTGCCTGGCAAACCACTTGCGATGGACGTCGAAGTAATTACGGCTGCGGCTATTTATTTGTATACTGTTTACAAGTATTACAGAAGTGTGTACCGTCACAAAGTTATAAAAAAGAAATGGCGAAAAAGGCGATGGTGGATGCTGACCATTCATCGAAACAGGACAAGGACAATACCCGCGTTTAGTAGCCATTGTGATCTCGCGGCGAGTACACGCTTGCTTGATTTTACAAAAAATAAATAAAAAATGAGTTGCTGGTCGAGGAGAGTCTTTCGTTTCTGGAACATTACCAAATCGAACCATGCATCTGCAATCCGAAAGATGCAAATCATAAAGATAAGAGGAAACTAGCAGATCCATGGATTCGTCTTGCTGAACTAACTGGAAGGCCAGTAAAGGAAATAAAAAATAAAAAAGATATACATATAAGATATAAGAGAGAAATACTTTTCGCAAGCACTTGAAAAAAAACGTGCGAAAAAGTACGTTAAACCAAATGCAATAGCCATCACAAGTTCGGTGTCCGCCATGCTTGGATTTATATTGCAGACTGACGCATTCACAAGCGTATAAACGCCTTTCAAACGCCAAACGAGATTTGTGGAGGCTTGCGACTGTTTGCAGTTTGCCAAGGCTTGGCAAGCGTGTAAACGTACCATAATGGAGGAGAAAACTGCCAAACTTTGCCGCTAGTAGCGCTGGTATCGCTTGACCCATAAAAATGCAAACAAACGTCAAATCCCCTACTTTATTATTATAACACAAGATAAAACATTAATTTTCTCCTCCTCCTCAGCTCCTCTACAGGTTTGCATAAACTACTTTTAAATTATGATGTATATGGTTTAGGTACTAAGGTATGTAATAAGTACTAGCATTAATTTTAGGTTTACCTCAAGTTCATAGATATTTGAAAAAGACAACAATCCCAACTGTTTTCGCATGGAAGAACCCACTACCACAGCAAGTATCGTAATAATATAATTATAGGGGCAGCCAAGTCATTAACATCAGTGGATCAATTTCTTTTGATGTTAGTTAAATTAAGAAGAAATAAACCTGATTTTGAGATGGTAAAATTTGTTTTGTTTTGTCCGTTAGATGGATATGCAGGCTCTACCGGTGACCGTCAAATAACTGAAAGAAGTTACCTGTTAGCTGTTAGTGATGAAAAAGATGCAATAATGGCTGACCGTCGATTCAATTGTGTTATGCTATGTAATGTTAAAGAAGGAATTGTAAAATAAAAGTCCAAAGTAATTAGTGGGTTTTATTTTTATAAGAATTAAATTTTTATTAAGTAGGGCCTTTTTAAAAAAATTCCACATAAAATTTGTTCAATACTTTTAACATATGATTGATAAAATTCTTCATCCATATTCTGAAAAAAATTTCAATAAATTTTGAAAAAATCCAATGTGATTACTTCGTGACAAGATCTGCCTTTCTTCCTTTTAAAGAACCACCCCTGGTCTTCAATCCTACTTTTAATTATGGAACAGTCCATGTCAAATACATTATTCAGCAGTTTTCACTCGTAAACACCTTTTAAGATTTAGTAAATCGTACCTAAGATTTACGGAAGAATTGCTTAAAACTGACAGCGTATTGTTATGGGTCAAGCGATGATAGCGACATCTGCAATTAGTTTTGGGTTTTCTCCTCCATTAGTTGCCTAATACAAATGTTTTATAAAAAAAGGGTGCGTGTACTTATGTACGCGCGTAAGAAGTTATACTTCTTTGGCATTATTAAAAATAGTTTTTGATTGCATGCAAATAATTAATTTCAATTAAATAATCAAAGACTGGAAAAGGAGTCATTATAGTCAATTAAGTTCAGTTTACATTTGAAAAATTAAATAAATAATTATTTATTATTATTCTCTTACATTAAGTGTAACATAATTTCTATTTAGTTAAAAGTATATATAATTATATATTTAGAACATCTCTACCAAACACAAAGAAGTATGTTGTAGCTTTGGCAGTATTGCACAATATAAAATTAATAAATTTCTTTGAAAAATTAATCAAAACTCCTTTATTTGTTTAAAAGGTAAATGACAAATGTCATTATGGTCATTCAAAATTCTTGGCATACGAACTTCACTCATATTCTATTTCTTTATACTTGTAGATTGTCTTATTCCTATCTCGCTCGCGCACGCTATAATCACACTCCCAATTTTGTGTCACAGGTGCGCGCGCATCGTAAAATTTCACTCTCATAAATTTTTCATAACGCGCCTAAAGAAGTATAACTTCAAAAACTTGTTACAATATTGAAATCAATACTGGAGATTGATAAGTCAGTGAAATATATTGGTTAGTGAAAAAAGGCAAATTATGTTTATATTTTGCCTTCTTGATTCTTGAAGTGACAACTTCTTTAGCGGCGTTGTACACTTTTTTTGGAATGGGTAAAAAATGTTAAACTCGCGTCAGGACACGTGACCTGGGGGTCTAGCCATATTGGTGTCGAAAAGTATTCTACATACACTACCGCTTTTGCGTAATTGTACTGTCGAAAACGCTTCGTTCGTAGCCAAGAGGCATGTCGATACATTACCGCAAAGTCGACAGCGTAGATGCGAGCTGCTGTTCGTAGCACCTTATTCCGTCATATTGTCTCTGGATTAAATGTATTCCTAATGTCACTTTTATAAACAAATAAAAGTTAAAACTACAATATTATTGTTAATTTGCAATAATTGCAAATTCCAATTATTGGAAGCTGCAAAAGGGACATTAGAATGTCAGTAAGGTCGGAACAATTTTCGATTTAAGTGGAATTTACTGAAGGTGTAAAGTGAATATATGAATTTTAATTGCATGTTTAAATTACTTATGGTTTGTTTCATGTTTTCTCAGAAATTTAAGGCTACAAATAAATACAATATTTTGAAATTGCATAATCGCGATATATAATAATTAGTAGTACTCATACTTTGATATTTTTAGGATTTGACCTCACAACTAATCTGCAAAATGAAGAAGCAACATATTTTGTTACCGCTTAGAAGAAACAATAGAAATAGTACTGTGGATTGATAAATAAAGAGTGAAAATAAGGTTGACTAGAAGTTGATAAGGAATAGAAGGATAGTCCAAGAAATTAAAAAATAATAGAAAAAAAACGTAGACTAGTGTGAACACTGAAATTAGAGTTTGATTTAAGCTTTAATTAGGTTTGGTGTTTGTGCTTGAACATTTTTAATGTCAATTTGAAAGCAGATTTATATATAAGTGTAGATTTTATTAGTGATTTGCTACTAGTTGGAATTATCTCTGTTTATGTCCAACAAACAATTTTAGTTTAAGTTAGAGTCATAAAGGTTGATTGTTTATAATAAATGTATACTTTTAGAAAGTGAGAATTGAAAAGCAGCAAGTACTCAATGAAATGAAAAGAGGGATTAATAAAAATTATAAAATAGAAACTTAGTCTGGTATGAAATTATAAGCCTTACTCAAACCTTTGATTCCATATTGATGCTCCAACATCTTAGATATAAATTTAAGTTTGATGCTGATTTTAAGTTAATATTTATGTCAATTAAGTTTTGGTTATATCAGTGATTTGCTACTAGTTAATATGTAAATGCCAAATCTGTTTAAGTAAGAAATGAATAAACATTGCATGTTATGTATTTGTCAGTTTTATTTTTTGGTAATTTACCTATGTCTTCTTTAGTAGGAAAAACCATTAAAGTGGTTAACAATATAAGTTTCTTTTACAAGAATATACAGATAATGCATATATGAATGACCCGTACCTACTAATAGTTAGAAATATTAAACAAATAGGTAGCAAAATAAAAATGTTCCAGTTATGGTTATTTTTTATTAAAATAAGGCACCAAATATCTTCCTTAACATAATGCAGTCTACATAGAAAAATAAGCATATATAACAACTTGTTAAACAATACAGACATTACTACTGAACACACACAGGTGCACCAAATTCAATGCATTACTACCTAATGTAGATGTATTCAATTATTCATATTTATATATGTAGATAATTAACTAATAAATGTAAGTGTTAATTTGCAGCAAAGTCAATATCTTATTTGTGTGCTGTTATATACAAAAAATTGTTCAATTCATAAAACCTAACGTTAGATGTTGTGATGATTTCATAAAATTACTATGATACCTACAGTTACTATGAATACATCCTGGGCGATTAAAAAAACAGTGATTGTTTCCTTAACACAACAATTGTAAATAATAATAGTTATTTTAAAGATATAATTCTTCCCAAAATCTACAAATCCAGTTTGTTTATAATAATATCTCATTAACATTCAAACTGCTGAATTTATTAAGATTAAATGTGGAAGAACATAGTTTCAGTTACTGTTTCCTGTTCATGAGGTAATGTTACTTAACCAACCATTATTTCATACTCCACTTGTCTTATTTTTTACATTATTCATAAAATGCTTCATTCCCCATTTTCTGGTACATAATATAACACTTAAATTAATTAAAAGATAAGACTTTAATAAAACTTGTCCATTTGTGGTTTTTTTTAATATTTTTAGTTGTCTTATTAGCTTCTCTTTTTCTGAAAAGAAAATATTTTAGTTAGTACTTTGATCAAATAGAAAACTGACAAACTAAACTAAGATCGGTCCAAGGTTTGTTCAATAGGTAACTTTAATTTACTCTTTACTTAATTCTAAACTTAAAAATATACTTAATTTGTCACTTTGCTGCTTATTGTCAATTAAAGTTTTTAATAACCAAACAATGTCAGTAACTCCCAAGGGACTTGAATTCAAACTTCTCATTCATTAACAATATTATAATAACTTCTCTAGTATATTGACTTAGTAAATAATTAAAGAAAATATCTGCTTACCATTATTTAGTATTGCTCACTAGATTTTATATTTCCAAAGTTCATAAAGTATAAATCCACTTTATTTGATTAATTTAAATCAATATTATATCATTATCAGCTTCTATTATAATTACAATAAAATATATTTAGAACTTCTAATTATGTTCATTAGTGACTGCTTTCTCATCTGAAATATACAAATAAAATGTACAATCATTTTACTTTGTGATTACATAATATATGCAATATTAAATGGTATACGTATTTGTCAAATTAAAGAACAATTTCATGAACTTACATGCAATATAAATATCAATAAAAGATATCCAATATAACTAGGATTTACCTCTACTAATTTGCTGATTTTCTTGATATTTTCATATTTATCTGTGTCTATTATGTTATCCTCGCATTGATTCATAGAAAAACTAAAACTCTTAACTTAAAAATATTAACTCTAGTTTAAATTTATTAAATTATTATAATTACACGAGAACGTTAAAAAAAGACAGATAACAAATTAATTATTAAAACCATTTCGTAAAAACGTCCAAAATATGACATGTTTTTAAAACGGTAGCCATTAAAGATGGCAATAGTTGTACTGAATTATTGCAAACAGCAGCTTTTGAGATAACGCTAAAACATGGCGGAGAAACGCCGTTTTTCTACACTGCCGAAACATTAATTGGCCGTTGGCTACCGAATAGCGGCAGCGTTAATGTGTGTCTTTTCGTAGCACTGTCATGGCGTCGCTTATTGTATCCCGACTCACGCCTTTAGGGCCTAGGCTACCGACAGTCGACACGAGCTGTCATTTTCATACAAATTTAGTTTTCGACTTTCTACATACACTACTGTTAAGCCATCTTGGCTAGACCCCTGATCGAAAATTTGTAAGACGGATGGAGAGTAGACAGCTGGCGCGGCGTATTTAATGTAATATAAATTGTTATAGTTGTGTACGATAGCGCAATAAATAAATATTGTATTCTACCACATAAATGATAGTACTTTTATACTGATAATTAAAGCAATTCGTGCAAAATTAATCCCTAACCATTCCAAAATATCAAAAATTCACAACGTTAATATTCACGTTTTCACTTCTGCCGGCATTCCCGGAGTGCAACCCATTGTTTTTTTTTGAAGTGAAACTTCTTTAGGTGCACGAGGGTAACATATTTACAGATAAAACGTCACGTAGATGCTGCACATCTACGTACGTACGTTATTGTCAAAGAAAAGGGAGAGAGCGATTGAGACCACAGATAGAGTATAGAACTAGATGAGCTTCTAAAATAACAATAATAACCAAAGAGAGAAGGCATTAACGTGAAATACTTAAGTGCGAGCGAAACAGAATATCAGTTTTTCTGTCTCTATTTGCGTATCGGGTTTTATTTGTTTACCACCAAGCCCTTGGTGGTAAACAAGTTTTCACCGCTTACTGATAAATCTGTGAAACCCAAGTCAAACCCATATTTTAAGACATGGAGTACTGCTCTCACCTCTGGGCGGGGGCTCCCCAATACCAGCTCCTTCCACTTGATCGTATTCAACGCAGAACAGTTCGAATCGTCGACGACCAATCCCTCTCCGAACGGCTTGATCCTTTGGCGTTGCGTAGAGATGTGAGGTCACTCTGCATCTTCTACCGCATTTACCATGGAGAGTGTCCAGAGGAGTTGTTCGGATTAATACCTGCAGCTGAGTATCGTCATCGGACGTCGAGGCAGAGTACGAAATTCTACCCGTATCACCTCGACGTCAGCCGTTCCACAACTGAGCGTTTTTCAAGGCAGTTTTTGCCGCGCTCCACCACTTTGTGGAACCAGCTGCCCACTGAAGTATTTCCGAACCAATTCGACTTAGGGTCCTTCAAGAAAAGAGCGTACCAATACTTGAAAGGCCGGCAACGCACTCGCGTGCCCTCTGGCTTTGGGAGTGTCCATGGGCGGCGGTATCACTTAACATCAGGTGAGCCTCCTGTCCGTTTGCCCCCTGTTCTATAAAAAACAAAAAAAAAAACTTTATCCAAGAGGTGTATTTAAAGTGTCAGTCATGGTGAATCGTTGATTGAAATCTCAAATGACGAATTGTAAATTAGTTTTTACTATCGAAGAAATAAATTTTAAAAATTAAATTTATATTCTGTATTAATTTTCAACACTTAATATTTTAATGACAATTAAATTCCTAATATAATATCTTTTAAAGAAAAAACTGTTTGACCGGATTGAAGTTATGTATTATTATAAATTTACAACTATTTAACATAATTTTAAATGTATCCGACGTTTCGCGTGCTTTACAGCGTGCGTGGTCTCGGTAATATCTTCCTTTTTCCCTCCTTCTAAGTCTCGGAAATCTAAACTTTTAGATTTGGCCATTTGTATAAATATGAACATTAAAATTAGTTTGCCAAAGAAGTTTCACTTCTGACATGTGTACTTTGTAAGCACGCACTTTTTTTTTTAATTTATGGGCTGGTAACGAGATTAAAGGCCAGACTTAATTTATAGACCCAATCTAGTTTACTTCAACTAAGATATAAAATTCTATATTTAGGAGTATGAGCATTGTTTCTATACTCTATACCATTACTTATACTCTATGCAAAAATACTATGCTTAGATAAATGCCATGAGCTGCGGAGTGCGGGGCCGCATTAGTTTTCTAAAAGTGGTAAATGTAAATTACCAAAAAAATATTTTATTTTCGTCACATTTAAGTTTGTTTAAATTTGGTAAACAATGTTTTGTTCTCTCAAGGGAACGTAATTTTATTCATGGGTAAGACCATAAATCTTATATCGCGTGCCTCCAATCTATTGCAAAATGCTGCTGCTATTGCTGTTATGCAGAAAAGTTCAAGACTTTTTGTGTAAATTAACTTAGTGTGTAATTTGGTGTTTTTAGCAAATAGTAATGGAGTTTAGTAGTCACACTAATGAGGTTTTGGACCCGGTAGAAATTGACTTCTTCTCCGATCGATCGCGAACACCTAGTCCAACACCTGTCTTAACAAGTAATGTTTGTTGTGATTTGGAGGACATATTGAGCGACGTAAGTTCTCGCACATTTTATAAATGTTCTATTAAAATAGTAAACAAGTTATCATACAAATTAAACGCCATTAATATTTAGTACTAATTTATTCTTAATTCTAATTATGTGACAACTTATGTCATATTTTGTACACAGTATTTATAATTTTAAATTTAATTACTTTTAATTTATGATCTTAAAATTATCATCATAAAGAATGTTACCTTTTATCTATTAGCTATAAATTGTTTTAAAATATTAATATAAAGTTAAATTATTTTATATTTATATCATAAGGCATATTATTGTAAATAAATAAATAATTTCACCCAGATACCACATTTAAATCTTAAAAACTTTATAAATCTAAAATAGTATATAGGAGCGCAAACTAATTTAGATTTTGGTATTTAGTTTTCATAAATTTTATGCAGGTTGTTAATTTTTAAATTGGCAAGATTAATCGTAACAAATTAACAGATATAACAAAATGTTTAATAGATTCTAAAGAAGTTTTTAAAAGATTTACCAAATAATGTAATAGGCATTTACAATGAAAAAAATATATGTTTAATGTATTATTTATTAAATTCTACATTAGGGTTAGCATGATTGCCACATCTTTGGCAATTTTTACCTCTTTATTTGCCTATGATTATTACCACTGTTGATCTCCTTTTTATGTACTTTGCTCTCGTTTATTAGGTTAGGTATAGAATAGGGCAAGTATGTAGTTTTCTATATTCATTTTCTAACAACTAGTTTGTTCTTGCTGTAAAAATAATTGTGAAATAAATGTTTTCAGGCTATTTCAGAGTCATTACAAGGATCTCTAAGAGTGAGTTGCAGTCAGTTGATTAATCAAGAGTTAACTATAAGACCAGAAGCAAATATTGAATCAAACGTTCCCGAGGGGCTTGACCTGTATACAGTGATATACGAAGTAGAGAGTGATAGTGAAAGCAAAATGGCTGATGTGAATGGATCATCAGCACACACTTCTGCCAAAGATCAGGTTAGCAGTTATACTATCTTTCTAATTTCAGTACACACTGAAATGTGTGCCTACAATGTTCAGATTTGAGATTCAGAAATTTTGCTTATTCATTTCTGAATTCATCAAATCCATTAAGCACTGTTAAAACCCTAATTGTGATATAATAATACTTGTCCCGTTAGGTGAACTATTTTACAATGATGCTATGAAATTATTTCTCATTTATTGTTGCTGGAATTAATTTAATTTTTTATATCTGACAAAATTACTTATTTCCTTTTTTCAAAGTCAAGAATAACTCTGAAATATTTAATATATCTATATATACTCTGCATCTATGATAATACTAATATTAACTGTGTTATAATACTCTTAATCCCCGGATGTGCACCAATGGAATTTCTGTCTATGTTTGCATTAAACATTCGCTCGATCTGTGAAGAAAAAACATCCTTAGGAAACTGGCTTGCTTTAGACCCAAAAAGTCGACGGCGTGTGTCAGGCACAGGACGCTGATCATCTACTTACCTATTATATAGACAAATGATCGTGAAACCGATTCAGAAATCTGATGCCCAGACCTAAAGAGGTTTTAGCGTCAGTGATTGATTTAAGAAAAAAATTATAATACTTTAGCAATATTTTCTAGTCTGAAATATTTAGAATCTACGGCGTGCGTAATTAGCAATTACTGGGCAAGGTCATGCTAAATAAAACTAACCAATTTAGAATAACATTTGTAAGGCTATAAAAACCACTAAAATCATTACCGAGAGCCACCTATACAATTTCAGAATTACTTTTTCAGAGCAGTTGAATGTACGTAATACATACGGGCTAAACATTATTTACTAAATGGGTAGTTGGTTGGCCTGGTACCTTCTGTGTTCAGTGTTAAAAGAGTTTTGTGGGCAAAAACCGAAATAGAGAAAAGTCGTTTGAACTATTTTTACATGTCCGTAAGTCTAACATAACGCATTCGGGATCATGGAAACAATAATATAGTGATACTGGATTAATATATGTACTGATATAACATATTTTTAAAAATACTTTTCGACAATCTGTCTTTAAGAAAGCAGAGAGAGAATGTTTAATCCGTGAGATATATAAAAATGTCTTTTGTTCAGCCTTCTCTAGCTCGTTGCATCTTACTTTTAAAACTAGTTAGCAACGTCGAACCGGTCGATATTCTGTTAAATCTATTATTTGATATATTTAACGACCAGTGAAGCGGTTTAGTAATAAACAGTTTAGTTTAAGCTTTTAATACGCGGTAGCAATTATGTGAACATGGAATTGATTTGTTTTTGTAGAATTACTTGTTGAACAGAAGACTGGAGTCGTGGTTTCTGTAATAGGTCACTAGGTTATCGTGTCACGGTACCGCAACAGTGTTAAAGGTTAAAAAACAGGGAACCGTATGTCTTGTGACATTTCAGTACTGAATTGGACAATGCGTAATCGGACCGCAAATGATTTTTCAAAACAGTCAACCGATCTGTGAAATAGATGCAGATGTATTTCATTCCGCACTACGCCTACGGTTTTGAGTAAGGCAAGACAAGATAAATGTCAAGCAATCCCTCTCCGAGCGGCTTGATCCTTTGGCGTTGCGTAGAGATGTGGGGTCACTCTGCATCTTCTACCGCATTTACCATGGAGAGTGTTCAGTGGAGTTGTTCGGATTAATACCTGCAGCTGAGTTTCATCATCGGACGTCGAGGCAGAATACGAAATTTCACCCGTATCACCTCGACGTCTGCCGGGCGCCGTTCCACAACTGAGCGTTTTTCAAGGCAGTTTTTGCCGTGCACCACCACTTTGTGGAACCGGCTGCCCACTGGGGTATTTCCTTACCAATTCTTTAAAGGCCGGCAACGCGCTCGCGAGCCCTCTGGCATTGAGTGTCCATGGGCGGCGGTATCACTTAACATCAGGTGAGCCTCCTGCCCGTTTGTCCCCTGTTCTATAAAAAAAATGCAAAGAAATAAGTAAAGCGAAACGATAGCTATTGCCCTGATCAATTGTTGCGATAACAGAAAAGACATAAATCAATTGCAAGACATCTGTAGCTCAGGCATTTCATGTTAACTAATAACGGCAAACTACCTTGTTTTGGCTCGGGCTGTCCATTGTTTGCTTGGCATTCGTACGAGCGAGACATGTCGGTACGCACTTCGAGACAATTACGGGTGAACTCTTAGTTCACTTAGAAAATACCGAAGAGAGGAGCAGCTAAAGTTTGTCGTTCCAAAGGAAATACTAAGTGAAATTCAATTCCAATGTTTTTCAACGACAAGCGAGATAGTGACATAGAGGAAAAAGCTATAGGGTAACGGATTAAATGTGTCGCGGTGAATCCCAAGTGAAAGGGAAAATGTTGGTGTTTAAATTAGTATTCGATATTTAAGTTTTTGATATCGTGTTATCTGTTCAAAGTGGTTATTTTGGTTTCGCTTTTATCTTGTTGATTACTGTGTTTTATGGTTCCAAACTGTTAACGTCGTCAAGATAGCTCAATACGTACGATTAGTAGATGTATTGAAAAAACTGAGAACTGAAGTGTTTTACTTTTAATTACCTAAGCTATTCGGTTGGTAGAATGATATATGGCACATGTTTAGTGGTCTAAAATGTCCAATAAAGCCAATTCGTAATGCGCGATGATTCAGTGGCAGAATGGTGATAAATCAAGTGGCTCGTGATATTGGTGCTGGGCGGTGCTAACGATTGGGCGAGGAATGCTTATTCACAATGTACGCCAAGGTCGTAACCAAGGTAAATTAGCACCCTCTTTCGTTTAACTAACGTTGAAGGAGAACTATTTAAGCAAAGTCGGGATCGCAGGGTTCTGAGGAATGCTCCTTTACGATAAAACGCTGTGTAATGTATCGCCTGGCTGACTTACGTTTACGTTATTTCACAACTAAATAAAGGTACACGTTATTTATATAAATAATGGTATGATTTTACTTTTTAATTTGATGAAAAATTTGTGCATTTTTTCGTTACCTTAGAAGAATAATTACTAAGGCTTTCAGAGTTTCCTCCTAATTACTTAAACTTTATCCGACTGTACGATAAAAAGTTAGGTGAAGATCACTAATATGGCTAAACTATAAAAATATGTAGATTTTTCGGATGTATGTTTGGGAGATCTTTACTGAAGTAGAACATGCAAGCGATAAAAAGTTCTGTCACTTTTCTAAAATTAGTATATTATCACTCGCACAGCTAATGCGATAATGGCTGATGCTCGAGTGATTCACTCCATCCTTGCGTTCTTTAGTGTTGAAGCAATGAGCCCTGTTGTGTAATGCTTTAATATTCACAGCTTGAAAAGCAAATCAAATGACGCTTGGACATAGACCATTTTCGGAATCTACATTTGTGGTACTCGATTTGATTGAATAAAAAGTCTTCTCCGGATTCCTCACCATTAAAATTTGTATAAATATTGCTGCTGCTATGTTATTGTTAAATAATTGAATTCCGTCAGCAGGACGCTTGCAGGCACGTGGGTGGCTCAAAGTTCTATGAAGTGATGGAAGGGACCAGCGTCGGGGACGCCAGCATTCCGTCTCCCACGGAGAAGCAGGATCCCACCAAACCCACGGAGAGTGACGACGAAGGTAAAATTACGGTCTGCACGAGTGGGTCTCGGCGAACGAGAGACAACTTTGTACGAATAGAGAAAACATATTTTGTATAACTTCTTTGCTCGTTATGCAGTTGTACACGTTGACGAGAATTTTACAATTTACTTAGAACAAATGCGCGATATATGAGACTACATTCGCGAGTACGGTGCCGTTGTCCCCAGTGTCGGACGTGGACCAGGAGTGCACGGTGTTCTGCGGCGTCAGCTACCTCGGGGCTCAGAACATCGCGGACCCCAAGTCGGAGACGGACATACAGAGGATCATGAAGGAGTTGAGCTCGATGCCCGAGAACAGAGACGGGATCGCGGTCTCCATATCCGTTCCGGTCTGCTCGCAGGGACTCGTCGTGTGAGTGTCGCGTGCGTCGCCGAAGAATTAATTCGATTCGCAGCCAGTACAGCTCCGAACCTCCCGCAGCCTCTACCAAGCGGAGAGCAACGGCGTGATGGCCCGCTACGCGGTGAACCGCATTTCCTTCTACGCCCGAGGCGCGGTGGGCTCTCCCGTCGCCTCGTGCTTCGCCTTCACCTGGTCCCACGGTGAGACCAAGGAGTCGGCCGTCTACAGGTGCCACGTCTTCAGGTGTCACATCGCCGAAGCCGTCAGCCAGGTGTCGAGTGAGTGAAAAGCTTCCAAATATTTGTCGATACGTGTTTGATTTAGTTAAAATATAATGTCATCTTTGACATTTGATCTATCGACACGGCATCGTTAATCGCGACATGTTCGAAAAGCGACCCAATTTCGTCGCAATAAAGTCGGCAATTTGAGTCAGTTGACTTCGTCGTTTCAAACGACGCGATCGCAATTTTTCTACTTTATTTAAATACTGCGTTTTCGTAAACGTTGCAATTTCTAAAATACAGTAACCAGTGCAGTATTTATATTTCTGGTGTCAGACTGAAGAGGTTTTGAATTTTGATTATTCGGTTCGATGTAAAACGAAACTGTGCTTTGATACGGCTTATCAAAATGTTCGGATTTGTTTGTTCTCCATTCGGTTGACCGACGTCGGTCGAGTGCCAATCGTGAAATCGTATGAAAACTTGTTTCATTGTTTAATTATAGTGAAATGCGATAAATAATTCTCGTGAGTTTCGTCGCGGAACCTTTTAACCGAATATAATTAATGTGTGGTTAAAAAAGAATGTTGCCGGAATATGTGGGCATGAATTTATTTTAAAGTTATCCGCCCACATTTTGTACTTAATGTTATTTACGATTAGATGCGACTCTGAAAATTCATTTCGAGAAGGAAATTACAAAGAGTTCTAGAGATGTAATAGGACGTAAGATGACGTCTCTCTTTCTTTAGGTTGTTTCGCAAAAGCCTTCGAGAGGATACCGCGCTCCATGGCGTCTTCTCTGATCGGCGACTCGAGCGCCGCTCCTTCCATGACCGGATCCCTGACCGAGGGCTCGGGCCCGGCCGCTCCGCCCATGCAGCTCATGCACGTGCTCGAGTGCTCCGTGGACATCAAAGAGACCGATGCCAAGGTACGTCTCTCGGTGAAGAAAAACGAAGCGAATCGAGAGACATATGATCCGCGTCGCGTCGCCATGTTGCAGGGCTCGTTCAGCCACGTTCCGAAGGAGCGCCTCGGGTACAAACTGCGAGGAGGCATCGACAAGCAGGTCACCATCAACGTCAAGCAGGTCACGAACAATGTACCGACGGACCCCGACGACATGACGGTAACCGCTTCGGTGTTTCACTTTTTATTCTCATTCGAGAGTTACGGCTTCATGTGAAATGAAAACGTTGCAGTCGTCGTACACCGGTGGCCTCTACATCGAGAGGTGCTTCGGAATACTTCTGGCGCCGGGACGGAGCGTCAAACATTCGGACATGCAGCTTCTCGAAATGGTAAAAGTGGAGTTCGACGCGACCTCGACGGTCCCGCGGTTTGACTCATCGCCATTAATGAAACGGCAGGTGAGCGGCGCATCGGGCGGCTCGGGGTGCTCGGTGTGCGCGCTGTGGAACGCCGGGGAGTCGGCCCTCGCGGCCTTCAACGTCGCCGGCGGGGACGGGGCTCCCGCCTTCATGTCGATGGCGCTGGACCTCGTCATCCGCGGCATCAGGGATCCGCTTCGGTAGGTCTTCCGCCCGACCGTCACCCTGCTTCCCCTCGCGAGAGCCGTAAACGTGTCTGACGTCGTGTTCGCAGATTGGTCATAGAGACTCCGGTGAAGGTGTACCCGCCCTCCGAGAGGTTCTGGTATTACTCCAAAAGGCCCTTGGTGCAGCAGTTCTACATCAACCTGAGAGAGGTACCGCGCGGTGATCTTTAATTCATTTGATAGTCTTTGTTATTTTTAACTCCCGCTCACGCCATGTGTTTCAACCCGCAGTCGGCGGACTCCCTGGGTCAGCTGCAGTACGAGGTGGCCAGCGTGGAGACCTCCGGGGAGCTGGACAGATCCAGGCTGAACCTGCCCCTCTCCCTGTCCAGTCTCCTACCGTCGCCGCTCTCCGCTGCGCCCGCGCCGCCTTCGCCGTCGGAGGCCGAGTCAGGTCGAAAATAACTTCTTCCTTGACAGTGTGTGGCACCTCATTCTTGTTTCGACAGGTTATGGGCCCAGGCAAATGCTAAAAGTTATTGTTTTGTGAGATAGGTCCGCCAAAGAGACCAGAGGGTAGTTGCGTAGACGAGTGCACCTTTATTATTTGTATTTTCTAACTTTAAGCGAAAAAGTAAATTTTAATTGAAGAGCACATGGTAGTTTGTGATGCTTCTTCATCATCTCTGTCACTCCTCCTCCTCACAGACGGAGACGAACCCTTGCTGAGCGGAACCGGCGAAGTGTCGAAGGACTGCGGAGAAGACGTTCTGGAGAATTGGGCGCAAGTTTTGAGAAGGTACGCGTGGATTAAATTAAATTAGGCCTCACGGCGGATTCTCGAAGGTTGTGAGTCGAGCGTGATGCGTTACAGCTGGGCGGGGCCGCGGCCTCGAGCCCTGGGACCCTTGGTGCGAGCGGGCGTGCCCGAGGCCCTTCGGGGAGAGGTGTGGCTGCGTCTGGCGGACGTGGACCAGAACCACAAGCTGATGGAGACCTACAGGACGCTCATCAGCAAGGTGCGTCTCTTCGGCTCTCGTCGCGGACGCGGTAGATATACGGAGTCCTCAATCGCGAAGTCATTCTCGACAGGATTGTCCGTTCGAAGCGGTGATCCAGCGGGACATAGCGCGAACCTTCCCCGCGCACGACTTCTTCCGCGAGGCGGGCGGCCTGGGCCAAGACTCGCTGCTGAGGATGGCCAGGGCCTACGCGGTCTACGACCACGAGGTGGGCTACTGCCAGGGGCTGAGCTTTCTGGCCGCGACGTTGCTGCTGCACGTGAGTGTTTACTGCTCTCTTTCTGGACTCCTCGATTAACTTAGATTATATGTACTCATAATTGTACTCGTTTAGATGCCGGAGGAGCAGGCCTTTTGCCTGTTGGTTCGTCTCATGTACGGGTACGGTCTGCGGGAGCTGTACAAAGACGGCTTCGAAGCCCTGTACATGAGGCTGCATCAGCTCGATAGGTTAATGGAGGTGAGTTATTTTATCAATCAATTGTGATTTAGAGGGGAATAGAAATCGATCAGTGGCTCTGATTTCAGGAGCAACTGTCCGACCTTCGCGCCCACTTCCGAGAGCTGGGAGTGGAGCCTCACATGTTCGCCTCCCAGTGGTTCCTCACGGTGTTCACGGCCAGGTTTCCTCTACCTCTGGTGAGTCCCATCCGAGGCCACCCGTCGTGGACGCCCACGAAGCGCCTCGCCGACGATCACAACCCACGCTCTGCTTCCAGGTGTACCACATCCTGGACGTGTTCCTGCTGCAGGGCGTGGACACGCTGTTCCAGGTGTCCCTAGCTCTGCTCACCCGCTGCAAGAAGGATCTAATGCAGCACGACTTCGAGGGGGTGCTCAAGTACTTTAGGTATTTGAAATTATTAAATTTAATTAAGAGAATCGACATCAATTTCGACGAATGAGAACAATCTCTGCGCCCCACCTCCAGGGTCACTCTGCCGAAGAAGTGTCGGGCGGAAGAGTCGTCTCGGCAGATCGTGAAGCTGGCTTGCGGCATCAAGGTCAAGAGGCTGCCCAAGTACCAGCTGGAGTACGAGAAGTTCATCAAAGGTATTCCTTATTTATGACACGGTATTCGTTCGGTGTTTTTAAAACCAAACTTTAGTATAAAAAGACGTATTTTACTCAGAATCGGCCGAAGAGGAGAAGATCAACGCGGAGTTGGAGCGGCTGAAAGTGATCAATGCGCAACTGCAGCAGGACAAAGACACTCTGGAGAAACAACTCGCGCAGGTATTGGGGGCCGACGCACGTTAGCTGCTAGTTTTTGATTAGCTTTTCTCTTTTATAACCATTCGGGAGAACAATTTCAGAGTCGCAATAAGTTGGAAGAAGCCCGGAAGGAGGCGGGCCACCACTCGGCCGTAGCTCGGGACTACCGAGAGATCTGTGGCAGGCTCGACAGGCAGCTGCATCGTCTGCAGGTATTTAGCTCTCCGATGCGCCCGTTGTCTGCCCCCTTTCTCACGGTTTCCTCTCTACGGCATCTATCTCGCTACAGGACTGCACCAAGAGCTGCGTGGGCTGCGGCCTGAAGCTGGCGCAGTGGGACGAGGAGGAGCGTCGGGCGGGCGAGAGCGAGGAGAAGACCTGGAGCGAGGCGGAGGCCCGTCTGAAGCAGCGGGTGCGGGAGCTGGAGCTGGAGCTGGCGCAGGTCAAACTGGCGCACGTGCAGGCGCAGTGCAGCAATCAGGTCGGTCCGTCGTCTCCCCCCGTTCTCCCTCGAATGCGATGTCTCGATTCGAGTTTCAGTTCCCGCGAAGTGGAACTTCTCCTACTCTCCTTTTAAGTTTACTCGAACCGCTTCCCCATCGTTGCAGGAACTCAGTCACCGGCTGAACTCCGCCCTCAACGAGATGCAGTCGGCGATGAACCAGAAGCAGGCCGTGGCGCCCTGGCTCGTCCGCACTCTCGGTGAGGCTCGCTCCTAGTTCTCGCGTTCTCCGTCCCGCTTCCGTTTAACGTTTCTCGTGGACCCGTCTGATCGCCGTCTCTCGTTGTAGGTCATTGAGCCGACGCTTCGAGGAGAAGGTGAATACGTAGTTCTCGGCACGCTCTTAGTTCGGAAGTAGATCCGCCGCATCCGTTGTCGTTCGATCGGACGTAGACTAGAGCGCACGTCGCGGAGGAGTCCCGGCTTCGACCCGATCTAATGCTCGGCCTCGTCTCCCGTAGGTTCGATCGTGGAGGCCGCTCAGAGCCGACCCTCCTTCCAAACGTACCTCCCGAACTCGAGTTCCGAGCCGACGCCGCCCGTCCGCCGGCGGCCCCACCCCGGCCCGCGGGGTCCCGGCGAGAGGCGCGTCTCCGAGCCCCGCAGCCCGGACGTCGTCCGCCGGACGCGGGACCCTAACGTCGAGAGGCGCTCCTCGCTCGTCGAGCCCGGCGTCTCCGGGGGGGGAGAGGGAGGCGAACAGGCGGAGCTGCGACGCGACCACCGTCAGGAATCTGTCGCTGGGTTGACGGATCCCACGACGAGGCAGGACCTCGCCGACTCGCTCGTCCCGTCGGTGCGACACCCTCGAGCGCATCGACGTCGCTTCGTGCCCAACTCGTCACCCTAGTCAACGCGACGCATCTCTAGAGTCTTCTTACGCCATGACGTTGATGAAACGTTAAGAGAATAGCCGTAGTCAAACACACTGTATATAATAGTTTAAATGTCATCACAATTTTAGTCGAAGAGACCTACGTGTAAAAATATATTGTGAATAATTGAGTGTATCGTTCGGCCGCCGACGTTTACAGAGTTTTAGAAGTGACCCACGATTTTTCTTTTTAAGATATTAGCGTATTTTTGTTTAGTGTCGATTTATTTGACCTCGATAAATCGATACTGTACAAAAATTAATGCAAAGTAAACGTTTTGATTAATTGAAAAATGGGCCCAAAAACGTAATCATGCGCACGGTGTATAGTTTTAAGCTCTCTTCGTATATCGATTTCGACAATAACCGAGTCACGTGACGATGCTCGGTGCGATCGTGCCTTTCGTTTCGAATGCATATCGAATGATATTTTAATTAATGTTCGACTATTGCTAACTTAATTACCGTTTATTGCTAATATCTTCAATCATTGGAAACCTAATATATATATATGAGATAAATGGTACATATCTTTGTGCGACTAAAGTTAGATCTGAGTTGGGAAGCTTACGATTATCAGTATTCGTCACTCGAGAACCGCTTAATATGATGATCTCGATTGAAATGTTAAAATTTATATTAAGTATTATTTCAAAATCATTAAGTTTTATTCTAGTATTAGATTGAAAAATATCATTGTGTTCACCGATATTTCTTATGTTTGATGTAAATGCGACAGTTTTTTAATAAGCTCGTTAATGCGAGCGAAAACGAAATGTTTCTGGCGTTCGTCACAAATCATTCCACGTCGAAATAGCTGGAGTATTGTGACCGTCGATTGTAGATAAATAGTGATTTGTTTCCGTCTTATTGTGAAAATGTATGATTTACAAGAAATATTCTCTTTTACTTACACCCTCAAAAAAAACAGCTCCTTGCGAGGACATCCTCGCATTTATTTTATTTATTAACGCAGCCATATTTTTTAGTTCATAACATTTACCATGTTTTGAAATGACTTCGTGTAGCTGGTACAGTAAATTTTTTCATTTACAATCAATTCCGCAATCCGTGAAAAATACTATTTCTCGTTTTGCCCTTGACGGAATTCATGATTATGAACAGCTGTTCGATATTTATGTCTGGGGATTAGAATGATCGTGATTGTCGACGGCGTTATTATTATATTAACTCTTGCAAAAAAAAACGGGCATTTAAGGCGGATTTCAGTTAATTAAATGAAATTTATAAATGATACGGGTACAGTTAGAAGTGGTCGGCTATAAAGACAAAAAGATTTTATTAAATGTAAAAACCTAATTACGACTGTGACCTCGTCTTCTCAAAATCACAGCATGTTGTAGGTATACACATTGATTTACACCATTATAAGTACGTCAGACAATTAAATTTCTTTTAATTAACTGAACGTAAATTTCCTAACATACGCGTTTTTTTGCTAAAGAATTTATATATTAGCATTTTTTTAAAGTTATTTTGTGGCTATATATATGGTGATATATTTTATTTTGTATTTGTTACTACAGTCATTTGTGCCCTTAATACTTATAACAATAACTTAAAGCCTATAAAGGTCAAGGGAAAAGGAAGACAGGTGTAAGGCACCAGTGCCGACCCCTCACAGCTGCGGCCTGGCGCTCGTGTGAACGGAAACGAGATAAAAACACGAGCCACGTACCGTAAAAAGTTTACGTGTTTTGCTCGCACAAGTCAATGTATTGTAAAGAATTGTAATTTTCTTCAAAGGCTTTGCTACTGATTTCTGGAAGCTATAGTATTACCTAATAATTTCTTACACAATTCAAATAACGAAGAAATGATTTCAACCTATGGGATAGTCCGAAGTAGTCATTTATCATTTGCCATAGTCGTACCGGTTGGAAAGTACAAAAAAAGATTAATTTGCTGTGTGAATTATGGCTATGTTTTCACTGCACCCATTTGTATCTTGTATTATGTAAGTACATAAGAACAATAGATAGCTACTAGATCAGGATGTTGCATAAACTTTCATTCCCCATTATGCTTCACTCATTCGAAAATGTATTAATGTACATTATTATATATAATTTAGACTTTTTATTATGATATAAAATATACTGAAATACAAATTTTAAAAATGTATTGGTATGTATTTATACAAAAAAAACAAGTCTTTGCCAAGCCTCAGCTTTCTAAATCTAATTTTTATTTATAGTAAATTAGTTGATCAGCCTTATGGGTGTGACACGATGTCAATTTCTGTCGATGCTAGTATTAATTACCCAGGTAGGCCCATTAGGGCACACGTGATTCAAAGTTCAAACGCACATCCTCAGGAGTAAGTTCCTATGGAATTGGTATAAGTGTTTCATTTATAAATAGTGTATGTCTTCTCGTAAGATGCAAATCTTTAATTGCCTGTATAATGCCTTCCCTGTTTGATGTATTAATGAGTAATAGTAGTAACCAATGATTACTCTACAAGATTTTCGCACGATATGCGCCGGTGAAAACTTATGTGTCACCGGCATAATGGAGGTTTCACACAACAGTTACTTGTCACGTTAATTACTTTAAAATCTCTTTTATGACAGCTAAAGAAAGTTGTTTTTAATAATTTACACTGTCCAAATGACAACTATTCATTAGTATAATTATTACTTGCAACATCACTGAGGCATTATATTACCATTGTTGTATGAATCTCTTTTATATGCTGATTACTATAGATAACGTTTTCGACCATTGCAAAAAAAATATTAACACCAAATTCTATTATTAAAAAAAATACATTTCATAGTTCTTTCCAGCGACAAGAGACTACGTCGCTTTTTTTACATTAAATCGAATGTAAAAGGCCCAATAAATCGAAGCATGCAATATAAATTAGGGAATGCCACAAATAAATCGCAAGCAGAAACAGAATGGGCGCCTCTTGGCGTTCTGATCTTAATTTTATTGTTTCGCCATAAGCAATTATCTCCGAATAACTGCAGACGTCTGAAACTTGTTTTCTATTTGTTGATATTTTGAGTTGTTTGAATTGGAGCAACGACTATTCATCTGGATGCCCACTTCGAATCTCGTGAGGAGGCGTCTACCGAAGTATCACACGAATGTGTAGCAGTTGTTTTAAATTACATTTACGAAATATTGTTAATAATTTGTTTATTTTACGGTAAGTCCTGAGATAGTGACTAAATTCAATAAATGTAGAAAAGTAACAACCTGAACAGATTAAAGCCGCTTATCGATCTTACTCTATAAAACTTTGGAACTAGCCAATGTGTTCGTTGGGGGGCCCGGGGGGGGGGGGGGCGGCGACAGGACGACGGTTTTTCCAGCATCAAACGGCGCGCGCGCCAGTTGGGACAGATATATGCTATTTTTGCCCCCCAAAATGAGACTAAAGTGCAATTATTCACTGTATGTAAAAGAACTACTGTAGGATAGCAAAATTTCTTCGTATCATAATAATGCTAAGAATCAGTTAAATGGGAGCCCTGTGCCGAATTAAAGAAAAAAATGACTGTGCATCCTATCATCGTCAAGAGGAAAAATTGGCTCTAAAACCAATAGTTTCTTTCTTTTTATAATACTGTGAATAATTACAAAAGCTTCTGCTGAACTGGCTTCCATGATGAAAACAACACTGGATAAGGGGTAGGAATGCGATATTGACGGAACACTCTCGTGCGGTCATTCATGGCGCGCGCGCCAGGGGGAATCGTCCCAGTTTTGATAGTCGATCTTATAAAACTTAATAGCAACGTCCGAGACTGTAAACATAAAATTTTGTGGCTTAATGAATAAGCACGTAATTTTCTCTAAATTATATTTTATTAAAAAAAAGGTAGGAATGCGATATTGACCTCATTTTTGATAGTTAACAATCAGTCCGCTATTTTTGTGGCTAAAATAATTTTTAAATTATATTTTGTACAAAATAGAATAAATTACTATATCAATTTCAAATAAATTTTAGAATTTCTTTCTTGAGCCTAGATCAATCAAGACAGTAAATTATTTATTGGTTACATTTTATAATCTTTTTTTTTATAGTCGGTATATTTTTTATTTCTCTAGAATTCTAAAATATAGTAAAATACATCACCGTTTTCAATTTGTAAAATAAGTTTGATGTATATTATTGTAACAGTATTTCTCAGGCACATTTCTCCGGTCACGTTCTGTGCGCACGCGCATAACAAATCGTTCATAATTATAACATAGATCAGAGAGGTAAGTAGATCGGATCTATTACAAATGTCACGTTAATCATAAACATTGGGACCAGGCTACATGATGAAATACGCTTACCTGCAGTAGGTATTATTAACTTACTTAAAGGCCTACTTAAACCTTAAATACTAAAAAGTAATATAATGAAAGGTTACTTCGCAAAGATGAATTTCATCGTTACAGTATTGTTTTACGCAACACTTCCCGGAAGACATTAGTATGGTCTTTCAACAGAATCTGATCACAATGCATATCGATTACACATCGCTTCAGCACTTTGAGAGTGTTTTTTCTTTTATTATAACTGAGCAGCCACCAGGTTTTATTGAAAGTAAAATTGTAAGATTTTATTTATCCTAATAATTTTTCATTTCTATTTAATTAATCTATCAAAGTAGCAGCTGTTTCATATTCTAGAAGATTCTTGCACGTGCAGGGCCTAGAAGATTGTCTTCTGTGGCAGCGGTAATGTCATGCGGTCAGCGGAGAGTAATGATGGCTGGTGAACGGTGACCACTTCCTGCAATGTTTGTGCAAATTTGTCTGTTATATGAACATCGACCATCACGCGGATGTTATCATGCCTCTTCATATTATATAAGTAGTTTTCTATTCAATTTAATGATAATT